AAGGGAAACTTTGTTTACACCAGCAACCGAAACGACAAGAAATTCAGGCCCAACGATTCAATTACCCAATTCACCATCTCTCCTAACGGAAGCCTGACATGGACTGCCCTCACATCGTCCTACGGCACATACCCGCGTACTTTCGACATCAACAAGGCCGGTGATTTCGTCGCTATTGGCGACCAAACCACTTCAAACGTGGCTATTGTACCGAGAGATCCGGCTACTGGCAAGTTGGGAGAGCGTGTTGCGGATCTTAGGATCGGGGCTACCGGCATTCCGGAGAATGAGGACGGTCTCAGCGCGGTTGTCTGGGCCGAGTAGGCGTCCGCACGTTGGTCATTAGAAATTTGTGTATATACAATTACTTTTGTAGAAAATATAGGGTTGCGCGGGCTGATTGCGATATGACACCTGGGCAATGACGCGTTCGTTCGTGACTGAGGTGTGCAGAACCAAGAGCGTGTGAAAAAACGAGCCCCCCCCCCCCCCCCCCCCCCCCCGTATACTGTGAGCACAGAGTACAGCTTTGATACCCTCATGTTTATTTGGTTGCGTTTTCGCTTGGAGCAAGCGAAACCCAAGATCAACCACTCTATGTCAAGCAAGCAGATGAACTTACTCTATATATGCATGCGTATGCGTCCGCCAGCAGAATTTTCATAGTCAATTCAAGCACGATGGTTAAAGTTTACAACATTCAGTTTGTCGATGTTGTTCCTGCTCTTTCCCCGAATGCTCTACGTGATCACCCTCACATCATCGACCTAGGCTGCTTCAAATTAACCGAGGGCGATGTTGTTACAGGCGTCCAGATACAGGACGCAGTCGCTACGACTATTCATGCAGTCTCCAGCAATACTCTTATCAATTTCCTAACATCTATGTAGACGTTCCGAATCGAGTTTGAATCCAAGACTGGGCCTCGCAGTACTCGTGTTATTTTCATGAAGAAAGGAAACAAGGTTATAGTAAGTCACAACTGGTCAAAGGCTGTAAGAAACAGATAACTAACGAAACTGCTTACAGGTCGGTCAATATACCGTTGATGCATCGCGAGATGTATTTGACTTCAACACAATTATCCGTTTCACTATTAATTCGCACCAAGGCTGGAAGGTTATGTATGCAGCTTATCTCGACTGTTTTCCACAGGACTGGGACGAAGTCTGGGAGGGAAGGACGACCGATGTTGACTTGTTGGTTGCTCCCCACAGGATTACAGAGGGAGACACAACCAGGGGACCTCTGATCAGGAAGTTCGCTGACTACTTGTTGGTGGGCAGGTATTGGGAGACTACTCGATGGACTTGTGCAATCACCACTGGCTAGAGATATATCGTTGCCAGTCAAGTAAGTGAGTGAAAGAGATCCTGCGGTGCACACGTCAGATGCCGTGAGCTTCGATAGGCTCTCACATGATGTCACGAGTTCATAAGTCACTGACAATACTTCAGTGTGTTTTCACATTCAACCGTCTTCAAATGATTTGGATCACGCCGTCAAAGACTAGACTGGCCCATCAATGTAAGGCTCATGTCTGCTCATACGAGTATGACTGCTTAATCTGGATCGCCAACTGATATCTCTAACCACGTGCCACAAACTAGGTTTCTCTCCATGATCGGCCAGAAGCGGAGTATCCTCGCTCACCTCGACTTGCGCGTGCTATCACCGCCTTTTGCTTACACCCTTTGTGGTCCAAGCTCTTTGCGCGTAATCAAACCAACCAGAACAAAGATTATCTTTGCCCACAACACCTCAACCTCACCAGACAATCTACAGACAACAACATGGTTACTACTTCTGACCCTGAAGGCGGCACTCCCAAGCCTCCCAGCACAACCAAGGCCCGGAACATCTACACCAAGCCCGATTTTCTCACCGCGCCGTTTCTCAACGTCTACAAGCGACTGCCCGCGCACTTACCCTCAAGCCACGCACACATCATCAAGGTTGGCCCCCTCAGGGAGGACCTATTCGAGGGCGAAGAACAATACGATCTCAAGATCCAAGATGCAGTGGCCACTCTGCTGTTCCAGATCTCCAAGGACACCCTAGACACGTTTCTCAGCGGCGTCACTGATTCTTTCAAGCTCGTTCAATCGTTTGAGGGACGATCCAAAATGCAGCTCATCATCTGGAAGCAGGGAACTCAAGTTCTGGTACGTGAACCAAATGAAACAGGATAGACCTCATCAAGATACATACTTACATCGTCTCCACGTTTTAGATTGGCCAGTTCATCGAGTACGAGAAACAGGATTGTCTAGAATGGGACAATCTCGTTCGTTGCACTATCAACTACGACGGATCTTGGGGTCTCTATTCTGCCAGCTTCGGTAGGTACACTAGGCGAGAGCATGAGCACGCATGGTCTGAGACGTTCATACGGACCGGTATCAACCGAAAGTTGGTCGCTGGTGACGAGAAACAAATGGCAGAGTATGCAGGCCTCTTGAGCGAGTACATCATTGTCAATGAGTGCTGGAGCGCTGGGTCGGGCTCCAAGTGGAACATCGAGACCGCCATGGCTGACTGAAGCATCCTCATCTTTGTTTGGGCTGCAATCTCTGCACTCAAGCTCCTTCAACATTTTGACATGGAGGAAACTTTGAGCGAATGACTATCCAGATGAGACTTGTCACTTACTGCTAGAGTAGTCAATATGCATCATGACCCTGCTGTTGCAAAACTGTCGATAACTTTCTCGTGGCGCTAACGGACAATAATCTGTTCTCATTTTGAACAATGATTTTGTTTCTCGCAATAACAACATTCGGTCTTACGTTTCACTTACGGCGCTCTTTCATCTTACATACCCTTTGTCGACGTCTGTCCAAACTATGATACCAGGCTCACTCACTTCTGCAACACTGCAAGATCCCAAAATTACAGCTTGCAGGACTTGAAAGAACGTGGAATAATGCTTCCAGATCACCTCCGAAGCGGCTAGGAACGTGTACGATCATCGGTATGTCCTCTCTTTCCTCACCGTCGCGCCTTCGATCAGCCCTCACCGACCTCGCCCGCTAGCGCTACTAGGGTGACCCGCACGACAAATGTCTACACGCTTCACGTAGAGCAGCCTCTTCCGCGGCATCTTTCATCGTTCCCCGTTAAACTTCATGCTCACCACTCCTCTTTCTTAGATCTCATCGCTCACCGGAAGCTAGCGCGTCTAGTTGTTGTACTCATATATCTTGTACCATGCCGGTAACTACGAGATTCAAACGCTTGCAGCTACAGCCTTCTAAAATTGACAACGGTCTCGGGAAAAATACAAAAGACCACGCGAAAGCTATCCACCGTACTGCTGTAATGACCAGCCATATCGACAGCACTCCTATGGAGATCGACGCGGACAGCAGCGGTCTTCCGTCCCCTGCTGGTACTGACATCCGTCCCGATTCGCCAGGTAAGAGCGACTCTGGCAAGAGCGATAGCAGCACGCTTCCCTATACCGACGACTTTGAGACCCTACCTTCAAGGGGCCCGTCCAGTCATGCTCACATTCTCGATCTTGCCAAGCATGCTGCGTCGATGAAAGAGGACGCCACCCTCAAGCTCCAAGATGCCGTTGTAACCGCCCTGTACAACATCTCGCCAGCGACGCTCAAGTCGTTCGTCAATCCCACTGTCAACACCTTCAAGGCTATATTCGGTAACAAGGACGTTCAGCTCGTCGTATGGCGCAAGGGTCTTGAAGTCTTCGTAAGTCATCACATACACCTCCAAACAGACAGTCGCTCACACCCCTTTAGATCGGCACATTCGAGCACCACACATCCATGAAGGCGTACCGCTTCGAACACGTCGCCGGCTTCCTAATCGGCTACGATGGATCCTGGCATCTAAAAGTTACTGCCAGCAACGCCTACTCCGCCCCCAAGTGGCCCGATGTGTGGGGCGGCAAGTTCGAGTGCCATGGTGGCGTCGCGAAGATGACGGTTGAGACTGGAGAGATGGGAATGGCGAAGCGAGCCTCGGCTTTGGCGAGTGCGATGATCGGTGGCAGATACTGGGAGTTGAAGACTGATATCAAGATTACCTGATGCGGAGCCACCACAGGCGATTGAGATCACTGGAGGTTGCTTGCAAGGATATAATCTGGGATCTATTTGGTATGCGTAATATGGGATATTTCTTGGGTCTGGAGGCCTTGCGAGAAGGTAGCGAACGGCGGTGGTAATGCGACGACGGAGATACTGTAAAGCGAGTGAGCTTCACTACTAGTAGTCAGCTCGAGTAATTTTGACTGGAAGATAGGATCTAATAAAGAACGTTACACGTACCAATGATCCTTCTATCTGTTTTTGGTAATGTGCTGGAGCCCTTTTTCATACCCTTTACACCCAATCTTTATCCAAAGTTTCTCGAATTCTTCAATCGCACCCTTACCGATCCAACCACCTCCACACCCATCCAGCAATCAACTTCCAAACACCACTTTCCCAATATACCAAAACTCATACTATACAGCCCCTCCAACTCCCCATTCCTCCATCAAACCCACCCTCGGAGCCCGTAGTCCAACGGTAAGACACCCACATCTCAACCGCGCAGGGCTGCCATCGCATCCTCTCAGCGTGCGAACGAACAAGGCTGAGAAACCGTCCGAGCTTCCGCCCAGCAAGTATCACATTGACGAGACCCGCCAAGTGAAAGTCTCTTACAGTATCACATTTTCATTCCGCTTCCGTCAAAGATGACCGATAGCACACAGCCTTGCCGAGATTGTGGGGGGTCCACGTTCAAGTCGCGGTGTACTCAATTACCTTTTGCTAGATGTTTGTGTTGTGTGCTGTAGTTTTACTGTATTTTGTACCCATCCAATCAAGTCCTCTCGAAAAAAGAGAAGTATCGTCAACACAAGAGCTTTACTGTATTTGTTGTTGTTGTTGCCGTGGATGGACATAAGGGAGCGGCGGAATCGCGGGTGGGTGAGTTCGTTGATGGAAATGGCCTATCTAGCGTTCAATCTCATCAAGAACGTTAAAGAGAGAATAGCAATGAGATTCATTGTATCCAGCGACAGTACCTAAAAATAACATGCAAGTCGCGAGCGTGATCATAATGCTCAAACGATCGATGTAGTGTATCCAATAACGTGTCTACCCCAAACTCCACTCGTGAACGCCGGTCGTCTAATGCGTATGCCAATGTGAGTAAGCAAGCTCAACGCGTGTAATCAAGGAATCACCAACTCCCCGGTCCAAAAGTTCCGCCTTTGGGTACTTCTTTGTATGGGCAGGCTTGCCAGTCACAACCCTATCAATAGTGTTAGTTCTTGTATACAATGAAGCCGGCTTATGTGTTGATGACTTACCTGCTTATAAACTTCCGTACCCCACCACTTGAAGTTACTCATCCAACCGGGGTACACAATGCCAAAGAAGATGACCACAACACCAAACGCAAGCCCAGAATCCAAAGCCGCGCTAAGCATCATATTGTACTTCTTCCACCAAGCGTTCCTCCGGTTGCGAATCTCGTAGTTGAAGATATAACACACAATCGCCCAAACGGAGAAGTTGAGTCCGGTAGCAGGCGGAATCCAACTCAAACTACCAAACACAACGGCGAGGTTGACTTTGCTGAGAATGGACTTGCGGTTGCCACGAGCGAGGTACCAGAGTATGACAGGTGCGATGGCGCCGATGGGGAAGGCCCAGATCAAGTGTTGGTAGAGTGCACCAGGGCCGAAGAACTTTCCTGGTCCGACGACACCCCAAAGGATACTTCCGTTGAAGTGGACGCGGGCGATGGGGCAGTTGAAGCCGTTAATGGCTGAGGGTGTGCAGATACCGGGGATGTTATTCAACATCCAGTTTAGAACACCGATCTGTGTTAGACTTGAGATGATGGTGACGGAGAGTTGGAGCTTAAAGAGGATTCTAGGTGGGATCTTCATGTAGTGACCTAGCTTGAGATCGGAAGCAAACTTTAGGCCTTGGGTTGCTGAGATGTAGCCGAAAGTCGTAAAGACCATGTTTGCGACGGGTCGACCAGGGAACACAACACCGCAAATCAGTTGGCAGATGAGGTAGATGCTGCTTTGTTGGTTTGTGATGGCCATGACGATGCCAATGGGGACGAAGAGGACTGCGCCGATGCCAAGTGCTAGCAAGAGGCCGTACCAAGGTAGATGGACGGGATAGTACTCGACGACGAACATGCCGACAGCAGCCATGCTAATACCAGTCAAAAGGTACCATGTTATCGGCACATCCTCGTATTTGCGCATAAGTCGGTTGTGCACATCTTCCGCAGATAGCAGGTCTTCCACGTCTGGGTCTGAAGTCGTACTGGGTCTGTGTCGCAATATCGCAGGCGAGGTTGGGGGGCTGTTGTTGTCGGCACCATTCACCAGTGGCTGGTAGTCAGCTGCTGATTCTTTCCGGATCTCTGCCCAAGAGCGACGCCATTGTCTCCAGATGTCCTTTCCGTACCAGAGGCCAGTGTGCGAAAGCAGAGCTGTGAGACCGGCGAACTGTAAGGCGTAGCTCAGCACGTAAGTAATCGGAAGGTAGACTCGACTGTATTGCTTGTACGCTTCTTCGTCGAAGAGGAAGTTCTCGGTCAAGATCTTACTAACGTCGTACGGCTTGCCGCGATTATCCCATACAGCGGATGATAAGATGGGCATATAGGAAGAGTAGAGGACGTTCTTGTAGTCTACAAGTTGTCAGCACTAGCAATCAAACCTCCGGGAACTACTCACACATGATCGGCGCTGCAATCCACATCACGCCTACAAGGCCTCCAAGAATGTTCATAGCAGCCCAGAATGGTGTAATCAACGGGGAGCCAATGTATGCGATCTGTGCCCAATCGAAAGTCACTGGGAACAACCCAAGACCAGATGAGATTCCGAACTGCTCAGGTTAGCTCTCTGTCCATTCAGACAAGCAACAAACGTACCAGGTTGGCAACAACAACGCTCTTTGGCGCGAACCAGGTGATGACATTGAAATAACTCAATGCTGGGAATAGGAGACCAGGTAGGAAGTAGAAGGCAACGGATCCTGCGAATATGCGCGAAAAGAACTTGCGTGGAGCGATGGTCCAGCCATCGGCAGGCTTGTTTTCATCTTTATGTAACGCGGTGAACATGGCGGTTGATACCAGTGTGCTCGGCCAGATCATGCCGCTGGGTCGGACCAGGTAACGTCTGGTGATACCGGCAAGGGAGTAGCCAAGTATTTGTGTGGAGAGAATAAGCAATATTTGGTACATGATGCCAAGGTCTTGCTTGTAAAACTTGACTTGCTCAACGATGACCTTGGATTGTCAGCATACCATACAGGGTTGCATAAATGATACTTACATCTGTCGCGAAGGCAAAGCCAAAGGATACATTGCTGCTGACATAGACGCAACAATGTTCCTTTTCATTCCAACGGCCTTGGCCTAGCCAGAGCCGTAACCGGCGTTTCCAAGTGGCTTTTGCCTGTGGAGGATGCGATGTTGCCTGAGAGCAACCATCGACAAAGGTTTCTTCAGGATCGTCGTGTCGTTTGAAGAGTTGGTCCCAAAGCAGACCGAGAGGGTGGACGAGTAGTAGTGCAATAATAGGAGTAAGACTAACGCTGGGGTATCGTAGGGAAAAGAACAAGTTGGTTGAAGAACCGGCGATGGAAAACAGAATCGACAGGAACCACATGCGCGGGGTATCAATGGACAGGGAGAGGTCATCGGTAGCAGCGACGGATGCCCTCACTTGGGCGTAGGGCGAATTATCAGACGGGCTACCCTTCATATCGTGTAAATCGTCCGTCCTCGGAGGTTTCATTATCGTCTAGCGTACTGCTCGATGAGGTTGAGTTGTCAAACAGTGGCGCGCCGGCGGTAGAAGGATCAAGACCGCTTGCGTTGAACCTAGCTTCAAAGTCCTGGCCACTAGAGGCTACACCGAGCGTCGTGCTGCTACGACTGGCGTCACCCGTCCTGTGACGTGATTTCGTAGCGCCTGAAAGGATTGGCTCACTTCGTGTCGAATCATTTTGATGGTGATCCGAAAGTAGTGAGGGCTCACTATGCGAAAGTCTACTCTTTCCTTTTTTCTTTCTTGAGTTTTTAATCACATTGTTTTCATCAGTCTCCTCTGGACTGGAGGAAAGAATAGGTAGGCCGCCATATGAACCTGAGGTTTGAGTCAGCACGTGTAGCAGATGAGGTTCTGTGCGCCGTGTGCATCGTTGCTCCTGTGCGCCCGTCCAAGGCCGAGGGGCGACCAATGGCCATGGCGCTTGACAACGAAGAGTAGTTTACGTACCTGTTCCCTGCGCCGGGCTCGATCTCACCAAGAGAGGTACTCTTGACATTGCTGTCTTGACGGATCGTGTAGGAGTCTCGGGGCGGCCAGCTGGCGAATCAAGATCGTCATCAGAAGGGGTTTCGGACGTGGCTATGTTCCTTGCTTTCTTTGCTTTGTCAGGCAGAGGCTGCAACTCGTAGCTGCCTTGAGAGACGGGAGGACGGTCGTGTCGCGTGTTTCCAGAAGGATGGGCAGGCGAGAGAGCAAGCGACGAAGATGACCCGCACCCGTCCTCGTTAGCCATATGTATGGGTGGATGCCCGGGTGTGGCCAGGGGCGCGTGTACAAGTGCTCCGTTTGTCGCGCCAAAGCGGCCTCGCGCGACGTCGGAATCAGATGATCAGATAAAACCACCGGCAGCCATATGTTGGGCCGTACTCTTTTCGATGATCTGATTAGATGGAAGCGCGGAAAGCGGTCCAGAATTAGGTCAATGATGGAATATTAGTTGAGTCATCCAATGGCGAGTGCAGTGTCTTCACGGTAAGCGGTTAGATCCGGGCGACGATGTGGAGTTCCCAGGAAAAAAGCTCGCACGCTCCCGCGCGCGCGAGCCCGCCTGCATACCATCACACACCTGCATGCTTCAAAATCCCGGCACCCTTACAGACCAAGACTGATTGACAGCTGCACGTCCGAGCGGACGCCGCAGCGCTTGCATTCGGAAGTTTTACATATTTCTACAATATCCAAACGCTCAACGTGACGTCACCTCGTTCACGTCAACGTGACCGGGTATCCCCACGTGGTTTTCGGCTTTGCGACCAGCGGTGAGGCCCTCAACCATAGTAATAGCGCCCTCGGTGTCGTCCTTGTTGTAGAGGAACAACCCCTGTAGCGCTGCAGTGCTCACCGAGTCGATGAGGCCCAACTCTCTAACTCTAGCCATAAATCTCTGCTTCGCTTCCCCGCCTGCATCGAACTCTGCATAGAATCGGTCCCAGAGCTGCTCGATCTGATACTCTGTTGCTTCACCGAGTCTTACCGTCATGTCCACGCGCCCAGGTCGGATGAGCGCTTCGTCTAGTCTCTCGACGTGGTTGGTAGTCAGGAAAATGATCCGCTCCTCAGCACTGGCAACACCATCGAGAGCGTTGAGCAGCCCGGAGAAGGTGACCGAGGCGCTAGCAAATCCGTCTGCACCAGGCGTCTTACGGTTCATGAATGCGACGTCAACATCTTCCAGCAGCACTACAGTACGTCGCGGGACCTTGGTCAGCAAATGGTTCAGCCTATCGTCTGTGAGACCACGCTCGCTGACATTCAAAATGGCAATATTGAAGTCGAGATGACCTGCAACAGCCTGGATGAAGGAGCTCTTCCCTGTGCCCGGCGGCCCATACAGCAAGTAGCCTCGCCTGTATGGTATGCCGCGATCTAGGTACCACTTGCGTGATGCAATGAAAGCCTCCATGTCCTCTACAATGCGCTCCTTGACACCGCGCTCCAGGACCACCGAATCGAGGGGTCGCTTTCGCTTGGCGTCTCCAAAAGGCTGCCACATGGTGCCCATGGAGTTGTATATGACAGTCTTGCCCTCCTGCGACTGCTGGTATATCTGGTGTGCCTCGGCGAAGATGTCTTCGAAGATGTCGCGGTGCGAGTAGAGGGTCGTGAGATTGATCGTCTCAAAGGGTACGCCATCCTTGACGTTCAGGCTGTTGCGCTCTCGCTGCCGGTCGACGAGGATGAAAGCATTCTTGTAGCGCAAGAAGTGCTTGCCCGGCCCCGGTACGAAGGAGAAGTGGGCCGCGTGCGAGGGCCCATCCTGCGGCGTGTACGTCTGCACTTGGAGGTGGTGCATGCGCGGGTCGATGCGATTGAGCACCTTGGAGAGGACGCCGTTTGCGCACGAGTGGCCTGGTGCCGGCTTGCTGTGCGCGGTGGTAGTTGGTCATCCATTGGAGGACCCAGGGATAGGCGTCGTCATGGCGAGTTATTTCCAGATCGACGAGCATGCGGCGGCGCACAAACGCGGCGCCATGTTGGAGTCCCTTCTGGCCCGTCCGCGCCGCAACCCCAAGCGCTGCGAGACCGAAGCCCTATGGCATCAGTGAGCACACGTCCAGCAAGCAGGCAGTGGCCCCAGGGTGAATCATACGGCGGTTGAAGAAGGGATTGTCGGTGATTTGCGACCAGGGAGAGCTGAGACCCGGGCTGCTATTGCCGGCAGCGATCTGCTTGGCCAGCTGGTGTTGAGGCGTGTTCGGTTCCATGAGCGGCGGAGAGGCGCGCCTGTCCAGAAATTTGATACGCCATGGGCGCTAGCGGGGGATCGATGCCGCTACGCCGCGCCCATTCGTGCCTATCACCATGTCGCACGCAACCGATGGGTGTCGTACAGCGTTCGTTTGCAACGTGGAAGGTTGGTGGACTTATTCTCGTCACACCATCAGGGAGTTGTGCAAACGGCACAGAAAAAGAAAAATAGACGTTGACATCGCCGTGTACAGACTGCACAGGGCTGCATAAACAATCCGGGGTCGCGTCGCGGAGGGCCATCCATGGCGCCTTCCCAGCCCTGTGGAGTTGTGGAGCGCTAGGGCGAGCTTGGACCTGCTGCCCGTCACTGATAACTATCATAGCCTGCCCAATTCACTGATCAACACCCTGAAAGTACGTCGCGAAGACATCTTCGGCCCCGAGCACCGCGCTCTTCTTCACCTATGCGCCATGGCCACCGTAACCATAGGCAAATCCTATTTCGACGCTCTTCTACGCAAGTGAGTGCACACTATCTTGAACTTGGCTATGCGCCGGGCTGTTTGCTGATTAAAGTTTTAGGGCTGAATTTGTTCGTGTCCCTCAGGCAGTAGCTATGCATTTGGCACCTGTAGAGCTGACTCTTATCAACAGCATACTTCCAACCAGCCTGTCAGCTACGGCACTGATCTCTCGGACAACGTCACCATCAGTAAGGCAGAACATGAGTACATGGTACGTTTTATTGCACCCAACATCACTCCACACTTTCAAACTTTCTTCAGCATCCCTACAGCTCGCTCTGGTTCCTGCTTTTGGCTGCAAAAATGCTAACAATACATTTGCCCACAGACCCAAGCAGTGCGAGAGTACCGTACGTACACTCCTGCTCCAGCGCAATACTATTCGTTTCTGACCGTACCTAGACCTTCTTAAGAGCGCTTTATTCCGTGGAGGCCTGACGAACCAAACCTTGGATACACTGCTACAGGGCGAGAATGGTGCTTCGAACGAAGAGCCGTCGAGTTACGATTATGAATCGCAACACACACATACAAGATCGCAGGCTACTACTGTAGCAGCGCCTGCGTCAGCTCGTTACCCGAGAGGGTCCGATCATACCTCTGCCAGCCACGGACTCCACCCTAGACCTTCAGCATCGTTCCGTCGAGTCGTCAGCTACGGGGAATCGGAGTCTTTCACAGGCGACCTGGACAGCCCACCTGACGAATATGACGACCGGGATCGCGGACCAGCCCAGCGTATACCGCTCCACGATCAGCGCACTGTGCTCATCACCAACCTTTCCGAGCGTACCACACATAAGGACCTGGCCGGCATTGTCCGTGGCGGCAGACTGCTGGACATTTTCCTCCGCAATGACCGATCTGCAACGGTATCCTTCATCGAAGGAGCTGCCGAATTCCTTGCTTACGCTAAGCGTAATGACATATATCTGCACATGAAGAGGGTGAGATATGCACCTACCCCAAGGCATGAAAGAAGCTGACCATGCCAGCTTGAATTCCGTTGGAGCGACCGGCAATTCCACGTACCACCGCATGTGTCTAACAAGATCGCCGGCGGCGCTACGCGGAATCTTGTCGTCCGAGGCGTTGCAGGCAAGGTCACTACAGATCAGATCCGTGGCCATCTCGATCACATCCACAATCTCATCGTGGTGGACGTCTACTTCAGGAATGGCGATGCATACATCTCAACCAACTCTATCCATAACGCTTTGTTCGCCAGGACCTGCATGATGTCGCGTACTATATACAAGGGGATGCGCATCGAGGTACTATCCGGATGAATGCGCTGGACCGCTACCTCAGCCCAAAAAGGCCCACACTCCCGTCACTCGCGTGCCTATGAAGCCTGCACCTGTGGTCAACCAGTATGCTCTTCTGGATACCGGCTCCGACGATGGGTCAGAGTCTGAAGAGGAGTTGTACAGGACCAACGGTGTGCAAGTCGATGGTTACCATTGGGCTAACGGTTGTAGTAGCATGAACAGTGCCCATGGATCAGAGCTTGGCCCATTCCGTGGGGTCGGCGAGGACTTACAGTGACTTAATCCGGCCTTTCCGTTCTATCAAGTTTCTTCGCGTTGCGGTACGTTTCAAAGCAAGCTGAGGAAAATTCCGACTATCCAAGCTACATTCTCCATGCGAAGAGAGGGAAGCCAGCTATAGAGCTTCAAGTCGAATCACCATGAGTGAAGGCATGGCGATTAGAATAATAATATGGGTATGTTTTCGAGAAGAAGGTCGTGTCGTACAGCTCTCGATAGGTGTTGGTTGGAGTATGCTTCTTTTCCTATATAGATACCCCTCGGCTACTCTGGAATATGATTGTTTTACTTACAACACGTTGATCCCTTCACGTTTGAAGGAGAAGTCCATGATCAGCGTTTTGCCGGGATGGTGAACTCGCTCACCCCTGGGCAGAAAGCTTGTCACTTTTAGCGAGCACTAGTCTTGCGTCCACGCGCATGCGTCAGCTATGTCATACGCCTTTGATTAGCCTCACTTCTTAGATCATAACTTCACCACAGATATCCTCCTGAGTTAGTTGATCTATACCAACAAACTTTGTTGAATCAAGATGGCGCCGACGATCAAAGTTGCTGTTATCCAACTCTACCCAGAGGTATCTCCTCTACCCCACATCATCTTGATTACCCATCATGGTCGACCACATCTACACCATCAGGATCAGTTGCTAACATCAGCTAGCCACTACAGCCAGAGCACAATTTCAACAAAGCTGTTTCATTCATCCGCTCAGCAGCAGCTCAGGGCGCACAACTCGCCGTCCTACCCGAATACCACTTGACAAGCTGGAAACCCAACGATCCCGAGTTCCTAAACTGCATCGAACAATGCTCCGGCTACCTAGAGAAATACTGCTCTCTAGCCAAAGAATGTAACATCTGTAAGACCGTCCCACCACTCACAGCTCCACACATTCCCCAAAACTAATTCCTTAATCTCTCATCTAGCCATCGTCCCCGGCACAATTGTAGAATCCCACAGAGAAAACTCCGCAGCAGAAGACAAACTCCTCAACGTATGCTACTACATCTCGCCCTCAGGAGCCGTAACAGGAAAATACATCAAAAAGAACCTCTGGGGCCCTGAACGCGACCACCTCACCGGCTCCCGCCACGACCCGCACGAAGTCTTCGACACACCCATCGGAAAAGTCGGGCTACTAATCTGCTGGGATCTCGCCTTCCCCGAAGCTTTCCGTGAGTTGATTGCAGGTGGCGCGCAAATCATCATTATACCCACCTTCTGGACACTCAACGATTGCAACGAAGCGGGCCTTGCGCGGAATCCGGCTGCAGAGGCGCTGTTCCTAGATTCTATGCTCACGGCACGTGCATTTGAGAATACGTGTGCGGTTGTTTTTGCGAATGCGGGGGGTCCGCCCGGAATGGGGTATGCGGGGTTGAGTCAGGTTACTGTGCCGTTTGTTGGGGCGTTGGGGAAACTAGGGGGTGCAGGGGAGGGCATGTGTGTTGTGGATTTGGATATGCAGGTGCTTGAGGATGCGGAGAGCAATTACCAGGTTAGAAGTGATATTGCGAGGGGAGATTGGCATTATGTTTATAGGCATTCTGGGGATGGGAAGCTTTGAAGGATGGATGGAAAGTTCAGGAGAATTGCATATGGTGGATGTAGGTTAAGCTGTTGTGATGCTCATTGTCGAAGCGACACTGCTAGCGGTTTGTTGGTTAGAAGGGAATGCTGAGAAATTTGTTGAGTACGATTAGTGCTGTAGTCAATCCTGAAGCTGCATTGTGATTGTGAGGCTCTAACTTGATACTCTTGTATTACCTTTGACATCAAGTGACCATGTCTGGAATGTATGAGCGGGAAAGCACTAGTCTCGATCTAGGCATCGCATGCTGGCATCAATTAAGTAAAAACGAATGAAATATGTCTTCATTTTGATTAATCCAATTTACTCTCGACCAACATCGAGCTCGTCCAAATGCGCCACAAAGTCGCAAGACATGGTATCTGACAAAAGCTTGAGGAAGCAAACCGGTGAACTCCTACCCGCAGCGCGAACGGGTTCCTAGTAGCGCGCAGCGCCAGCCCCTCTCCCAAACTATTGAACGCCGATCATTATGGTCGGAAGCACGACTATGGTCCTGCGCCTAACGCAAATACCTCGACTCCATCGCATGCTGGGCGTCGACTGGTATTTCCGGGTCGCATGTGTGCATCCGTCTCTTGATTCAACTCTGGCCGCTACCACTGGTTTCGCTGTCGGACCTCTCGTCCTTGCGAACGTAGCCTATTTCCCTTGTCGAGACGCCGTGTTCGTCCGTACTCCAGGTCTCGCCAACGACAATGACCCTCGTTTTTCCTTTTTCCAGGAACTTTTCTTCGTCTCTTGCTAGTTTGGCTGCATTCTCCGGGGCGTAGATCTTTCGGTAGAATTCTTGGAAGCGGGCTTCGCTGTCAAACGTCATTTCTGCAATGCAGTCACAGTCCAGCTCGTTCATCTCGCCCCTTAGCATTAGAGGCGGTCGGTCGGGGTTTGCCGGTCCTCCGAACCCTTTCCGCGATATCCGCGCGAGATAGCGACGTTTGAAATCGATCGGCCAGCAGGAGGCGAGCAGCGAATGGGCCAGGGGAACGTGCGTGTGCTCATAGTGATCTCTGAACTCTTCCGAGGTAAGGTCGTGGTTGCGCGTGATGAAGAGGACGATGGTGTACGTCATGTTGGAGGGTGGGAAGCGAGTCAGAGGGCAGGGAGGCTCTTGACTGCGACAATACGGGTAGCGTGGGTGGTAAGGACAGTAGTAGGGTTTTGACAGCGGCGTGGCTTCCAGAGCGTCTAGAGACAGAGGAACGGCAGGCTTTTGTAGTTTATCAGCCACACTCCATGCGAAGACATCATGCTGGCACCGAGCGCGCCTAAAGCCTCCGTTATTGATGCACACAGCTACTCGTGCTCTAGGGCGAGACTACGGACCCGGCGCCGGTAAACGACATGGGCTCGCCATACTTTCTCAACGCCGTCACGATACCCAGCGCTGAGGAAATCGCCGGTGAGTCGAATCAGGACGCGTCAAAACAGCAGGAAGGCCGCGAGGATTGAGTGGAGTAGGCCTGTTGCGCACTGCCCCTCACAGCGCTGATCCCGGTCGCGCCTGCCCTCTGCTTGGGCGCGCTATCGATAGCAGACTGCCGCTAGCAAACGCACAGAACGCCAAATTTCGTGACAAAGCGGGGAGCAGCACCACGACACGACATTCACCCCCCGTACAAGCACCCGTGCCGTCGCCCGAACGAACACCCAACATGAGTCTGCGCGAGCGTGTCCCGCCGCAGTACCAGAATGGCGACGCTGCCAGGCGCGCCCCGGACGACGACTCGGACGTCGAGGAGGAGGCCATGGCCAACGACTACCGCGAGCAGGTCCAATACGACGGCATGGAGGACCTCGACCGCATGCCCTCGATGAACAGCAACCAGGACATCCACGCGCAACTGCAGGCCGCGGCCACCCCCCTCGAATTCCAGGCCACGCTAGAGACCAAGTTTGCGAGTTACGACAGCTACTGCAACCTCTTCCACTACATCCTGAACTCTGAGGGCCCCGTCGACCTGGAAGTGCCAAATGTAAGGAATATGGGATACTGAGGAATACGGCAGAGCTAACGCTGGGCATAGTACTACTGGGCGTGGGATGTCATCGACGAGTTCATCTACCAATTCAACAGCTTCTGCAGCTACCGCCAACGAGTCGCCCAGAAAAACGAGAATGAGGAGGAGATTGCGCTCCTGCGCGAGAACCCAAACACATGGGGCTGCTACAGCGTCCTCAACGTTCTGTACTCGCTTATCCAGCGGTCACAGATCAGCGAGCAGCTGGCGGCGATGAAGCGGGGCGAGGACGCGAGTCTGTACGCTGGAGAGTACGGCAACAGGCCGCTATACAAGATGCTGGGATACTTCTCCATCATCGGTCTGCTCCGCGTGCACTGCCTGCTCGGAGACTTCAGTCTCGCGCTCAAGACGCTCGACGATATCGAGCTCAACAAGAAGGCCATGTTCGCCCGTGTCATGGCCGCCCACTTCACCACATACTACTACGTCGGATTCTCCTACATGATGATGCGACGATACTCGGATGCCATCCGCATGTTCAGCCACATCCTCGTCTACGTCTCGCGGACAAAGAACTTCCAGAAGAACGCGCAGTACGATTCCATTACCAAGAAGAACGACCAGATGTACGCACTTGTCGCCATCTGTGTAGCCTTCCAGCCCACCAGGCTCGACGACACCATCCACACTGCCCTGAGGGAGAAGTACGGCGAGCAGTTCAACAGGCTGCAGCGCGGCGGCCCCGAGTCTCTTCCCCTCTTTGAGGAGCTCTTCCGCACCGCCTGCCCCAAGTTCATCAGCCCCACACCTCCCGACTTTGACAACCCAGAGGTCAACATTGACCCCGTTGAGCACCACCTCCGCATCTTCATGGACGAGGTCAAGAACAACATGATGTCTCCTACCGTCAAGAGCTACCTCAAGCTCTACACTACCATGGACCTGAAGAAGCTCGCTGGATTTTTGGAGGTTGAGCCAGAGAAGCTGAGGTGCTGGTTGCTCGTCAACAAGCAGAGGAGCAGGCAAATAAGGTGGGCCGAGGGTGGTCTGTTGGATGGTGATATCATTCAGGCCAGCGACCTCGACTACGCTATGGAGGGTGTAAGTATAGCACATCCCAGAAGCAAGACATTAGCTAATCAAAACCAGGACCTTATCCACGTTTCGGAGGCAAAGGTCGGCAGGAGGCTCGTAGACTGGTACCTCCGCAACTTGGCCAGGACTTACTAGACGGATCACGAGTGTTTTCTGAGAGCGACTATTCACATTCGGGGCCCGCACAATAGAGCATTGCGCTTGGAGTTGGAGGATTTCACGGGTGTATCCAAAAGCGTGTTTGCAAAATCTAAAGATACGCTTAGGCATAGGGAAGGCGAATATAGGGTCCAGGTCAGGGTATTCCACGACTGGATACCGCCCGCCGTGCGCGACGAATGGGCCGGGGGAAGGACAGGATGAGCGAACGAACAATGAGTTGAAGAATACCAACAAACTTTGCAGACTTTCAAATCACGTATCAATAAGTGGACGCTAAGTGGATGTGTGAATGCTTGGAACTTCACCTGGACATCGTCACATCATGTGGGGAAACAAGGGTTCAGCCTTCGTAGCAGACTGGTAGTAACTAGCGCATTGAGTGGACACGGCTGTTCTGCGTAATCTTCGCTTCTATTCGACCAACACCTTCCAAACAATCTTGACGAGCAAATTCCAGTTAAAGCGCATCGTTCGGAGCAAGCACGTCCGGAAAGATCATGGCGATAGAGTGAATGTCCTTGCCCCTCTCGGTCGCTCGTGCGCTCCGCAGATGCACTTTCCTCCCATCCACGTACTCGAAACCACAACAACAACGCCCAGTAATCGAGATTAGTCTCGCCTCCACGACCAGCCACCAGCTGCTTCTTCGATAGACATTCCAAGCCAGCGCGCCTCTCACGAGCCGTCAACGCTTTCACGCCAACCACACCCAGCGCGACACTCGCACCCAGACAAGCACGATGGCTCCGGATCTGAACAAGGTGCCGACCAACACAGGCAACACGTCGAGCACGCAACCGGCATCGGGCTCCTTGTCGCGTCAGACATCGTCACGTCAGGCATCTACACCGGGCTCTAGGCGAGCATCACAGATGGGCCCCCCGCCGCTGCCTCTCGCATCGCCTGGAGGTACCTTACCACCGCCCCAGTCAGCATCACATCATGTACACGGTTTCCCGCCTCTCAGCCCCAGCGCGAGCGGCTACATCCAGGCGAGCGTCGACTCAGCAGGCGTCCCCATGAGACACCCACGCCCTATGACACAAGCAGAGCTGCACCTTGAGCTCGAGAAGGAGCAGGAAGCAGTCGTCAACCGTCTGACGCGAGAACTTTCGGCTCTACGCGCGCACTCCGCGTCTGTAGCCTCCAACACGTCCATGTCAAGCGCCGCCGACTCTTCCGTCGCCCACGCCGAAGCTCCAACCGGACCAATGCATCCCACATCCTCGCGCCGCCACCGCAGTTCCTCGAGCGTCTCCCGCAGCGGTCTACCACCAGGCCACGTTCCACACCGTTACTCGATCTCCTCGCAGCCTGCAACGGGCGATTCCCAGCGCGGTCACCGCAGCTCGAGCGTCGTCAGCACCCCACGCTACGAAGAAGTGGCACAACACAAAGCGGAGCTGGAGGAGGTCAAAAAGGAAAACGAGGCCTTGAAACAGCGCATTCGTGATCTCGAGCGCATGATCAGGGGCGGCAATGACGCTGCTGACGGTCAGAGGGGTCGGAGGGGTGCACCGCAGTCGCAGAGCAGCGGGGTTGGCAACGCTTCTGACACTGTGCAAGTACCTGCTAATGAGACAGCAGGGGTCCCCTAATAAAGCTGTGAATAGGGTGAAGGAGATGTGTTTGTAGGGTAGCACTGAGAAGGTGTGTTAATAGCGCAGGTCATGCTCAAGTTGCATGTGCGATGGGGTGGAACATGATTGCTCCCGCCATATCATCAGTTGTCAACATGGAGTTTGAGCGATTAGTCGGCACGGGTATGCCAATTGGCATGCTTACAACATTTCCATTCCAGTTCTACCATTAGTATCAAATGAACAAACAAATTGAATAAACCCTTCTCTGGCCATGTATCTAGATAATATTTATATTCTCCTTCCCCCCAGATCCCGTTACTTCACATGTTACCATCTTGCACCCCTTATCATTATCACAAACCTTGCTTCTTTCCACCCGCCACGGCATATACGTAGATCTACCGACTAACGCCGCTGATCCTCACAACACGCAACCTAAACCAAAACTGTACACGTAAACCCCCCATCCCTCATCACTATCCCAGCCGTCGATCTAGTTTACACTCGCAGCGCAGACCGGCAGATCAGCGGACGCGGGATGGGATGCAAAGAGGGGACTGAGGCGTTCAGTTGGATAAGGCTATCCTGTGACGATGATGACATATGTGCGAGATGTGTTTTTATGGCGCAAGCAGGTTCAGGTTTAATCCCTCATCGCGCATTACGAACGCTCTGATGCGCTGTGCTGTGCTGTGGAGGACGGGCGGGATGGGGCATCGGCATGGGGGCCGGTGTTGGCATGGGATGCGATGGGACGGCATGGGATGACATGACATGAGAATGTAAGCAAAAAAGCAGCCCCGCGTACGTCATTCACATTGAGGCACAGGTTTGAAGGAGCCTGATGTTTCGTTTTAAATTGGGGCTGAAGGTCGGGGTATTTCGGGGTATATACGTGAGGCGGACGACTGAGCTTGTTTGGAAGTTGCAAGTTTTTGAGTTTCGCAGCGATAGGTTTTCTTGGACGATACAGATATATTATTGCGCGAGGCTGCTGTTACCGTTACTACTCAGGTATGATTTGTGTGTTTGACGTTTAGATCATGTTTGTTAAGAAATCAGGAACAGAACACCTACTTTCAGAACCATCATACAATATGAACTGGCTATCTAATCTCCTCCGCGGTAAACTGAATAGCATTGGGGAAAAGAAGAGGAGGAAGAGTAGCAGCCAACGTGTTGATGACGGGAGCGATGGTATGTACATGGATAACATATCCCGGCCGATGTAAAACTATTTAGACACGGAGAGATGCGATTTCTTTGCTAACTATATGTTCAGCTTTCCCGCCGAGCGCGGTAACAACAACTAAAACAACTACGGCGCATAACCCACCCACTTCAGTCTCACCACCCCCACCCACATCCTCCAACCCTTCAACCATCTCATCGGCGCCACAACGGCCGCCCATTCCTCGCATACCTACCGATATCATTACTGCGACGGAAAAGGGTATGATAGGCGCCCCCTTCTGCATACCGAGTGACTCGTCCACGACGTCGAGCCAAGGGCATGAATCTGAGGCGAGAGATGTGGTCGGGGAAGGGACGTTGCTGACGAGGGCGGAGGAGGCGTGTGGTGGGGAGGGGAGGAAGAGTAGTTGGGTGGGTGGAGAGAGGGAGGGTGGGCGGTGTGTTATGTTTAAGGGGGTTGATGTTTAGGGGTTTGTTGGAGGGGGTTATGGAGTTATAGGGTGAGGTCTGGATATGGAGTCTGGAATTGCGTATGTTGAAGGGGTTGGTGTACGATAACGTGGAGGTCTTGATTGAGAGACGTTTTTCTTGTCTCGGTTTCATGGAAGAAAGAGATGAATCCTTCCTTTCTATCTCTTAACTGCCCCAATTCGTCAACATCGAAGAGCGCGTAAAATAGTAACGATACCATCACAATCCCCTTGTCTTTCCTCACACCCTCCTGCTACCAGTCATCTTCCTGTTCTCACTATGCCGCTTCGCCTTCAACGCATCCCGTCTCCTCTTCTTCCACGCACGATTCAAATCACCCCGATTCTCCCAGAACCATTTCTTAAACTCGCTCTCTGGCTTCTCCTCTTTACCACCAGCGGCCGCTGCATTCTCTTCCTCTTCTTCTTCGTCTTCTTCTGCGACCTCAGCTAGCTTGGCTTTGGCATTTGCGCGCGTGTTCTGAGATAGGCGTTGTTCGGCGAGGGAATCTAGGTCGCCCATGTCCTCGTCGTCGTCGGCTTCTTGGCTGTTCTTGCGCCAGTCGAAAGAGAAGCGGCGACCGAGGCCAGCGGTGTCGGGGGTTGGTGCCGCGCTGCGGAGGCCGCGCCATTCAATGTCTCGTTGAGTGAAGGGGGTAGTGGGGGCTTCATCGATGGGCTGGCCGCGCTCGTCGTCGACTTCCATCGTGTCTTCGTTGTTGTCGAAGAAGCTGAAGGATGTGTCGATTGGAGTGAGCTTCTTGGCGGGGGTTGACGTTGCGCCATCTGCGGGCTTTGCGCGCTTGAATAGTGCTTCGAGGGGGTGGACCTCCTTCTCTGAGGATATAGTTGGCTGGACTTCGGGTGTTTTCCTGCTTTCCACAGGACGAGCGGGAGAAGATGCAGACGATTCGGCTTCTGATTCTGATTCCGACTCAGACTCGGAGTCGGAAGAGTCCTCATCTTCGGAAGAAGACGAAACTACTGATGATTCGTCCTCAGATTCAGAAGATGATGGTGGAGGACTAGCTTTCTTCTTCTTCTGGTCCTTCGTGGTCGTAGACTTTCCTGTGCCGTCGATCCAGGCTCTTTGAGCCTCTGAGGGCGCGTCTACCAGTTCCAGAGCTCGCCTAGCCTTGGCCTTCCCAGTCTCAGGCTCAACAACAACACCGTCCTCGTCGACCCAACCCTGACCATTGACATAGTCGACTGCAGGCTTCGTTGACAGGGCGACCTGTGGTTGCTTCAGGAAGCTGGGGGTCTTGATATTCTTCTCGAACTCGTGAACAACGACTTCATTTATCTTTGACTTGTTCTTCTCCTTTTTCTCCTTCTTCACCTTCTTCTCGTCCTTGTGCGCGGCTTCGGTCGCAGCCACGGGTGTCAGCTTCGCCTTGAAGAGCAGCTCAGCATCTTTGGTATACTTTGAAGGCTTCCGCTCCTTCTTCTCATCCTTGCCACGCTTGTCCTTTTTGTCTTTCTTATCCTTCTTATCCTTCCTGTCCTTCTTCGACGGCTCAGTCCAACCGCGCTTGACCTTTCTGTCGTCTGGCAGCTCTACACCTTCCAGAACGCCCTCTTCCCTCTTCTTCTTCTCTTTCTTCTCCTTCTTTTCTTTTTTCTCCTTCTTCGCGCGCTTCGAGGGGCGTTCGGTATCCGCCACTTCCTTCGCCGCGTCGGCTTCTGCCAGCACCTTGCGCTTCTCTGGTTTCGCCATCTCTATCCGCACCTTCGCGCCTCTCAAGATTGTGCCGTTGAGCTTCTTCTTGATCTTTTGAGCTTCAGGTTCGGGTAGCTCTACGTAGCCGAAACCTTTCTCGGGGAATGTGGCAACGGTATGGTACGAGATATTCTGCGCAGAGGGAAGGACAGACGGCGCGACGTAGACCTTGAGCAGCTCGGGGCGGAAAGGCGTGATATGCAGGCGGACGACCTTGCTTTCGGGTTGCGCTTCGGAAGAGTTAGGCGCTTGTGCTGCTGGCATTGGGTCGCAGATTCGCGCGCGTGCGACAGGTGTATAGGACTGTGCGCAAAGACTCCAAGGCGTCTGGAGCAAATAATACGGGCTACAAGGTTGAGCGACGCCTGTAAGCGTCGTGTAGAAGTGTCGGGGCCGGAGGGGAAAGGAAAATGCTTAGCGCGACAAGGGACCCAGCTATCTGGTCTTAGCGCGAATGCGGGCGGAGGTTTGGAGCTCCACTCTGACCATTATTATGTTCATCGCGCGATAGACGTCTAGACTTAGATCAGATTGACATCTTGTTAACACTGCAATTGATTTGTCGCTTGTACAGACTCAATACGTTATCTCTCGTTGCCACCACCACGATGCGGAGACCGCCGTACCTGCTCTTCCTTTTCCTTACCTTTCTCTCATCCCTCTCCCTGTCCCTTGCAGCCTGTATGTCTCCTCCCTTCATACGCAGACACTTGCTTACATACTATAGCGCGAACGTCTTTCTGCAAATGCACCTGCTTCGGCAACAGCACCATCGTAGCCCTCGACGCGCCCAGCACGAAGAAGCCCGCCGCCCTCGAATTGAAACCCCGCGCCTCCAAGAAGACATGTAACGACTGCAACCGCCAATTCTGCCTCGGTTATGGCTTCTGCGCAGGAGAGAAGGAGGAGAACGTGCTTACAACTTGTTTTCAAAGGGACTCTGCGAAGGACCAGGCAGTTGTGTTTGTGTTCATCGGAGCGACGGTGGGGCTATTGGGGTGGGCGGCATTGCGGCCTTATGTTGAGGGATGGAGAGAGGTACGTGTAGATGAGCGAGGCCGACTTGCTCGGGGACTGACTGGAAGCAGCGTGCACGGGAACGTCGAAGCTATATACCAGTGGCTGGTCAAGGGAACTAGCGAGTGGAAGGCTTGGAAATCGTTTGAACATGTATTCCGTGTGCAATATGGACACGAAACGAAGATACCCAAGATGATCGTTGACTCCTTCGTAACTGCTGAAGAACTCCATCATGCATACATCTAATGTGACAGCAATGTACAGGCTGAGGTCGTATATAGTACACTGAAGCGTCTGGCTTCACTCTCCGCTGTCCTTTCTCTACTCTTTCTTCGATCCACCCTTCATGAATCCAAACCAGCCCTTGCCGGTCTCCTCCACCTTGTGCACCGCCTTCTCTGCTGTGTTGTCTAGCGGCCCTCCGACTACTGGTGTCGATGATGTGAATGTGGATGTTGTGTCGTTCGCCCTGGCTTCTTGTACCGCAGCAGCGATGCCCAGGTTTGAGTTGCCTTGGGCTTCTTGCCGCTTGATCTCCTCCACCGCCAACTTTCTCTGCTCTGCGATTGCTTGGTCCTCCTTCCAGTCGCCGTGCAGCCACCATAGCAGCTTAGAGGGGGCCTTTCGCTCTGCCTTCTTCCTCTCCATTGCTTCTTGCTCCTCGGCGATACCTGTGACGAGAGCGGCTTGTGCGGGTGAAGCTGTTCCTGATGCGACGGCATTGCGGGCGGCTTCGAGGATCCTGGCTTGGACCCGTTCCTCTTCGGCGAAGTAGATTGCTCGTTTCCGTCGGTTGTAGACGATCATGTCACCTATTGAGAAGACTGCGAGGACACCGACGCAACCTGTTTAAATAGTTAGCATCATTGCTTCCCAGTGGCCAGTGCAGCCATTGGCTATTCGTATGCCCACATACCCGTTGCAAATATCAAGCCGTAGACGGTAAATCTATGCGCCGCATCCGCCGCCATTCTACCGTACAAGTACATGTAATCCCACCTCGTCACCTGCGCCATCTTCGCCCTGTTTGCTGCCTCTCGTAACCGCTTGACTTTCTGTTGTGGCGTTTCGTTTTTCGGTGCGGGATCCGCGAATTGCAGCGTCGTTGCCCGCCCGCCAGGTCTTGTGTGCGCCCATACTCCAGTGGCTGTGAATCGCGTCGACTCCTTCGGTGATTTTGACATAGGGGGCGGCGGTGGGAGAAGCGCTTGGGGGGCAAGTGTTGTGGAAGGAAGATGTCGTGAAGATCGGAGCGGGAGAACGAATGATTCGATGATTTCCAAAAGTCGAGATGGACTAGGGTTCGATGCGGAGATTTCCGCCCACCTGCCCGCTAACGTACATCGCCAGCCATACCAAGCTCGATTGCTTATCAGATCTTTCTCGTGTTTAGGTTGGGGGGTCGCTGGTACGTTGAGTCCTAGAGGGCAGCAAAATATAGCATGAGCATCGCAGGCCAACGATTGCTTCTCTCTCTGCAACTTGATCTGGGCGCAAACAACACGCCATGTTCCAACGTTCACGCTTACAATTAACACCACTCTTGCAACATCCTAGCGTTGGAGATTCGCCTTGACATCATCAAAACGTGCAGTCGCAGACATGGCGGGAAACATCAATCAAAATCTAGATTTGGAACAAATTTTGGCTACGCTTGCGAACCTTCCCAAACCGGAGGCTCAGCCGGTTCAAGATCAACAACAACAACCATACCAACCCTACCAGACTCAGCAGGGATATCCAGAAACTCAACAGGCATACCCGAACCAGCAAAATACCCAGTATCAGCAACCAACTGATCCTCGCTTGGCTGGTCGCGCGTCTCTTCAACATCGACAGCCACCCCCGAAACCGCAGGACAGAGTTTCTTCTCCGTTCATCGATCCTTCGACCATCACGGAATGGAAACAAGGTCTCCGCTGTGTGAGCAAGATAGCTTCTCAGAACCCAGACTTTGCTCCTGCAGTTCGCAAGGTAGGCCATACGTCTCTTATGAACCCACGTATAATGCTTACGAAACAATCAGTTAATGAAAGATCAAGAGTCGAATGTCAAGTCTTGGGAGGCCGGACGGAAGAATATCATTGATGAACACAAGTTTAAGCGCGAGAATGAGCGAACTCATAGAGCTGCGTTGTACGTTGTAGCTACCTTCCCATGACAGCTGGCTAATGTTTGTAGGTCTCTACCAGGTCTCTTAGAGAATACACCCGCGCTTCGAGTATGTGTCAATACATCTGTCGTTGTGGATGAATACTGACGCGGCACAGACACCAGAGCGTGAAAAGGAAGAACTTGACCAGTATGACGCCAAGGTATACCGAGCTTCCAAAGCCATGGTCGAATCACAAACATCGTCACTCAAAGTTTTGGGTGTTCCCTTCTTCGGTGTAAAGCCACATCTGGTACTAGGCTCCAGCTACGACCCGACAGAAGTGGGAGACTCACAGCCCACACCGACGGGTGGTAAGATATCAAAAGAGCAGCTTCTCGAATTGCAGCGGAAGATGCTGAACCACTTGATGGAGCTGTATGGGGACTGAGGAGGCTTCTTTACAAAACGAAGACGCTTCGTCGCCACAGAACGATCAGTAGTCTGCCAGTGCTAATGGTGGGTGGTTGCCGGGCTTCGGACTTAGCTTTCTGATCCTAGACCAAAACGTTCTGTTTCCTTACCATATCCGTGCATTCACCACCCCAGATAGCCTCTAGCTGCAAACGTTTCTATAAAGCGACATCGGCCCATGGTGATGACGTCAGCTGCGCGATGTTACCGGCAACAGTGGAGAGCAGAGTGAGCGCGCGAGTGCAAACGTACGCGAATCTCCCATTCACTGGTCCAAGTAATTGCCTCGACATCATTGGCTACTCAAGGTAAATGGGGCTAGTCTCTGTTGGCAGCAATCACTCTCATAACAACAAAACATCCGCCTGTTCTGTAATCATCAGCTTCCAGTCACCTCACCACGCTCATTGAAGTATCAGATCAATTCCACATTCTTTTTGCTACCCACACTCGCTCCTTCCCTCTACTCACTTCAACCTCAGTCGTTCCTTCCGATACAAACGTTCACCCTCTAAGATGAACACTGTACGCGCACTCACCATGATCGCAGTTGCCGGTAAATAGTTTCCAATCAGCCCACTTACCCACTATATCATTCTTGCTAACTCGAATGTAGCAGGCGCTGCCGCGGAATCTGCCCAATGGAGTCCCGCTATCAACCACGTTCTCGCTCATGCTGTAGCTACACGTGACGACCACTGCGCTGAGCTTCCAAAGCTCTGCACAGATGCGGTGCTGCTACGTGGCTATGAGACGACTCTGACCTACCTGTGTCCCGAGAAGACCGAAGGCCCATCTACTGTCACCGTCACTACAACCAGGACGACTACGGTCACGGCTGACAAGAGCCTGACCTCTAGCGTTGCTCCCGCTCCCACCTCGGATGTTGGAGCTTCTCCTTCAGGACAGCCTAACCCCAACATTCCTGTCTCAGCCACTTCAGACGCTAGAGGTCCTCCCGCAGAGGAGCTCACCACAACCGTGATCATTCAGTCAACAGTCCAGGTTACCATCACTAGATCGGTCACCAAGGTCGCCCCCAGCTCCACGTCTTCGCTTCTTCCTCCTCCATCGATCACTTGGTCCTTCACGGCGGTCCTTCCTACCGATGTCAAATCCTCTCATGTCTCGGGCGGATCGTCGTCGGCGTCTCGCATTGAGCTACCTTCGACAGTGTCGTCCGTCGGTCCGCCGTCATCTAGCACGAGCAAGTCGTTTGGATTGTTCCCTAGCCATACTGTTAGCAGCTCGTCTTCGGTGGCTTCCACGTCTTGGTCACCTTCGACGTCTTCGGCGGCTTCCACGTCTTCGTTGGATCCCATGTCTTCGGCTGCTTCCACGTCTTCGATGGCGGCTTTACCGTCGGGTGGTCATCTTGCTCCACCTTTCGCGAACGGTACCGCTATCAGCTACACCCCGGGCATCTTCCCCACTCTGAACGCAAGGAACGACAAGTCCACCACGACTATCACCTCTACGGTCACTCACCATGCCTCTAACCATGCCATGGACTCTGCCCATGCCTTGGACATCGCTCATGCTGCGGCCACCGAGACCAAGAAGGGCCAGGCGGGAGATAATCGGGCCTCGTTCATTGCGCTGTTCTTCGGCGTGTTGGTTGCTACCTGGCTTATCTAAGGAGGCATAGCTACTTCTCTTGGATAGCGGTATGGCAGTGTGAGGAACGAATGTTCTGGATTACACGTGCGACGGTGTTACGATGCAATGTGTCGAGTGTTTTCACGAATGACACAATATGTACATAATCATAGCGGCACGTCAACCTAAGAATAAGCTGAACGCCATGGAGCCTACATTACCACAAAGTTTCTCAGTCTACTCACTTTATTCTAGTGTAGTCCGCAGAACTGTTCGGCTTTTTTCTTGCAAGAAGTGGCGGTGTAACGGCCCTCTGAAGCAGATAGAGACATCACAGGAAATGGATGCTTGATTGTATGTATACTTCTTGGTTTCGAAGTGACATGGAGTGCCATATGCATAGGCTCGGCGATGGCTGCAGCGACTTCAAACAGCGAGCTCTCCAGCAGCTTGCATAAGGAAGTGATCAAGCCGTAAAGTAACTTGCTCCAATGTGGGAGTATCTTCTCCAACTACCTGCTGTGCACCGACAGAAATAAGCCAAGGGCGATTGCGTGCCTTCGACTCTAAATCATCGAGCTCTTCTAAAGCCTCAATAAAGTCTGCTCTTTTCAGTTCGAAGGCGTCGCCGTCAAACGCCCCGGAGCTCCATCCACAATCGCGGTAGATCTTTTGCCACGCTCTTACTCGATTAATGTCCCGCCGCAACCAGTCAGCACCATCTGGGCCGTGCTGCTGCCTCAAATGCTGGATCGCAGCGGTTGTATCAGTAGGAAGGCGAATTCCTCCCGGAAAAAGGTTCTGCATAACAATAGGATCTTCCAAGATCTTGCGCGCGGGTGGATGGGAAGGATCGTCGTCCTCTCGGGGATCGAAATATGGAGCCCATTCCAGGCTTTGAAACCTTGAGATAATTTCATCGAGCACAGTCTCTACTGGTCTCCTAGGCGCTTTCTCCCATTCGTCGCGGTCAGGTTCCAACTGAAGACCACTCGATTGTCGTTTCTGTATTCCGTGAATGTTTAAACTATCGGTACGCAATCAATTAACATACGGTCCTGTGTATCATAGATCAAGTCAGTACCGTAGTGCCCGCTATGCGTATCACCGCTTGTCAACCTCAGCATGTAAGGCGGCAGCAACTTAGTATCCTCATCTCGCTTCACCCTCTCACCCCATCGCAGATCCTCGACGAAATCTGTGTCACCGGAGTCGGCGAAGTATGTCACGGCTTTTGAGCGGGGGATCATTTCGACGCCGAACCACTGCCACCCTTCGACGATTTCGCTGCGCATTGCGGGCATCGATCTTATCAACTGAATGACCTCAGAATCCAGGCCTATTTTCTCGAAAATGGAAGTTGCGACGGTCTCGGAAGAGTGAGGTGGGCGAATGACATCAGATGAGGATACGTAGCGCATCGTGACGAAGAGATCGAGAAGTTTTGTCAAGCGGGAGATGAATCCCGCGTGCTTCTCCGCTATCGACTCCATCGTCGCAAGTGTTGTGGGAATGATGACGAGTTGGTGGAGGTGGTGGATGGTTCTCAGGGCCTGGGGTCGTGCGCGTACCTAGGTAGCTTCGCGATCCAATCACCAGACGCGCGACCGCGACGAACAACCTCAGGCTAGCCTTCACCACCACTCAGACAAGCGGCATCTCCAACGAACCTCTCCCCAAGACAGCCATACCCACGGCTAAATCCTGCTGTTGCACAGCGCCCACCCGACACTTCTAGCATACAAGTGCGCGTGCACCAGAGCCACTTCGCCGACACGACGGCATTGATCGCCTTTGCGATTCAAAGACCGCCTACACTCACGTCACGCTGCAAAGGCTACTGCAACTTCACGACCCTCTCAATCGCCAGACGCCTCTAGAACACTCGGCAATATGGTTGGAAAGAAATCGGGTAGAGCCCAATTGAGGGAAGAGGGTACGGCATCGGGATACCACAGCGCAAACATGGCAACTAACAAGCTTGCAGGTCTGGAGCGGACAGACAACAACATGGACCTCACGACATGGCCCCAGGTCGGCATGATCAACCAAAAGAACTACTATACCGAATTCCTCAAGCGCGACGAACAGTTCCTCGCCGTACGATACCCCAAGGATGAAGAGAGGGCGCGCATAGTACAGGAAGCTAGGGACAAGGATCGCGCACGAGCGTTGGGTGCACCGGCAACGGAAGGAGCGACGCCACAGCTTGCGGACGAGACAATGGAAGATGCCGAGGTTTCCTTCGCATCGAGAACCGACATCTCCAAGCTTATCGTGATACATCCTGGCAGTCAGAACTTGAGGATAGGCCTTGGGTCGGATGCGCTACCCAAGACTGTACCAATGGTCATCGCACGCAAATGGAAGGAGAGTGAGGACGAGGAGGACGAGGGTGAGCCTAGCCCCAAGCGGATGAAGGTCGAAGGTGCTGTGCCCGCGGATGCCCTGCCTGAGAAGTGGTTCGGAGAGGATGTGAGTATTTCAGTACTAGTCCCACGGGCGATGCTAACTTGCGACCAGTTTGCCGACCAGTACATGGCTATGTCATCCGAACTTAGGACAAGGATGCGATCCAACAAGCGACGAGTGCTCCCCAACTCGAAAGACCTTGTGACCAACTTCAACCGAAAATCACCCCCAGACATCATCTCCGAACACAATGACATCAACCGCATCGAGTGGACAGAACTACCTGCAGACCCCAAGAAGGCACCAGACTTCTTCACTGGGCACGATGCGCTGCGGATACCCGAGAGATCCAACCCACGATACAAGCTATTCTGGCCGATACGGAACGGCACATTCAATGAGAAGGACTATCGAGACCGCAATCAAATCTACCATGACATCTCTAAGATATTAGAAGAGGCCTTCAGGAATCAACTCGGTATTACCAGGCTAAAGGACCTTGTCAACTACAAGTGCGTCTTTATCATACCAGATCTCTACGAACGACAGTACGTCACTATGATACTGGACATTCTCATGCGGGATCTTGGCCTTGGAAAGGTCTGCCTGCAGCAAGAGTCACTTTCGGCTACGTTTGGTGCTGGCTATGGTGTTGCCTGCGTAGTTGATATTGGTGCCCAGAAGACGTCCATCTGCTGCGTTGACGAAGGTCTTTGTGCTGAGGAGTCCCGTGTCAACCTCAAGATGGGTGGAGCTGATGTGACCGAGACGTTCATCAAGATGATGCTTTACGGGCATTTTCCATATGCGGACATGAACTTGAAGCGGAGATACGACTTCCTGCTTGCCGAGGAGCTGAAGCAGAAGTTCTGCTCTATGGATGAAGGCTCAGTCACTGTACAAACGTGGGACTTCCATCTTCGCGCTTCGGGCCAAGACACACGGAAGTACACTTTCAAGACGTACGACGAGACTATGCTTTCTGTCATGGTGAGTAACTCAATAATTATGTAAGATTGACCTTGCTGACGAATTCAGGGATTCTTCAAGCCTTCGATCTTTGAGAACGCACGGAAACTCGAGAACAGGAGGAAAGTTATGCCACGCTCCGTCGACCTCTACGATGGCTCACCCAACGACCCCATCTCGCAAGCACAAATTGCCATCATCGAAGCCGCAGCCGGTAAACCTGTCGTACCCACCATCAACGGTGCGTCAGAAGCCGTAAACAACACAGCACCCGCCTCAACCCCCCAACGCCCCCAGCCAAACCCCTTCAACCTGCTCGGCCGCCTCAACGACAACGAAGGCACACCCCGCTCATCCGTCGCAGGCTCACCCGGCCCCGAAGGCAGCAACACGCCCAACCCCGACCGTGACACCCCTATGGGCGACACGGACGGCGCCCCCCTCCTCTTCCGCGACCCCATCCACGAAAAGACCAAGCTAGCCGAAGCCCGCGACGCCATCCTTCCCATCCACTCGCTCGACGCCGCGATCCTCGAATCCCTCTCCCAAGGTGCCCGCGGCGACGATCGCAAACTGCGCGACTTCTTCGGCGGCATCATGCTCGTTGGGGGTGCATCCAAAACACCCGGTCTTCGAGAGTTCCTCGAAATGCGACTGCGTGAGTTGCGTCCCGGGTACGGCAAGGAGATTCTTGTGGGGCCCCCGCCGCGCGACTTTGATCCGCAGGTTGTGGCGTGGAAGGGAGGCAGTGTGTTTGGAAGGTTGAGTGGGCATGGGAATGATGGCTGGATTAGTCGGTATGAGTATGATATGTTGGGGGCGAGGCTGTTGAATAATAAGTGCATGTTTGCCTGGTAGAATGGAGTAAACAGGGATGCTGTGGATAGGTTTGGTGGTGACAAGAAGGGAAGTCGAGACGGTTAGGCTGTTGGGGAGTGTTTAGATGGCGTGGGTTACTGGGTAGTGTTGGAGCATCATAGGGTTGGTGTGGAAGGGTGAGACCATACATTCGGATAAGGGCGCATCCTAGTGGGTTCATTCAGGGTTGTATTTCTTGTCGAATAACAATGTGTTACGAATACCACTTCCTCAATAATCTGGTCATGGTCATACTACAAGTCACTGCAGTGATGTTCTTGGTTAGATGGATATAGCTTGTAAGTCATGATTGTATTTTGTCTTATATTACATACACTAATGTAATAACAGATGAGAGTCAGACCGCTTCACCATGTGACTGTCATTGCGCATCATAGCCGTGGCACCATTTTGCGCATACATCGCACACACTCTCTCGAAAACCCTCCTACGTGCGGAAGCCACCAGCTTACAATGAGACATCGGCAGGCTCGCAGACCTTCTTGTGAACCTTCCAATGCTTCTTCTGGCACTCGGTGGAACAGTACTTGCGGTTCTTGCACTTGGCACAAGCAAGCAGGGCGTCGCCTCCCGGTCTAACCTTGACACCACATCCGCCGCACAAGTCCGGCTTGTTGAACTGCTCGCGGAGCTCCTTGACGACAAGCGAAGTGGTCGAATCTGTCATGCCAGTGCTGAAGAGACCTCCTGGGCCAGGAACGTTCATCATCTGGAAACCCATTCCGTTGTCAGGCTCAGAGGGCCTAGCGTTGGCCTCTTCGGCGATGCTCTTGGATTTAAAGTCGTAAGGAACCCCGTTCTTGTAACCGTTTGGACCGAAGAGCGCCTTCTTCATCTGACCCTGAGCAGCAGGCATGAGACCGCCTTCAGTATAGACTTTCTTGAGCATGGTGACGTAGGGAGCGGGGAGTTTGCATCCGAGTGTCATGGCACAAGCACCAAGCAGGACGTAGGCGTAGGTGGGATCCGGTCCCCAGCTTCCGAACCACTTCTCCTTTAGGCCGGTGGGACCAGCAAGCATCTTCGCCTCCTTTGTAGCGATCATGTCGACGAGGATACCGGAGTCGAGATGCTTGCGGATGAGGTTGGGGTGGGAGCAATAGGTGGCGTAGGTGCTATATGCAACGCAGCGTCCTGCTTCTTCCTCAGACTTGCCTTGAGCTCGAGCCCTAGCCTGAGCAGCTTCCATGAGTGGAAAGAGACCGGCTTCTCGATCGAGAGCTTCGACGATATCGAAGTCGTGGTCCGACTGGAAGAGACCTGACGTGACGTTAGTTGGCGAGGTTATCTTGATGTAGCATGGTCGTGGCTTACAGTATCCCCAGGCACCCATCTTGAAGGTTCAGTGGTATGAGATCTCCTGTACAGTGTGTTGAAGCTGAGCGGTTGATAGAAGCAGTCTCGGTGGATTGCTGCGGATGATTGTTGACTGGGCTGAGCTTTACTGTAGGAGGTGAGTGATGAAGTGAAGACGAGAGGAATCCATTTGATAGCTGAAGGTGTAACGCGTCGCGTGATACGTCATGTGGAAGATCAGGCTGCAATGTCGGCTGTCGAGGAAAGAGCGACCACGCGTGTTCCCGTGACCCAGGCGCCTTCCTCGCATGTTGCCATCGCGCTCCTGAACAGCGAGATAGCCCTGGAGGCCACTTCTTGATTTAGTCTCACCCAGACTTTAGCGATAATACTGTCAAGTTTCTCAACTACCATTAAAGATATTGATAACCTCGACGCGGGAACTTCTAACACGTTCCGGGTTGACGCACATTACTTGTTACGGAGGTCACGGTCATTGAGGAACCAAGTATTGAAGTTTGAACATCGAAATAGATATTAACTACTGATTAAACAAGTAACCCAAAACGTCTATGCATACGAAAGATAACAAACCCGCTCAAAAAACATCAAACGGTACTCTCAAAACGCTCAAGCAGTTCCAGCATCCTTCTCCCCGCTCCTCTCACCAGGGTGTCCACCCTGCTGCACCACCTTCTCAGCAGCCTCCTGTGCCTTATCCGCGGTACCTTTCGCCTTCGCCCCCTTCTTGTTCTTATGGAAGAAGCTCTTAAATGAACTAAGTTTAGCAACGCGGAAGAGGTAGTAAGTAAGAACAGCAATAGCGGCGTTGAAACCAATGAAAGCAAAGATGATACCAAAGTTCCTCCACCTCTCGCCGTAGTAGATCGACGAGCCGGCCAAGAACTGGTCGGCATTACTGAGCGAACAGTAGTTGCAGCTAGCAGTCGCGTCTGGGTTCTGGATTGTGCCGCCAGCAGCGGCAGCGTAATCGGCGAGATAAGCACCGCACGTCTGGCCAGCTGGAGGGTCGAACACGGAGACTTCGCGTTCGCTGCAGACGACTTGTCGGCCGGAAAGCATAGTGGAGACCATGCCGCCGATCCAGTATGTGAAAGGACTGCAGCGGTACATGAAGAGCCAGAAGCCAGGGAGTTGGTCCGGAGGCTGCAGGACACCGTTGAAGAGGATGCTCATGAGTGTAAGTAGCGAGACGAGGCCAGAAGCTGTCTCGGCGTCGGGTAGCGCTGCGATGGTCATATCGGCGAAGGTGGATGTGTAGATGAGGAGCTGCATGCAGAACAACAGGACCAAGCCCTGGCGTTCGCTAGATTGGTTCACACCAACGACGGGATAGTAGAAAGTTACAAACATGAAAATACCAGCGATGATGCCGTAGGGTATCTCCACAACGATGTTCGCGATCATGAAGGCGATCCAGCTGTAAGCCTTGGACGGCCTCTCGCGAGACTCGTAGAGAGAGCGTTGGGTGACAAAGAGAGGCTGGATCTGCTGTACAAGCGACGAGAAGATTGTTGTGAGCATGAAGACCGAGAAGATGATGGTCTGCATGCCAGCTAAAGTCGTGTTGGCCTTGTAGAAGGAGAAACCGATGAAGAGACCCGCGATGGCGCAGAGACCGAATTTAGCCATGACGTAGCCGGGCATGCGCCAGTATTGCTGGAAGGCTCGGTATGTGCATTCGACAATTTGCGTGGTCAATGGCATGGCGAACTCGCCTCCACCAGTCTCCGCTGCAATGTTGAGTTCCTCGCTCTTCTTGGCTTCGTGGAGTTGATCGATGTCCTTTTGGACGCCCTTAGCTTCTTCACTCTCTTTCCAGACGTCATGCCAGTCCTGACCGTTGTCGTTCTTGCCGGCGTTGACAATCTCCAACATGTACTCAGCCGGGTTCTCGTCCTCACCGCACTTGCGTGCACCGTTGTTCTGGAAATAATCCAGGAGTGTTTGGGAGTTCTCGCCGAGCTCGCCAAAGTAGACGGTCCTGCCACCGCGAGCAAGGAAGAGGAGACGATCGAACTCTTGGAAGAGGATAGCGCTGGGCTGGTGGATGGTGCAAAGGATGGCTTGGCCAGCAGAGCTGAGCTTGCGGAGGAAGGCAATGATAGACCAGGAACTCTGCGCAGAAGTTAGCAACCATCAATCTCATACGAGCTGATGCGATTTTACTGACCTGAGAATCAAGACCCGAGGTAGGCTCATCGAGGAAGAGCAACAGCTTGGGCTTCGCAGCAAGTTCAACACCAATTGTCAGAAGCTTGCGCTGTTCGACGTTCAAACCTTCGCCAGGCACACCGACAACAGCTTCGGCGAAGTCGGACATGTTGAGCATCTTGATGACCTCTTCAACGTAGTCGTTCTTTTCCTTCTTGCTGACAGTCTTGGGCTGGCGTAGCATGGCAGAGAATTGTAGTGCTTCACGGACGGTCGAAGTCTCAAGATGAAGATCCCTAAACTAGTTAGCAATTATGATGAGGAAAGTAGGAGCGGAATGACTCACTGTTGCTGCACGTAACCGGTTGAGCGTTGGAAGGCGGGATCGAGGGGCTTGCCGTTCACGAACATGTCGCCTGTGATTACTCCCATTGTAGTTCTCTGAGCCAGAGCATCCAGGAGCGTAGTCTTGCCAGCTCCCGAGACACCCATGAGTGCGGTCATTGACCCAGGCTTGACGAAACCGGAGACATGGTCGAGCAGCCGACGCGGCTCGCCCTTAATTTCGATGTCATAAACGACGTCTCGCCAAGTGAAGACGCCCTTCTGCTCCTCAATGGCACTGACATCACCTGCACCTTCTTGCTCTCCTTGGCGGGCCTCTCCAGACTCCTCGTCGGAACCCTTGCCACCAGGCTGCATGTATGCGGGAACGTGTCCACGTCGGAAGACTAGTTGCTCGGCAGTGTTGGATGTGGAAGAGTTGACCTCAACGGCGACGAAGTAGGTGACCATGAAGAAGATCAAGAAGGCCCAGAGAATACCGAAGTTGCGCCAGACATGGCTCCAGGAGTAGGAGTATGAGACTTCAATGAAGTTGTCACCGTTGATGAAGGTCTGTCCAGCAACCGCGCCCTGTGTGTTACAGATGAATGAGTTGCCTGTCTGTGCGTATCCGGGTCCTGATGGGATAAAGGCATCGCAAGGGAAGTCGACTCCGTGGAACTCGTTTGCAAGCAAGATCTCGAATGCATAAAACTAGCGCAAAAAGGTTAGTAGCTGATCGTTGCTAGACAGTTGGAATACTTACGATTGGATTGATCCACCTAATCCAGCCAAACCAGTCAGGCATTTCGGGAATACGGATGACGAAACCAGTGTAGATGACCAGAATGAGGACCAAAACACCGGCGCCTGCCATGGCTTGCGATGCCGTCTTGGTAACAGCAGCAGTCGTTCGAAAGATAGCCGCCATGACGAAGGTTGCCATATACGTAACGACGAAGAACAAGAAGAACTGTCCTGCAGTATACCGCAGCTGAGCCAGGAAGTACAAAATGATGTTGAAAACCACAGCCTGTATGAATTTGACGGGTATGTCGGCAACAATACCAGCTATTGCTTCCGTGGACGGATGGTAGAAGGCGTAGGAGTTGTGCTTCTCAACGATAGGGCGCTGGGCATATAGGCCTGCGATTTCACCGATGGACGTAAGGGCGTTGAAGAGAATGGCCAGGAAGATGACTGCTCCGCGACCTTGGAACGAGCTGGAGCCTGGAGAGTGACCGAAGTAGATGGAACCGACGATGAGAGCGATAATGACGTTGAGACCAGCTTGTGTGGCGGTAGAGGCTACATCGCCCCAAATGCGTTGATATGCTCGTCGGGTGTTTAGCTTGATCTGCATCGGAACGCTGATAAGGTAAGGTGACTTGGGACGAGCGTGTTTGGCCTGGATATAGTTCTTCTGCTGGCGTAATTGTTCGAGAGTGCCGTGCTCGTTGACTGGGTTTTCTGCTTCGAACTCCTTGATCTCCTCCAGAAGTGACTGGTACTCAGGGGAGTCGCGCCAGTACTTCTCAAAGTCTTCCGGCGTGCGGGGTACCTTGTTCTCCATACCCTCTTTGGGCTTCCGCTCTTGAGGGTTGGTAACGGCTGTGAGGAAGTCTCCGGCGGTTTGGCGAGGTGGGCAGTACCTATTGCGCGTTAGTTGCTTCCAATTGTCTCGTCATACGGGGTATCTTACCATCCTTGACGCTCAAAATAGTCCTTGGCCTCACTTGCAGGTCCGAAGTAAATCTGGCGACCTTCATAGAGAACAGCAGCTTTGTCAAAGCAGTCGTAGACGCTTTGACTGGCCTGGTAGATAGCTACCGCAGCAGCACCTCCAGCCAAGTCGGAGCCAACCCTCAGAGCCTTGACGAACTTCAATGCAGTAGCTGAGTCCAGTCCTCGTGTCGAATTGTCCCAGGCAGCAAATGGAGCGCCGGCGAGCAGCATCTCAGCGACGGAGACTCGCTTCCTCTCTCCACCTGACACACCACGAACGAAATCGTTTCCGACCTTGGTGTTGTAGGTGTGACTCAGTCCCAGCACGGCCATGACAACCTTTGCCATGAACTGGGCGAACTCATCGCGGTTAGCTCCGCCGGGTCGGTTCGATGGTGTTCTGACAGCCGCGGCGAACTCCAATGTCTGACCTACAGTCAGATGGGGGAAGTGCTTATCGACTTCTTGGTTGTACACCGTCTCGCCCTTGAACTCTTTGCGCATACGCTCCTGGGGGATACCGTTGTAGTGGATGACCGAGTCATCAGTATCCAAACCATGAAGCTCTCCGGTGAGAGCCTTGAGGAGCGTGGAGCAGCCAGAGCCGGGGCGTCCAAGCACAACACACAGCTCACCGGCTCGTATGATACCGTCGAAGCTGTGGAGGATCTGCTTGCGTTCCGACTTGCCAAAGAATTCTTTAGCTCGGAAGGGTGCCATGAACATGTCTGAGACAGTGCTCTGAAGCTGCAAAGCTTTGCCAGACCCAAATACGTCCAGGTTCTTGTAAACAACGCTGACCTTCTTCATCTCAATGCCCTCGCCCTCCAGTTGGTTCCGGAACATGTTCAAAAACTTGCTGAGGTCAAAAGCGTCGTTGGAGGGGTCCACGCGAGGATCGTTTGGCTGCGCAATACTCATCTGCTGAGTCACTTTTGACTGTGAGGTGAAGATGCGCGCCAATTCTCGTCTACCGTCGTCGTCGATTTCAGACCGAGTGACCCGGCGTTGGAGAGTGGTTGGAACTGCATCTTCGGAAGAGGATGAAGTGCCGATTCTTTTGACTTTTGAGGGTTGTCCGTTGGATCCTAGTCGTGTGTCTGAAGAATCCGAAGAGCTCGATGTGTTGACTTTCTCGAGAGGCACGACTTCCTCTTGCCTGTGCTCGAATTGAGTGCCATCGGTGGAGGAAAACAACCCTGCTCCAGCCGATGAATCGTGTGTGGTCGACGATTCATGTATGTAGGAGTGTGATGAGAAGACTCCGTGGGTCCCGTGAGCATGGCCATCTGGAAAGTAGGTCGCACGACCAGACGCAGTTCGTGTGACGCCGTGTGGAGGAGTTTGAGTTCCTGACCCCGATTGGGCGGAGGTGCTGGAATGTGTTTGATGTGACTGTGACGTACTCGACATGAAAGTCTCGCCGTGGGACTGAGAGTCAGCCATGATGAGTTTCAACGGCGAGTGGTAGCGAGTAACGTCGGTGTCGATTGAAGGTTTTTTGCTGCCCATCTGCGGCTATCTAACATATATCAAATGTTAGCCCACGTTTGGGCCTATGTTGTCATAGCACCCCGGATGGCGGAGTCTCCCCATGGCCGCGGCTAGTCTTGCACCATCTGCCATGGCCTCGGACGAGGTGGCTGGACCTTTGGAATGAGATTCGTCCTTCGCCGCAGTGGATGATTGGGGCGTGCACGCGCTACGCGGGCCGGACTCAATGTGTGCGGATCCAAGCTCAGCATGCTCGATGCGTATTTGTTCGAGGCCGCAATTAGTGCCACAACACTGGGCGCCCAGACTGCTTTTCTCCATGTTGAATATGACATCACTGCCCGGACGGCCACGGATGAGGATATTGCCAAGAAATCCGCCCACGACAAAAGTCCCCAGTGGAAGCAGACATGCGGTGGCCGTCATGACGAGGCAGCCTCTACAATCGACGCGCAGATGTTGCGCGTCTCTCGTGGTCGTAAAGCAAGATTGCGGCTGCTCGTCGAAAACGCTTATGTTGGTCCGCGATCGACAGCTTACTACTTTCGGACGAGCGATCGCTCGGGATCCTCCTTGCGCCTACCATGCACTCTCGGTACCCGTTTTCCTATCGTACAACCCCCTGTCGTCATTTCAGTCATCCGGACCATCCGAGCAGCGGCTTTGTGCTGTACATATGCCGGTGATTTTCAGTTTGTTGAGGGCCGTCAACTTTCCACTCTTCGGTCGTAATATGGGGCGGTGCACAACGGAACCCTGAGTAAGGGCTATCTCGGACGAACATAACCTCCGTTTAACTTTTGTCAAACGGACGCGTCTCCTAGATTATGTCAGGCCGCGCTAATGCAATGTCACTTGCTTGTCTCGGCATGTACAGAACTTAATTGTTTCTGAGGGGAAGCAATACAGCATGAACCGCCCTACGGGCTCTAAACGTTGGCGCACGGTGAGATCGACGATCTATTTCGACTAGCGGAGACACATAGACAACGTGGATGGTGTCCAACGATTAAGTTCTAATTCTGTGCTTCGATGATCAAGGATGCGATCTGGGTATGAATGCATTTGGTGGTTCGCCCGGGCACAGTAAAAGCAAGATCTCGAGGTGCGTAACAGTACACTCGACGACTGCGCACTAGCTTGGTATTAGAATACAGAGCTTCGTCGGCGATTACTGTACGTCGACGTCCAAAATAACAACGAGGTTAATGTTGTATCAGGCATGAACGTTGTGTGAGGTCGCAAGCCTCTTCGGTTCCGGCGCTTTGGGGGGGTTCAGTCAGCTTTCAGTCAACAACATCCGTTTATATAATCGGGGTTGCATTGTAAAGGCTATCTTACTCAAGAGCGGTGAGACCCTCCTTTACAGTCGCCGACATACAGACCTCATGCCGGCCCCATGCCTAGGCAGTATGTACAGGGTAGTGATTTAATAATCAGGATCTTGTCCCCAGCCAAGCTTATTGGCGCGTATTCGATAAGACTTCTAGAGCGAGGGTAGAGATCGTCTGGAGTTGACGCCTGTCAAACGGCAGATTCCAGGCATAAGATGCTTGCTTCCTGGTTGTTTGCGTGATTACTGAACAGGCGATGAGCGTAGGCTTAACCAACGTATGCACCGGTCTGACTGACCTTGGGATTGTCGACGCAGGCTTGGGTCGCTGTTGTGCCTCCATGCTTCTAGTGCGGTTGATTTCGGGTCGAAGAGTGATGATCGAGGTTCTATCGCGCCGCGCTTGTTCACTTCAGTTGTAAACCCTCAAGCTTCTGCTCCACTATGGGTATATGTTCCGCTAAGCGGTTCGGGTCGCGCATTATCGCAAGCACATCTTCCTTCCGTCCTGCGAGCTTCTTCCGTACTTCCTCGTATTTCTCCTCCCTCGCCGTGTACTCTCTCAGCACCACATTGTCCCCGAACTCGACAAACACGCGCGTGTCGCGTATCCGGAATACCACATCATCCAGACGCATGAAGAAGCGCACAAGGAGAAGTAAGCGCTGTGGCATAACACGGATCTTGCAGGACAGCATGGCGATGCCGTTATCCGCTAGCTCGTCTTCGTAGAGTACCAGCTCGTCGAAGAAGTGTATCGGGTCGGGACGCTTGAGGAGGTGGAGTGGTATCGGGGTCTCGGTAGGCTCAAAGGCGGGTGTTGGTGGTGTGGTGCCCTTGTAATCTGTGCTGTAGGACCAGTCGAACGGCTTTACGACTTCTTTGATATCTTCAAACTGCTTCTGTCTGACTCTAGTCAGCTACAAGTTCTCTCCATATTGCGTCTTTGGGTCTCACCGGTTCTGCTGCCATTCTTTCGAGTAGGAGACTTTGAACATCTTCTCGCCGGTCTTGTCCACCAGGTCCAGCGCATCGAAGGCATTGAACTCAATGTACCAGCCGCTCTGGGCGTGTTCTATCCGCACCATGTTGTCGCCGAATATCATCTCGGGTGGCGCGATCCCGAGTTTCTTGGTCATGTCCTCTATTGGGCCGGCCTTGAGGATGGGCAGCTTGCGCGTGGTGATCTTGAAGCCTTCCTCGGTGATGGACGTGTCGGCGTGGCCAGGTGCCACGGTATCGGCGGGCGCGCCATTGAGGGAAGCCATGTCTAGGGACTTATGCGACGAGACCCTGCTGAAGAATGCTGAGTGTATAAATTGTTCGCAGGCACCTGCAAGTGGATCCGATGGCGATGGCGGGGAGCTTCAGAGTGGTGGGGCGCGAACCAAAGCCCCGACCGCCGATGGCCGATGGCTGTTTCCTTGACAACGCATGAAACCCACTTGTTTGTCTGGGTTAACTAGCTGCCATCCGTCCTCGAACCCTGCAAACATCCACAACCACCAACTGTCACCCATCCAAATAGCATAATATAGCTATCAGCAGGGTATTTGTCGCCCTTCTGCTTGCTTCCTGTCGTTCCAGCTTGCATCTCGACATTACCATGGCCGACGTCGCAAATCTCGAAGCCGCCTTTGAGCGCACCACCATCCACGACGAGAACGATGAGCACATTACTTCTACTTCGACTTACCACAAGGTGAAGGTGTGTATTTACTCGCCTTCTCAATACTGCGCTTTCTAACAACCAAAAGCCATCAGCATCCACAACCGTAACGGTAGCTGGCCTATCGTCCTCACAATCAGCTGCGAACCGCATGAAGCTGCCCCATCAGACACTACAGAAGCTCGCTACACAAAATGCAAAGACGGCAAACATTGCCAAGGTTACCATCTCAGCAAGCTCCAGCCGACCCTCAGAACACAACCCATCGCATCGCCGCACCCTCACCGACTCCGCCATCTACACCGTTCCCTCAAACCCAGCAACACCCAAACAATGGCATCTGGGCATGTTTGACATTGGCAAGCCTCTCGGAAAGGGAAAGTTTGGCCGCGTCTATCTTGCCAAGGAGCGCTCATCCGGCTTCGTCTGTGCCTTGAAGGTACTCCACAAGTCTGAAATCCAGCAAGGCAAAGTCGAGAAGCAGGTCCGACGAGAGATTGAGATCCAATCTCACCTCACACATCCCAACATCCTCAAGCTGTTCGGCCATTTCCATGACGCAAAGCGCATCTTCCTCATTCTCGAATTCGCTGGTAAAGGAGAACTATACAAGCACCTCCGCAAGGAACAACGCTTCCCTGAATGGAAGGCAGCACAATACGTTGCCCAGATGGCCGCAGCCCTCAAGTACCTCCACAAGAAGCACGTCATGCACCGCGACATCAAGCCCGAAAACATCCTCGTCGGCATCCACGGCGAGATCAAGATTTCCGATTTTGGCTGGTCGGTACACGCGCCCAACAACCGCCGCAACACCATGTGCGGAACTCTCGACTACCTGCCCCCGGAGATGCTTCGTGGTGGCGGCAAGGACAACTTCTACTCCGAGAAGGTCGACCTATGGAGTTTAGGCGTCCTGACGTACGAGTTCTTGGTCGGTGAAGCGCCATTCGAGGACACCCAAGTCATGACACAGCGCAAGATTGCGAGGGGAGAGTACACAGTCCCGAGCTTCGTCAGCTCAGAAGCGCGAGATCTCATTAAGAAACTACTCGTGCTTGACCCTGAGAAGCGTATCGCGCTTGAGGATGTCGAGGTGCACCCTTGGATCCTCAAACACTGCAAGGGCAGCTCGCGAGCCTACGAGCGCACATCAGGGGGCAAGGTACGCAGCAGCTCGGAGCAGTCAGAGGAAAGCTACTAAGCTTCACCTTGGTCGTGTCCAAACTTCACATAATGTCTAACATGTACGATGGCGAAAGGGCGTTCCGCACGGTAGTCACTGAATTTCTTGTCTTTAGTCGCATTGCTCGGCGTCTTGGGTTTGCCGCTGGCTTTGGTTTGGTATCATAATTGGGAATACATCCCACAAATTCAATTCAAGAATTTCAAGCTTGACCTGCAAAGCACCGTTTGATCTGCTATACCTCAATGCGCCTCAACCGCCTCACCCTTCTTCTCCCCATGCCTAAAATCAGGCGTACTAGGCCTACTCCTCTCGCCCCCAAAGAAGGCAATATTCTCCCTCAATGCCACATACTCGCTATCCGCATACCCCAACGCCTCACTAATCTGCGTAGAATGCAACCCCTTGATGCGCCTAATTTCTGTCGCGGAATAGTTCACCACACATCTCCCTATTTCGAACGGCGCGGGATTGTGCAGTTCGAAATTCGGTGGGTGCTGCAATAGTGTCTGGGAAGAGGACATCGAGTACGATGACGATGACGAGTGTGTCAGAGGTGTTCGAATGGGAATCGGGGCGTGGACACTGTGGGCTAGGGCGCCGGGTGTAGTGGGCGGTTGGGGCGTTGTTGGTGTTTGTGCTGGTTTGGGGGAGTGGGGTGGGTTGGGTAGGCGCTTGACAACTACAATGCGTACGGCTTCTTGTTGGGCAAAGTGACCGTCTACTTCTACGATGCCGACGGGCAGGAGACCCGCTTTGTCGCTTAGGGCTGCCCAGGCGCCTTGGTCGATGTATATCGTTCCGTGGGGTGCGAGACCGTGCAAGATCCAGAAGTAGCGGTCGCGGATGGGGTTGGATATGGGGAGGAAACGTGTGTGGAGGGGAACTGGCTCTTCCGGTTTGGGAGAGGAGAGGCCGGTGAGTTGTTGGTCGCCTAGTGTAGATGTGGATGTTGAGAGGTCGTGATTCGAGTCTTGAGATGCTGCCTGGGCAAGTGGTGCGCCCTCGTCTGGGAAGTTGGTGACGGAGTTTCGACTGGACATTCGTGACTTTCTTTGCTTCTCGGCGTGCGCGATGATGCCAGAGATGTTACCTGGTTTACTGCTCTTTGTGATGACTGTTGTGACACCTGCGCTTGTCGCTAGTCTTGCGGCCACGATCTTTGTACTCATACCGCCTGTTCCCAGTGAACTGCCTGCCGAACTGACGTCTGCTGCCAGCTCTGCAATGTCTTCCACGACGGTTATGGACTTGGCATCTGGATTCGTACGAGGGTTCTTGTCATACAGACAATCTACATCCGTCATGAGGAAGAGGTAATCCGCCTGGACCATGGCCGATGTGATCGCGCTCAGTGTATCGTTGTCACCAAACTTGATCTCAGTCACCGCCAAAGTATCGTTCTCATTCACAATTGGAATGACACCCATGCTCAGCAGCTCAATGAAAGTGTTCTGCGCATTCTGATATTGCGTCCGGTCCGCAATGTCGTTCCGCGTTAAGAGGATCTGAGCAATTGGCTGCTCCAAGTTGCCAAACAGCTGGTCCCATAGAGACATCAGTCTACTCTGTCCGATAGCAGCGAGCGCCTGGACTTGTGGGAGGTGTTTTGGGCGGCGGGGAAGGTTCATGCGCCGTAGACCGACACCGATGGCGCCTGAAGACACGATCACGACGCGGTGGCCGGCGGCGCGCAGACTGCATGCTGTCTCGACGATGAGGGAGAGGATGGAGAGGAGGGGTTGGTGGGTTTTCTCGTCGACTATCGATGAGGTTCCTGGGTGTGTCGGTTAGGTGCTCTCTTCTTGTCGATGTGGCATATGTACGGTTGTGTATTTACCGAGTTTTATTACGACGGTAAGCTGGCCGGGCTGCTTGCGCATGTGGACGGCCATTGCGACGGAGGGAGTCACGAGAGGCTCAAGATGGTAATGGAGACGGGTGTGGGAGGGGAGAAGACAGGTGAGATATGTACAACACGTCGTGTACTACATGAACACGCAGCTCGTGTGTTGTCGCGCAATGGATGACTGGAAGCAGGCCAAGTTTCCTCGCAAGCGATCTTCGGCTTCCCTTGTACGCGGTGACGTCTTCCCTCCGATTGGCTCCCCGCGCTACCAGCTACATCCCCATCTCCACCTAAACTTTTCGCGACGGGAATCAGGAACATGCCACGCCCTACAGCAAACATCTAATCGCCACGCGACAAGTCCACGCCCAACACTTGATCACCCCGTGACCGGACTCGAACATCACGCATCCCCGTACCACAATGGCAAACTCCGAGACAGCGCCCGACGGCGCATCCCTCTCCGCGATGGCCCAACCGCCGCCCCAAAAGATCGACCCCGTCTACTACACATGGAGCAGCACCTTCAACATAATGCTCGGCCGCATGACAGGCTCCCGCGACGTCGAACTAGAAAAAGGCTACTTCAACGAGATGGACAAGATAAAAGCCGACTCGATATGCAAGCGCTGCGAGTCGAACAAGGAATACCTCTTGAAATACAGTCCCATCATACGCTTCATGTCGGACGAAGTATACAAGCTAGGCGGCGACCTGAACAAAGACAACATACTCTGTCGCATGTGCACAAACGAGCAATCCGGTGGTTTCTCCCTCGACCACGGCATCCTGCTCTGCGCAAACAAGTTCCGTAATCGCGGGCACCAGGAAGACACCATGGCGCATGAAATGGTGCATGCGTGGGATCACTTGAAGTTCAAAGTTGAACCCGAGAACCTGCGCCACCAGGCTTGTCTAGAGATTCGCGCATCCACACTCAGCGGCGAATGTCGATTTTCAAGAGAGTTCTTCACTCGGAATCAATGGAATATCATGGAGCAATTACAAAGTTGTGTTAGGAGGAGGGCGACGCTGAGTATGATGGCGAGGCCTGGGATAAAGGATCAAGAGCATGCTGGCAAAGTGGTGAACGAGGTGTGGGAGAGTTGTTTCCGGGATACCAGGCCATTCGATGAGGTTTATCGATGATCTTGAGAGGAATGAGATGTCATTGGTCGGTTCATTTAACATGTACCTGAAGAAGTGGGTATTCAGTGTATTATTACCCTTGTGTTTGCATAGCGATGGCGTTTGTAAGGAAGATTTCAGAGGGCACAGGAATGCCCACATCTCCTCTTTTTCGATCTAGGATCCAGGCTTCTGAGATCAAGTTCCATATCCCACCTCAGTCCACGTCATTTTCAAGTTTTGAAAACATTAGAGATTGATGTTTTTGGCCCCCACCCTTGGAAATCACGGATCAAGCCATGGCGTGCATCGCCCGAATCGCGGGGCTGCAGGGCGTATTCCCAGCCCTTGGTTTTCCTTACTGCGCCGCAACAACAATAGGTGACTAGCAAAACACTGCCCATATAGTCTGGGCGCCTTGAAACCCACACACATCATGGGCGCCTATATACAACAAGTAGATATTTCGCGATGCGCATCCCTCTTCCATCTAGTCTCGTTCCGTCAACACCTCATCATCACGTCTAAACTAAGGTATCCAAATCTGCATCGTCAAAATGTTACCACATACCCTGCTATACACCTTCTTCATCGCAACATCTTCAACAGCATGGTTCCTACCACGCCCCAGCATCCCCCGGCCCGCAACACCACAAATCATCGAACCCATCGCACCAGCACCCAACCCATATCGGCCAGCCGACCGACCAGACCCAAACAAACCCGAAGCGACACCAGGGTTTCAAGCACCGAAACCGACTGGAGGCGTTGAAGTACCTGATGTACCCCTCCCTGACGACAACTCGCAAGATGAGACTGCATCGAAAGTCTTGTCTAGGCCTTACGGGAACCCAGCGAAGACTTTGTCGCCGGCACAGGTGGCGGCTTCTCGCGCTGATTCGGGGCCAACTGCAACTCCTACGACGGGGATGACGGTGCCGGCTACGACTGGTGGCGCTATGAGGATCGAGGGTGTGGGATTGCGGATGCTGGGTGGTGTAGTCGGTTTGGCGAGTGCTGCTATGAAGATGATATGTGAGATTGATGGCTGATTGCAACTAGGTCGTTGTATCGTTAGCGGCAGTCATCCTCTGAGCTTTGCGATATCGATGAAGACGAAGAACATGGCCGGCACTGTTTGTTTGTTTTTTTTGCGTTACCATACCATGTCGTTGCTCCGGTCTGCTGGAGCTATCTTGTTTCATGCTCGAGCAGAATCGACAAAATCGCGTTGGATGGGATCTACGCGTCCGCCTTTCCTAATGTCCATCGGAGTTTGAGGAGTACAGATCGTGTCAATCCGGCTTCTCTCTGAGATCGAATCTGAAGGCTTGATCGGGCATCAGTGAAACGATATGAATTACGAGCTATGATACTGGAGTGAGTGCGTATCCAGTCGGTCAGCATGTTCTACAGGATGGGAGCTATGATGGAACTTGAAAGCGCATACTTCCATCACACGAGAGGGGAGTAGCTTATCCACTTCCATGGATGTGCGAAGGCAATTTCCAGAGGGGTTTGTCGAGAAACGGGGAATAAGGAGGCGATATCGTTTTGAGCTCCCGAGGTCTTTCGGCGAGATCAAGAAGCTTTGATCGCTGGAAGTGGATACAAATCGCAAAGTCGTAAAGAGTTCGATAGATGCATACTGTCGTATTATGTGCATGTGATGCAACTTTTGCTCATCATCATGGGCGACCCATTCAGGTACCCCCATAGCTATTCCAGGTCATGGAAGTGTGATTCGATATCTATCATGCAGTGTTGACTTATTTGCCTTTCCATCTCTTTGCGCGATCGGCGCCGAAGAGATCATGAACTGTATGTGCGCCATTGATCTCGGTCCGAGAAATGCGAAATGATGCGAAGCCATACATGTGTGGCTTCTGCGTGGCTCGGACTTTTGAGAAGCTAAACACGTTTTTAAACGGTGATTTCGAAGACTAATGAACCTAGATGGTCAATTCTACCTGGATGTGTTCATACCTTCCACCAAGCTTCGAAGCTCCCTCATATCTCTTGCGGTACGGGCGCAGCTTCATGTAAGCTCTCCGATGCCCCCTTTACGTACTCCAGTGTAAGAACACCAAATTCCAAGATGATGTGGGCCTTATGTTCATGTCAGGGTCTACTGGGCCTAGAAGATGAGGAGCTACAAGGTTGGGCACATATCGATCTAGATGCCAAGCCGCTAGTCATCTAGCCCTTTCCCAGTTCACTTTCCAACGCGAGTGCTCAACCGTCATTCCAAGTCCATCACGATGTTTGTTTGTATACCAGCTCTTCTTCGTATTCGAAGATACAACTATCTCCATACTCTTCATTGATTGCGCGTAAGCTCGTGGATTAGTATATCCTCCGCAGATGCCGTCGACTTCGATCATTTCCGTGATCACTCATCCCGTCATCTACGCTTCCAAGCAGCCGTGCCGTTGGACGGAACCCATTTTTTCCGCACAGTCACTCCGCATCTCCACTACGGCCATGGTGGCATTCCGGATGAATGTTTCAAGTTGCACATCTGGAATATTTCGGCGAAACAGAACACACGATTTGGACTTCTTGCCACTGACCGGCCAGCCGCACCCCCTGTTCTTCCGAGCCGTTCCCCATAATAGCACACTTTTGGATGCTTCATGGTGGGTCAAGTACCTCTTCTTGCATAGCACTTCCTTCAAGCCTTGCCTGGACTTGGCTTTGGTGCTTGGTGTGCTTGTGCTTTGGGGTCGGAAATGACGAGGCTGCAGTTCTTCTACCACTACAGCGGCCGAGCGCAAGATTATGTGGCGACTAGTCGGTAATATGCAGGTGGCCCTTCAACAGATTATCTGGGGACCCAAGACCCTGCATACATTTATATAGCTTCGTCGAGACCCCGTATACTCATCTTCACCTAACGCTCACGTCAGATTCAAGCCTTCATCATGCGATTTCACGGTACCAATAGCAATTTGCAGCCTAGATCATTTCTGTACTGATGAACTCGTAGCTACATCCACATCATTGGTGCTTGCCGCTGTAGGAACCGCGTCCGCCGTACCTTCACCTTCTGCAACTGCGGCCACCGATGCCTGCTACGTGACGAAGTATGCCGCTATCCCGGCTGCGGTCGCCGCCTGCACTTGCATAACCCTCGACGGCATCACCGTTCCTGGAAACTCGAGTATCGATCTTTCGAAGCTGAAGACCGGTACCAAGGTCACATTCAAAGGAAAGACCTTCTGGGAGTACGCCGATGCAAACTATGCTTTCATCCAGGTGGCGGGTACCAATGTCGAAATCACTGCCGAAGAAGACGCAGTGCTCGATGGCAATGGTCAGGCTTGGTGGGACGGCCTTGGTAGCAACGGAGGCGTTACCAAGCCAAACCACTTTATTGAGCTGAAGAAGATGCTTGGAAACAGTTCCGTCCACGACATCTACATCAAGAACTACCCGGTGCACTGCTTCAGTATCAGTAACAGCGCTGGTCTAGATGTGCACCACATTACGCTGGACAACAGCGCTGGATACGCGCCCAACAACCGCTCCAACGGCCTCCCTGCAGCACACAACAGCGACGGATTTGGCCTGAGTAGCACCAATAATACCAAAGTTCGCGACAGTGTTGTTATCAACCAGGATGATTGTGTAGCTGTCACCAGTGGAGACAATATCCACGTCAGCAACATGTACTGCAATGGCAGCCACGGTCTCTCCATCGGATCTGTGGGTGGAAAGTCAAGTATGCCATCCCATCATCCGGCCATACAGTAGTTACGCTTTACTAACCACGTCTAATCAGACAACAACGTAACGAATATTTCATTCACAAACTCCGTCGTTCTGAACGCCGAGAACGGCGCTCGCATCAAGTCAAATTCCAACACCACCGGTTTCATCTCCAATATCCATTACGAGAACATTCGCGTTGAAAACATCTCCATTTATGGAATTGACATTCAGCAAGACTACTTGAACGGTGGGCCAACCGGCAACCCCACGAACGGTGTCATCATCCAAAACATCACCATGAAGAATATCTTTGGCACGGCAACAGAGGAGGGAAAGAACTACTATATTCTTTGTGGAGAAGGAAGCTGTAGCGACATCAAGATCGACAACGTTCACATCACCGGAGGCGGAAAAGAGAGTTCATGCAATTTCAAGACGGAGGGCAACTTTGACTGCGACGGACACTTTGTATGAACTGGCTATCTCTGTAAATCCATGTTTGTTCGCAGAGTGCGGAAACCATGCCGCTTGTCAACGGAACTGAATAGTCGTTCCAACTACCTCGCGCTTTGATGGTTTCACAGACAATCCCTAGCAATATCGTTTGGAATTTTTTGAGGACCAGAGTTCAAGCGATAATAGTAGTATGTGGGCCGAATGGATGGAGCCCCAGAGCGATGTAACACCAATGTTGTCAGAATCCCACTACGCCGTACGTCCGGATCATGGTGCTTCTTGACTTCGCTGCGCAAGTTCCATGTGAACTGCGCACGCACCACGTGACGTAAAATTCAACGTTGAGCGGGCGTCGCGCCAACCACCTCGCGCCGCATCCAAGGATCAGTCCGTTCCTGACTCTCACCCAAACTTTGCTCGTCGTTTTGACCAGACCGTTCGCGGTCTGGACGTCCCTCGAGAGTGCCGCGGCAGTTCGGGTCCCGAACGACGGCGCCGCTTCTCAGGGACACGCCATTGTGGATACGCGCTCACGACGACATGGAAGAGGCGCGATGCTGTTAATTACAGTACATCTTCGTGATTAACGCTTCGTCCGATTTCACATACCAAGCAACCAAACGCTCTAGCTAAGGCTGTTATCTCGAACTACTGCAATTTATCCGGCCACTTCCTGCCCGTTATGGCAGAGTTCCGTCTCCTTACATTACCCTACACTAGTCGATATTTCCTTTGATCGCGCGTGGTTACGCGATGACCTCGAGCTACAAGGGCATCCTCAGCGATGACGGACTGCAGTGCGGCAGCCCAATTGTTACAATCACCGTCCCAGAGCGTTCATTCGCTGCTATCGTTTATGCATGGGGTACGTGCTCCTGCCGTCAGCACTCCATTCTGTCAGCCACCGCGTCTCAAGTAAGTCGTCGTGGGGATGGCATCCGAGTGCTGATTGACATGCGCGCGCTGTCAAAGAGTCCTTCGTAGTGCACGATGGCTGCCGTGCTACCTCGTCCAGCGCCTGGCCGGCCGTCGAACTGCGATAGCTGCGTCTGCGTTAAGCGAAGGCGTGATGCCGAAGTTCGGCGTGCAGGAATGAATCCTGCCAGGTCCCACCAAAAATGTCACTCATCACGGCACCAGCACACTTCGAGAAGTTACCAGCGGTGCGTCATCCAGGTACCGCGCGCTGCATGCCCCTTACAGGGCCTAGTGTTCGAATGGATTCGTTGCGGATGGCCTGTTGCGTTTCTGCGATAGGTGCGTGTTGCTGCACACCGTGTCTGTGCGAATCATCGCCTCGCGCAACCACCTTGTCCGGCCACGTCTCGACCCGGGTCGAAAACTGCCTTTACCTCCAGACGGCGCTGAAAGAGACTTGAACAGTCGACGCGCACACTATCTCTTTGATTCTCGTCGCTTGTCCTCGTGCTTTCCCAGTCCCTACTACGGTTCCTTGCGGCCACCTCAAACACGCTACATATTGGCATGCCCGTCGTAACCTCAGCCTTGCCCCAGCTTTGAGGCCAAACCAGGGCAGTGGTCATGTCGATGTTGCGCACGAGCGCCTCCGCGAGCAGCCCTCAATTAGCTTCTTCTACAATCCTTCCATACGCCTTCTAGAAGCGTGCCATTTCCGCATCCCCCGCTGCACCTTTGCGTGAGGTGATCCCACTTGTATATCAACCTGTCGCACCAACAGCAGCTGATGCCTGCTCGGATACACGATTATCCACTCCTTGGCCCCTAGTCTTACCGCGACACCTGGATACCCTTCCCCACCCTCTTTTGCACCTCCGCCTGTCGTTCGTTCTAGTTTCTCGGTCGTTTGGATTGTCGCAAGGTCTTCATGGTCGGCATGTTGGAGTAGTCTTTTGTTGCGCGATTTGAATTGAGCAGACAGCTCTCCCCCCGCCACTATGGAGGACAACCTAGACATACCAGAGGAGTCTATGCGACACATTGAGGCCCTGCTGGCAAGGCATCCTCCACATTTGATCCAGAGGATGTTTTCTCAGGCGATAGATTCGCGTACGTTCCTCGTCGCCTTGTTTTATGTGTACATGCTCACCAAGTCTAGGCCGCAACTCTACAGCCTCGTCATTCATGTCTACCAGCACTGCGAGTTCATCTACAACATCCTCGTCGGGGTCATCATGGCGGTCTCGGCTTTCTATGGCATCGACATTTTCTTCATCCACAGGGAGCAGTGATACGCGCAGTTCCATTGCTTCCTCGTCGTCGTCGCGCTCTAGGATGAGAAGGGCAGAGCCACGTTCCTACCCAGCTGGTCTTGATCCGACACGTCCGGTCCCTGCTTCCATGCCTGCGGTGGATACCGAGAGTCCACTCGACCTCAAGATTGAACCAAGTTACACACCAACAGATGACATTAGTGTTGCTTCTCCATCGCTGAACCCGGATGATGACAAGTCACAGAGTCAGTCGGGTGAGCCATTCATGTTCTGCACCTATTGTGCCGAACAAAAGAGCCAGAAGACGTTCAAAGCAAAGTCTGATTGGAAGAAACATGAGATGAGGATGCATGAGACGGGAGAGGACTGGCCATGTGTTGTCAACGGTTGCAACCGCATCTTTGACCGCCAAAAGGATTTCATCAAACATCATCAGCGCTACCATGCCGGTCGGCCTTTGCCATCGCTGACAGACATTGGCATCACGTTACTGCCGAGAAGAGTGTTCGGTTGTGGATTCGACAAGTGTAAAGAAGTCAGCATCGGTTGGGATGAGCGATGTGACCACGTCGCGAAGCATATGAAGAATGGCGCGACCATGGACCAATGGAAATATTCTAATGTGATCAGGAATCTAATACGACAGGAAGCTCTTCACGACACATGGAAAGAGCTTATCGGTTGCTTGGATGAGAGATTGCGAGAGAGTCGGTCGCAAATTAGCTGGTGTCCCGACAACTCGAGAATCCTCCGACAGAAGCTCCAGTGCTGTGATCTTCGACCGAGTCGGGAAGAGGTTTTGATTACTGCCTTGAGTCTACGCGCTGATATACCCCTGGACCCTGTGCATCAACAGCTACCCACCGGCTTCGTAACACCCTCACGAGATTCCGTGCCGCATGTTGAGAAGCTGTCGCGCGAGCAGCGAATGCACATACTCATCGGAAACTCAAACCCACATCACTCAAGAGCGAGGCTCGCGAGTATCAACGCAGCTTTGCTGCGCATTAGTAGTTCGTTGGCGCACGTGCCTGACTATGATTGCGGCTCGTCTCCATTTGTGGAGCCGCAGACGCCCGCAGTGGATACAGCCAGCCGCCGTATCAGTTATATGGACGTGGACCCTGGAGATTATCTGGACGTAGCGCAACCGGCTATTCCTGATCTCCCACCGGCTATGACGACATCCACGATGCATACACCTCATGCACACTCCACGCCAGTCATGGATCACGAGCAGCACACACAGTTGTACCAGAACGAGTACATGGACCAAGTCAAGGTTACACCCAACCCATTGGAATCACTGTATCCCAACTACTTCGGTGCTGCTCCCCAGTTCGAAGAGTCGCAATACTACGACCGCCCCTCGTTCGGTCAAATGATATCGAAGCCGCTCCACAAGATAGGCACTCGGATAAGCAGCTCAAGAGGCAGCTCTTCGAATCAGAGACCATCATCGCAGATGAGTCAAGCTTCGTCAGAGATGCTTCCTGACTACAGTGTTGCCGCAATGGGCATGCGTCACCCTCATCAGCATCAGCAACCCCAGCACCACATCCCGCAACACCATCAGCATCCTCAACATCATGTGATGCCCCAGCAGCATCAACCCTACCGCGACTCGACGTCGCAGCAAATGCATGACCACATACACATGTATACGACGCAAAGCTGAAAAGCCCACGTGCAACGAAGTTTTTCAAGGCCTTCGTATGAGTCATGTCCAAGCACTTTCATACACGCCCCCCTTTGTCCTTTGAAGCGAGCATTTAGAGTTTTGTTTGTTACCTCATTTTTCTTTCTTTGATACCCGTGCTTTCGAGCACATCTGATAGACTTGTACTATAAGCATATTCATAGTATAGAGCGTTATTAGCATAACGTTACTCAGCCTCTCGCCTCGCGCTTCATGTTATTGCGTACTGATCATGCTACAAACCTGTTTCCCAGTGACTATTCGTGAAACGGGGTCACTATCAAGGTTCTCAATGTGCCTGGAGATGTAAAAACAGAAGCGTGCGAAGCTGTCTTGTTGTATGTGTGTCGTTTCTGTGAAGACGTCATGCTATAGTTTTGTGTGGCTGAAACGGACGACCGACGATTCCACGCACAACGGACTCACTTCTTGTATCTGGGCGGCGCATGGACAAGGTATAGCAGATCGATATCTGTTAGACTAATCATCACTGCAGTCATATCTGTAAAAAAAAAAAAAAAAAAAAAAAAAAAAAAAAAAAAAATGTACGGTTCCGTTTGGTAACGCTCGCTGGTGATCATCCCGTTCGCATGAATCCAACAGCCCTCATCCTATGGCATTTAATCACGACGTCGCCAAATACCATTAGCACTGTCAACACTCCCTTTCTCTTTCGTTCGATGTGGACTAGATGTATGCGCTCAGCCGCGCCATGTTTGCTCTTTCCTTATTCACCTCGCTTACCACACGCCACTACCTGTTATAGCCACCTTAGCAAGACACTCACTCATCTCTTCCCTACTTTCGAAATCTTTCTCCGCACTACACCACTCTCACTTGCTTCATGTTGCCAACATGCAACTACTCGATCTGCCACTGGAGCTCTTTAAGAGGGTTGTCACCGCCCTTGCGCGCGTAGCGCCCTTCCATGAGCTGGTCCGACTGCGCGCCGTGTGCCGTACACATTATCTCTTTGTGACACTACATGTACAGTGAAGCTAATAGGAACAGGGGCGTTTGCCGGCGACATCGACAACGAGCTTCTTGCGAACACGTCTGTTGCAGACTTCCATAGTCGCACTCATCAACATCAGTCAACGCCATGGAGACAAGATATCCGAGCCGCTATACTCCATACGCTGTTACCCCTAGGTACATTGGGATTTGGCAAAGATGATGATTCCAACTCGCTGAGTGCGCTCTCACCTCACATCAAGGGCTATCTTCTGAGCAACATCAAGACCTATCTGCTCAATCACATCGAAGACCGAGAAACAATCGTCTCTGGACTGCCGAGTTTCATAAACAAGGTCAACAACAAGCTTTTAGAGTTCCCTACTGTAAATAGAAATCGTTCCGTTCTACGGAAAAGCTATCTAAACGCACTCATCCGGAGTCTGGTCCTTACAAACAAAGTCGCCCCACGTACCATGTTTGATGTGAATCCTGTGACGTTGGACTCTGTCTTTGTAGCAATCTTCAGACAGGGGTCGCATAGTATAGCGGAAAGAGAATGGGATCATCTCAACTCTGTACAAGAGAACGTCAATGGCATCCTGTCGGCAGCAGCCGCAGTAGGCAGCCTTGAAGCTACTCGTCACTACATTTCGCAATCTGCTGAGATCATTGACTGGTTTCCCATATACTTTGCTGGCTTTGGCAACCCTATAACCGCGGCAGTCTGCAGTGGAAATATGAAAGTTCTTGAGTTTCTGCTCATAGAAGTCAACAATGAGCTCACGAAGCGGCGTTTCGCTCGGATACAGCACGGTCGTACCACCTGTTGCGGTCCACTCACAGAGACTATCACTTCCGCAATAAAATTTGCAGTTCGGACCGGACAACTGAAGGCCGTCGTCACACTCTTCAATTTCCTGCCAAGATGCCGCGTTGAAATACCGACGCATATGAAGTCCCCGTCACAGTACCTTGCCGATGCCATGAGGTGGGGACAGGTGGACATATTCACATGGCTCATGGACCAATGGAATCCCGTAACCACCGAACTGCCCTATTGGAACGTTCTGACTGCAGGCTTACGCCTTGCGGTCAAATATGGTCATACCAATATCGTGCGATACATCTTCGACAAAGGATTGATGTATCCACATGATGCGGATGTCAACACTGTGCTAATCGCTGCGACACACGGTCATCGCGCGATCATACAACTAGCTCTCGATCGCGGCGTTGAGCTTACGATGCAGGACCTCATCGCGGCACTGAACGGATCACTTCCATTGCTCATAACCCAATACTTTTTGCTTCACAACGTTCTACTCAAGTCCGTGACCAAAGAGGAAGGCGGAAGAACCATCACTACTTCCATAGTTCCTATAGTTGAAGCGATCTGTCAAGAATCCATCAACATTTCTTTTGGCGATTACAACGCGGTTCAGGGTAAGGAAAAGGTTCTGGCGCTCATACTCCTGGCCTTCGAGATGAGACGACAGATTCCAGAGCTTACGTTGGACAACTGTGTTGAGCTCAAGAAGGTGTTTGATAGACTAGTCAAGGTATGCCTGATCTTGCCCAAGGGTTCAGTTCCCTATCTCGAGATGGCTGAAGATGTGCACAGCTGGATGGAGTGGCGAGACGGACGAGAATGGGAGAAATGTGAGGTGTAGTGCAGAAGCATACGAGAGGCGCACCTCAGACAAGGAAAACCCTGAACAGGTCCGCAGGACTACACTATTTCAAGACAAGCAAATTGGAAGATCCGGCGACAATGTAGGCTCCAGAGTATTCAGTGCTTTCCTTGTATGACGTGGGTATACTGAGGAGCCTGTGATGGAAGTGGACCGTTCTAAGATGTACAGTCCGATTCCCACAGCGGAGAGACAGAGGCAGTTAATAAGGGTGGCACCTTTGAGTTACATTCGTGCTAACTGTATTGGTTCGTGACACTGCACTGACCCCTGCTTGCTACGATTCCTGCAAGTAACGGCAGACGGGGACAAGCGGGTCTAAACTCGTGTACCATGGGTCTGGGACACTGGTAGCGGATATAAGTATGCAGGGAGAATTTGCGGGCTTCTATGCATGATTGAGGACGACATGGATTAAAGGGAAAACAGTGGACTTTTGCAGAATGTCTGATTGTCCAACTTGCCCCTGGTAACCCGGGGCTCGCCGAGTGATCAGAACCAAGCACAATTTAAGATTATACCATGCTGTCCGCGAATGTAAGGAGGTGAAGTGACTGAAAATAGACGCGAGAGAAAGACATGTCGACGGACCAGTTGCGCCTATATGTGGCTTACCTAACACGGCGCCTATCCGACAATCATCATACACAGTCCCGTGTACCAGGCGCGTGTGAATGTCACCGTTAGCCTTCAGCTCGTAGTTCTTTTTTCGGTAGGCCCTGATCATATTCGATCATCATCTCGTCGCAAAATCATGACACCCACTCGGTCAGCCCGAATGCCTTATTTCTTTGCAGGTCCCGACGGGCATTGCTAGACGACAGGGCACATGTCTTCAATGGAAGGCTTGGACTGGCTGTCAAGACTTTGCCTCAAGACATGGTAACCACCGAAGCTCGACGAAGGTTGCCTCGGCAATCCTTGCAAGGCTTACTTAGACGGACGGGAACGCGGTTATGCGGCACCGTAGTTCGCGAATGCTGATACCACGCTCTGCCATCCGCAATCTCGTAGCACGCTGTGAGAGCGTGGTTCTACCACGAGGTAAAACGACGCAATGTGATTGGATAGAGAATTAGCGGCGTTCGCGGTGGAGAGAGCGATCTGGGGTTATCAGAGATTTCGCAGGATGGAGGACGAGCTTGGCGTGGGGCTGGGCGGACTGGGCGCCAAGGGAACGTGGTACAGCGTCGAACGCTCGTTCGTTCACCTTCACTTCGTTACACCAAGGCGATGGCGAAGACCCGCGACAAGACACAGTGGAGACTTAACGCGACACCAACATGCCAAGCGGGTGGATCAAGGCCTGGGGGTCCCCTAGACCAATCACATGTCTCCTGCACCCGAACGCTCACCCCGGAGCGACGCTGAGGGTCCGGAAAATAGGTGCTGCTGGGCATTTGGACCACGGCCAGAGCCGAACAGCATGATATTGTGGCTTCGATGATCCACCGCGCCTCGAACAGGCAGGCAACACCGTCTGGCGTCCACAAAAGTCCACTTACAGTGAAATGTCATCTGCGCCGCCAAGATCCCACGCCTCCGTTTGTATGCTGTGTACTTAAACTCCCCTGCACTCGACGCACCAAGCAGTCAGGACATCTCTCAATACCTCAGCTTCTCTAGTCAACCGGCGCTACTGCTCGCCCAACTTCACCCACAATGGCTCCCGCCTTGAAGAAGTACGACTGGATCCTAGCGATCACCACCATCGCCTTTGTCGCCTCGTCTGCCTCCAACGGTGCCAACGATGTCGCCAACTCCTACGCCACATCCGTGGCTGCGAGGACCTTGAAGATGTGGCAGGCTGGTATTCTGGCTTGCTTCACTGAGTTTCTCGGTGCTGTCGCTCTCGGATCGCGAGTCACTGGAACCATCAAGAGCGGTATCTTCGCCCTCGACACCTTCAAGCCTGTACCCGGTACCCTCATGCTTGCCATGGGTTGCGCCGAGGTCGGATCCGCCGTCTTCCTTACTGTCGCTACCATCGCTGGTATGCCCGTTTCCACTACCCAAACCGTCGTTGGAGCTCTCGCTGGTGCCGGTATTGCTGCTCAGTCTCCTCTCAGCTGGGGCTGGAAGAAGGGATCCATCTCCCAGATCGCTGCCTCATGGGTCATTGCACCCTTCCTGTCCGCCGCCTTCGCCGCTGTTCTCTTCTTGACCATCAAGTTCGGTGTTCACAACCGCAAGGACCCCTTCAAGTGGGCCATGCGCCTGATTCCTTTCTACCTGGCTTTCACCGCTGGTGTTCTCGCCCTCTTCATCATCGACGAGCTGCCAAACGGCGAGTCTCTTGAGGAGATGGGTGCTGGCAAGGCCTGCGGTATCATTCTCGGTGTCTTCTTCGGCATGCTCGCCATCTCTTACATCTTCTTCATCCCTTACTTCACCCGCCGCCTTGTCAAGGGTGACACCAGGCTGAGGGCGTGGCACATCCCTCTCGGTCCCCTTCTCTACCGCGAGAACCCTCCCATCTACTTCCCCGGCAAGGGCGACCAGGTCGTCACCGACTACTACGCGAAGGCTGCCCCTGTCCCGATTCAAGAGAACGACGGACTCAAGGGCGAGAAGGCTGTTGGCCACTCTACTTCCCTCGACAACAAGTCTTCCGACAGCGACAACATTGACGTTGAGGGTGGCCGCGGCCTCTCCCGTCCTCTGCCCCGCGATGGCGCCGTTGCTCACATTGTCCCTGCTACACCTGAGCCTGAGGAGCGCTGGTTGAAGCCCGTCGAGCACCTTCCCTTCTACTCCCCCAAGAAGATCGCCAACTGGACCAAGTTCATCCTTCTCCAGGGTGTCTCCCGCGATGTCGTTACCCAAAAGGATCTCGCCGATGTCCACTCCCGCGCTATTGTCTACGATAACCGCGTCGAGCATCTCTGGACCTACGCCCAAGTTGCCTCCGCCATGATGATGTCTATTGCCCACGGTTCCAACGATGGTAAGTCCCAGTTCCCAAAACCCTCATTTCCACACACAGATGCTAACTCGACATCACAGTTGCCAACGCTGTCGGACCCTGGGTCGGTTCCTACAACACCTACACCACTGGTGTCGTAACCAAGGAAGCCGACACCCCCATCTGGATCCTCGTCGTCGCGGGTCTCCTCCTCGGTATCGGTTTCTGGTTCTACGGCTACCACATTGTGCGCGCACTCGGCAACAAGATCACTCAAGTCTCGCCCACCCGTGGTTTCAGCATGGAGCTCGGCGCCGCCATCACCGTTCTCCTCGCCTCGCGTCTCGCTCTCCCCGTCTCCACCACGCAATGTCTCACTGGTGCCACCATTGGTGTTGCGCTCTGCAACTTCGACCTCAAGGCTGTCAACTGGAAGCAGGTCGGCTTCATCTTCTCCGGATGGATCATTACCCTGCCTGGTGCTGGTCTTATTTCCGGTCTTCTTATGGTTATGGCGCTTAACACGCCCCATTTCTAGATGTTTGCTTGAGCTTTCTTTCCTTGGCCAGTTTGATAGGTCCTTTTTGTTATGCGATAAATGCGTAGATGGGCATGATATGGAGTATGATACCAATCGTTTAATGTACCAAATTGTAATCTATAGAGTACACACTATGAGTCTCCTGAGAACCTGTTGCGTGTGACGAACGTTTATCGTGTATTGCCGGTTCAGAGAATGTGGCTCTTTGTTTTAAGTCCCAGAGTTGAACTTGTTATTGACAACTGACTAAGAGACGTCGTCTCAACACTAGCCTCCGCTCGGCGAATTGCTCGGCAGCAATGAATTACTAAACGCCATTTGCGATATCACATCTGGTAACAACCGACACAAACCAAGCTCCAAGGGCAGGACGAGGACGGGTCATGAAAACATGACTCGGGCTATTCTTGTGATGCCGTATTACTCCAGACTAACCACTGCAAACTCAAGCCTACTTGAGCCATGAAGCGCGAAAAGACATCAGTGAACACGCTCGACAACACTTGATCGCAAGCAACACCAAAGTCTCACGGAGTAAACACAAAGATATAGGGGTGTACGCAGCTCGAAGCCACCAAAAGACTATTGGTATTCCCCTAAAACAGCAGCGACAAGTATGGTCCAGTCTACCCTGACCCATACAGGCACTGAAATAAAAACGTGGTGAGTGTGTCAACGACACACAAACTCCATACGCCCAGCACAGAAACACCGCCGGCCCGAGCGTAGAAAGACAGGCTTCAGGGCCTATGCATTACATCATAAAGCGAGGAAGAAAAGATGGGTGGGAAGCGAATTACAATAGCGATAAGAGGTGATGAGCAGGAGATGGGCAGACACGACGGGGGTATGTGTAATGCGCTTACACAGTCTGCTTGCTCGACTGCTGGAGTTCGTTGACGAAAGCGTCGTAATCTGCGGCGGAAGAACCTGAGCCTACTATGCTGGTAAGCCATGGATTGGACCGGCTGCTTCATCTTCAATAAGCGTTTGGGTTGGGGTAGAAAGAGGACGGCGAAGGGTGCTGCTGACCTTGCGGTGGCTCGTCGACCTTTTGGCGCTTCTCGGCGTAGTCGTACGAACCTTCAGAGCTGGTGTGCTTGTTGCCTGATGCGCCGTGTTGGGCGGCTGCTGCAGCTTGCGCTGCCATTTGCAATTCGCCGATCTGGCGCTCCGAGAGTCCTCCATTGTTGTTGTTGGAGCCCTGTTGTTGCTGCTGTGGTTGCTCGGGTTGTTGGGGCGGCTGTGGTGGTTGCGGTTGTTGGTGCAGGTTTGGCTGTTCGTGGGGGCGATTGAGGTCTACACCAGCCGGCGCAGGTGGTATCTCGCCTTGGGTCTCGAGTAGTCGCGATTGCAGATTGATGATGTAGTCGCGCAATTGGTAGTTCTCGGTTTGCAGCGTCTTGTACAGCTCGCATAGCTGCTCGAACTCCTTGACCTGGTCTTTCAGCTGCTTGATGTACTCCTCCTTACGCTGGCGAAATGCGCGCTGGTGGTGTTAGCTTGTGCCATTGAAATGCGCGCGTTGCATGTACCTGGGCGGCGCGATTCTGTGCAGCACGCTTGGATGTTGACAGCTCTCTCCGTCCCTTGGAGCGACCCTCGCTCGTGTTCCCGTCGTCGGGGCCGCCAGCGCTCATGTCGTAGGCGGAGCCCCCAATGGCCGGGTCGATGGCGTGTGGCGGGCCAGCAGTGTGCGGGTGCTGGGGATGCTGGGTGTGTGGGGAATGCTGGGGGAGAGGCTGCACGCCGGGCTGTCCAGCGCCAGCAGCGAGCAGATGTTCTCTTAAGCCTTCGCGACGATACGTGTTAGTAATCGGCAGGAGGGTAGGGATGCGCGGGGCACTAACTCATCTCTATGGTCGGCTTGGATTGATCCTGAATTGGCGTGTCAGCAGCGCAACGGGCCTGAACAGTCAGCGCAGCTTACCTGAGCGGCAGATGCCTGCATGTTATAGCCAGTGCTAGCTTGGATCGAGGGATCCAGAGTTTGGCTCATTCAAGGCGCGTCGCACGGGAGCACCGCAGCGAGGGTGTTGTGGCGTTGATTAGACAGCAACGTGGGAATTGGGGCTGGGATCCTGTGTCGCTGGTTTGGGCTAGGCCGGGAGGGTATGCGCAGAGAGGCAGCTCGCAGCAGACGGGGTGGAAGCGCTTCTCGGGCGTGGTCCGGCGGCGGTGGTGACGTCGCGACAAGGTGGTGGTGCGAGATGGCAGGCTGCAGTGCGTGAAATGAGCGCGCCTGTGCTGTGAGAGTCAGCTTCAGCGCTCGCCAGCGCCAAGACAGGCGCGCAGTGTTGCGACGGCATTTTGGTTGCGCGCCTCGGGTTGTAGGACGATGGGGCAGCTCACCTGTATCGTGATGATGCAGTTGGTCGAGTGGATTACGCAGCTTTGACTAAGAAGAGGGCGATGCGCGCTATATACAAAGCAGGGCGGCAAGGTCGGCCTCGGGAACGCTCAAGCAGAAGGACAATGCAATCCATGGCACACGCCCTCCCCTCTCGCCATCACGACTCGCCCCATCTCACGCTGCGCAAATCAGCGCCCTGTCGCCGTTTTTGTCTGGCTTCGGCTGGCTTCCGACCGCCTGCCTACCTCATCCCACCAGCTACCTGCTTTTTGCGACGCTGATGCTGACCAATTCCCCGACCCCGACCCTCTGGTAGCCGTCAAACACACCTTAGTCCTCTACGGGCTAGTCTAACTGGTTTGATTACAGAGTGTATGTCGGATGTATGTGTCTCCAGATCCGAAGCTCCCGTAAGGACCGAATGGAGTGTTTGTTGCGCTCTGAGATAGGTTGATCGCTGCTTCAGTACGCCTTCCCTCAATGTCTCTACGTTGATGACTTGCCGCGTTGATCAGTAGTTGCTATTCTCGTGTGCCCATCTAAGCGCATGTGCAGCATCAGCCGATGGCTGTCAGGAAGAACCTTGTGATACTCATTCCATCCCATGTAGTTCCATGCACGAGTCTTGTCGTTACACAACTCTCACTGTCTTTCTCAAAACGTTGGACATGGTCGTTGGGCAATCATGAAGACCCTTGGTCCATGCGCGTTTGCAAGGCGTATCGTAGCAGCTAGCTCTCACTCCAACTCCGCTCCTCACTATGCATCGCATTTGCATCTGTCGTGCAACTCGCAATCAATCATCCTTCTCTTATCGTCTAATCCGAATAAAACATTCCTAGATCACTTGTAGACAAAGAACAAGCGGTCGTCCATGAACGCTGGCTGGCATCTGAACCCCACATCAATACCAAAGTCCATTTACATCATGACAAGGCTCCAGAATCTCACTCGGGCCATCCCGTAAGTAAACACAACTAGTACTCCGCGACCGATAAAAGTGCCACTCCCTCGTCTGACCAAAGCCCCGAGCACATGCTTTGATGACTCAGAACTCACACCCATCTGACCATCGAATCACAGTCCATCGTACCAAGCGTTGTGCCAGCATCACTGTCGCACCAAAACGTCTTTGCTGACCCGCTGCAAGACGCAAATCCGGCCGCAACAAGCTACATCCCTAGCTTATGCGGGATACGCAGTCGTTACAACGGGGTTCCGGTCACAATCCACTGGCTCTCGTCCGTCATCTAGTCCGGCAGCGCAGCCGAAACAAGACGCAGCATATGACATGATCTACGCAGCCAACCAACCCGCTGACTTGCCCGAGCGAGTGAACAGACTCTCTCCTCCATGGCAAATCAACACTGCAAGGAAGAGTGTCACGCGCATCTTCACATTTACCAGTTTCGCAAAGGCTTGGCGGTTCATGTCACTCGTTGCAGATGAGTGCAAGATCAAGAAGCATCATCCGAGTTGGTCGAACATGTATAATACAGTGTCGGTTGAGTGGACTACGCATAAGCCCGAGGGACTGAGTATCAAGGATGTGGACATGGCGGAATTCTGTGACCGGAAGGCGGCGGAGATTGGATTGAAAGAACCGGAGGTTTGAAGTGTTTGAAGATCGCGATTAATCGTCGATCGGGTAATAGTAATGCTTCTGTCCAGTGTAATGCAGCTGCCAAATCAGACCGCTAGCGCGTAGTCTTTAGTAAGATACTCGGTCTCGCCCCTTGGGGATATCAAAGCTCCGCATCTTTCTCCTTGTCTCTCATAGATCAAGTTCAGTCAGCAGTGGCTGCTCTTCAATAAACATATTCATCTGTCTTGGCCCGTGTACTGTCTTCAATTATGCCAGTTTTCTCTCCACCCAACCTGACCTGATCACTTGATTCATGCCACTCATTCTCGCCTATCTAGCATCCGACCATCACACCAACATCGTCAATAGCCACTCTCCAGCCTTCCTCATCTTCAACGCCATCGCCCTGCACACTGACGGCAACCGAATGACCGACGTCTCCAGGTACATCTTGCACTTGAACCTTCCCTCCAACCTTCGTCCAGCCTTCCTGTCCAGCCCCCATGTGTACTACTTCTCCACAGCTGACTTGATCTAGGAAGATCTCGACGCGCGTTTGCCCATTTGGTCTCTTCCCTGTAACCCACGCGGAGCAATCGACTGTCGCACCGACAGGAATATTAATGTAGGATTGCGACAGCGTGAGTGTAGCTTGGACCGCTGAGCTATTTGATGTCGCGGCGTAGAGATTACTGCCGGAGTGTCCGCCTGTAGGGGAGGTGGATATCCCGCGAGAGTACCACGAACCGGTTACCATATCCATCCACGGAGACAGCACGGGGATCTCGAAAGAGGGGTTGGCAACGGCATTCGTGCAGCGCTTGGTAGAAGGCGCTTGCTGCGGTGATGATAGTGGGCTGGCTTGCGCGGTCGCGAAGGTGAGGATGGCGCACACAATAAAGAGTAAGAACTCCTGGAGAGCCACCATGACGTTTTATCGATGTTCGGTAAGGTCGTACAACTGGGCGAGTTTGCAGACTTTGAGTCGCTTTTTGAGCGTAGTCAATACTGATGGAATGTTCAGCTCCGTGTAAGCTGCAGGTAGCTGAAGCAGCTGAGCTGAGGCGGTCACGAGTAAGACCTGTCGGGAAGTCGCGTGTGACGTGAGCTAGAGGTTGCTACCAGCGCACTTCGACTTGAATTGTTCTAAGTCGGTAGGATCGGTCTTTAGACTGTTGTGCGGAGATTTCGTGTATATTGTGTGTGTGTGACGTGGACGGGCATGTGAGCTCGCAATGTTACTGGTAAAAACAGGGGGAATGTGAGCTCCCGTTCTCTCAAAGCGCAACAAACGAAGGTGAAGGTAGAGGTCAAGGTAAGGAATTCCGCGAAGGGCATCGAACCCTACCACAACCATATACCATCGCAGGCTCGCGTTGCATAGTTCAACACAAAAAGCACACTCCAGGCTGTGATCATGTCGAACAAGCTTCAGCTGTCAGGGTCAAAACCTGATCGAAAGGAGCTAACCCGCCGAGCCACATTGTTATCGACTGGAATCCGCAATGGTAAACACGTAGAAGCAGTCCTTGGTGTTGTTGTTGACAGGGTTGGACGGTTGGTAAGAGGCAAAGGTGGCGTACGCATAAGCGAAATTCACGGGGCCGTTGCGCATCGACTTGGCACCACTCCCTATCGCAGTACAATTCAATTCGACAGTCGCACCATGTTACAACCCAAAAGCTGCTCCAGGTGTCGGACATTTTAATAACGAATGATAGACATGCGGCTGATTATTGGCGAGTGTGGGAAGCTTAGGTCAGGATTCTCCGAGCCTATAGGATCGTCTTCCACCGTATTCTGACAGGGACTGGGTTGCGAGAAGCGAAACGGAAAGGAGATCTAGATTGCGAAAGAAGGAAAGGAGAAGCAGTAAACTTTGTCGGATTTATGTGATTGGATCTTTGTTAGCCCATGGAGATTTCATGCTCCTGGGCCCTGCTCATAGCGGCGTACTTTTGGGGTATATAGCGAGCCATCGAAGTCAACCTGTGCGGTTGTCGAAGACCGGCTGGTACGCTTCTGTCGCATACTGATGCAGTTGTAATGTCCGCCTCAAACGCCGACCGTGCAAACCGTAGCCTCATGTCGTCATACTATAAATCGTGTCGCTCATGCGGGCTGTTCGTATGCCCTCTTGATGACCCTTGCGAATTCTGATAGGCTTGTTAGCAGCGACTCAACGCCTATGGTGCTCATAGACTTACGATCAAACTTGACGTTCTCGCGGACAACGGTGCCCTTAGCCTCGTTGTCCTTGTTGATGGGCACCTTGATCTTGGCACCATCGATGTTCCATCCGCAAACGCTTCCGACAAAGTTGTCGAACTCGCTTCCAGAGAGGTTCAACCACGACTCGAGAATGCTGCGGTCGACCTCGCGCACCGCCTGACTGACGGTCGCGGCGATGCGTACGCGCATCAGCTCCTCGAAACCTGAGACGTCGGCAATCAAGTCGGCGTACAGGTCGTCGGAGTCTAGTGTGGACCAGAAGGTAGAGTAGTCGGCACCTTCGAGCAGATTCCTCAGCTCGTTGAGCTTCTGGACAGCTTCTGATAGCGGCGCATCACCAGCAGCTGGGTTGTGTAATGAAGATGAAAGAGGAGCTAGGACGTGTGGAGGGAGGAGGGATAGGCCCAGGGAGAAGTCGGGGCTGGGGAAGACGGTGAGAGCCTTGACGAGGATGTTGGTGATGGTCTCGTCACGGGCAAGGTGTGGGTTGAATTGGTAGCTGGATTATCGTGGTTAGCAGATGTAACGATAATAGTTGAAGTACAATGGCAATGTCAGGAGAAAGCTGTCAGATAGAGCTAATAATAAACTTCAGCGGGGGAGTGATTCATGCTCCATCCCTCGGGTAATAGGAAACGTTGTGGTTGTTTATTCATCTTGTAGCATAAGAGGAAGAATCGGGGGGACACGTACAGCTTCAACAGGGCGAGGTTGGCGTAGCAGTCGTACGTCTGGTTCTCGCACTGCTGCATGACATAGTCCTGGAAGACACCCGTCGTCTCTGGGTTGTAGCGATCCAGTCCATCGAGGATCTGCTGCATGTGATCCGGCCGCTCAGGCGCGAAGTCGAAAGGGGCGCCCATGGTGGTTGTGTGGATGAGCGACGAAGAGTTGGTGTTGCAGGCTTGGTCAAATTCGCTCAGTGCGACAAAAGGCGCATTGGCCACCGAGCAGCCCCGCGTCATCTTCAAAAAAGTTAGACCCCGCCAAAGCCATCAACACAGGAAATCGCGGAATATATACACTGAGATGGCACCTTACGACAGTGATTCCTCGGACGATGGAGGCGACTATACCGAGACGAATGTTCTGCTAGGATACGCAGCGAGGGAAGCAACGGGCGACGCGATTTCCCACATTGGAGGCGCACCGGTACGCACATGACCAACCACGCCGAGCGTCTTTCTAACGACTATAGTAGGGCTGGATAGATGAGAAGACACCCCCTTCTGGCGCCTTAGCGAAATGTAAAGTCTGCAATGGCTACCTCAGCCTCCTCCTCGAACTCAATGGCGATCTTCCCGACAACTTTCCTGGCCACGAGCGGCGACTTTACATCTGGACATGTCGGCGCAAGCCGTGTAGAAGGAAGGAGGGCAGTGTGAGAGGCATTCGCGGTGTACGCATAGCAAAAGGTGCCAACACAAAGTCTAGCGTCCCCAAAATTGAGAAGAAGGAAGTCAAGGAGGAAGCGAAGCCTCAACCCAAGATTGGCGAGTCGCTCTTCGGAGTGAAGAATGGGACCGGCGCATCAACATCCGCGAATCCCTTCTCGAACCCGTTCTCGTCCAACCCGAACGGCACCGCATCATCAAATCCCTTCTCCAAAGCAGGCACCAACCCTTTCGGCGCATCGACTCCCACACCCGCAGTGCAAGTCAGCGAGCCTCAAGAGAAGAAAGACGAAGCCTCTACGACCCTCCCCGAGACGTTCGCGTCCAAAGTTCGTCTCTCGTCACCACCTCCCTCCGAACAACAACCTCCGCGTCCACATGAGCCATGGCCAGCAGCCTCAGCTTTCCCTACGCCATTCCCACACTATCACCTAGACGCCGAATACGAGACATTAGATGCCCCTTCAACGCCCTCGATTCCAGCGAACGTGCGGATGGACACAGACAACGAAGGAAGCGGCAGTGGTGGTGGGAAAGAAGACAAAGAGGTGTTTGAGTCGTCTATGGACAGGACGTTCCAGAAATTTGCAGACCGCATCGGAGAGAACGCAGAGCAAGTGTTGCGCTACGAGTACAAAGGCAAGCCGCTCCTGTACAGCGACAACGACGCTATCGGCAAGCTTCTAGGTCCACACTCGGAAAATGGTTCCTCGTCGAACGCAAAGGTCAAGACAGCAGGCTCACGAAGTGGTGCTGGATTCCCTCGATGTTCGACCTGTGGTGCAGACAGGGTCTTCGAGGTTCAACTGACACCACATGCCATCACTGAGCTAGAGGCTGATGAGATGAGCCTCGACGGCATGGAATGGGGCACTATTATCATGGCTGTCTGCAGCAGAGACTGCAAACCAAACGACGTTCAAGAAGGAGAAGTTGGATATGTGGAGGAATGGGTCGGAGTACAATGGGAGGAGGTCCCTTCGAACAAGTAAGATGAGGATCACATACGATACCAAAGTTCTGTGTTTGAAAGAAACAATTCAATACTCCGACTTCATATCGTTCAGGCTGCTGTGGCCGCCGTAGCTGGCGCAGCTACCCTCGTGATCTGATCACCAGCCCTGGCGACGCCGAGCCCTTTGGTATCTCTGCTGGCTCTCTCACCACCTGTCTTCCAGACTTCGACCTCCTGTCCACCTCGCAAAATACCAACGCGCATGGTCGACAATAAGTTATGTGCCGCATTTGAATGTTCATATACCCCACCGTTGAACACCGCTGTAGCATCCTTTCCAACCGCACTCTTGATCAACGTCTTACCGCCAGGGTGATCAGAGATGAATGGCGTCACGTCATGTATCACTCCAGCAATGGCCATCAAAGCCGCACCCTTGGCCGAAGCTTGAGCCTGGAATTCGTCCCAACTAATAACCGGCAACTGAGCCAGTGGAGCCCCCCAATCGAGCATCGATCGCTTCTTGTCGAGAGCCTTCTGTTGCTGCTGAAGTCTACCTTTCTCAATCTCATTCGAGCGGAAAGTTTTCAAGTCGTATGTCAGCGGAAAGATCGGGATCTTCGACATGATCCAGATAAGCCATTTCGTAGGATCGTACTGGTACCAGGCAATCGCATTTCCTTTCCTCTAGCATCAGTATCGTTGCCTCTCTCATAGCTAAACGAAAGGGAAACATCAACTTACGGTAATCAGACGGGAACTCGTGATGGAAGTTATGATACCCCTCGCCCATAGTGACCAACGCAGTGAGAACATGATCCCTCGGACTCCTCCGATCATCAAATGGCTGCTCGCCAATCCAGTGCGCAAGACTGTTCACACAAAACGTGGCCTGCTGCACAAAACACGCCCGTATAATCCCCGCATACACGAACCCACCCCACCAATCGCCCCAGCCCAGTCCAGCGACCATGGCAGGAAAGATCCAGGCCGTGAACAACAGCAGTTTGCCGTAATGTTTATGTTGGAAGACAACGATGGGATCGCTATCCAAATCAGAAATATCCGTCCGTCCTTTAACTTTCGGGTCGTTGTTCAGTACCATCCATCCGATATGCGAGAAGAGGAGTCCCCGCATCACGGAGTAGGGATCTTTCATTGTATCCGTCCATCGGTGGTGAGCGCGGTGATTAGCGCTCCACCACCGTATGCTGCCTTGGATTGCCCCTGCTCCTGTGAATGCGAGGAATAAGCGTAGGGGAAGGCGTGCGGAATAGCATCTGTGACTCCATAGTCTGTGGTATCCACCGGTGATGCCGAAGGCGGTTGTGGCGTAGTAGAGAATACTCCATAGTAAGGTGGGAAGGGTGAGAGGTGTGGAGCGAGCGAGGTGGAGACCGTAGCTTGGGATCAGAATCACGAGGGTTGTGTTGAGCCAGTTTATCTTCTTGTACCAGTTCTTCCAGGTGATGGGTTGGGAGGATATGTGCGGTTCCTTTGCTGGTGGGGGTTGGATAGCAACCATGACGGTGAGCGAGCGTGTCCTGGTAGTTAGTCCTCACGCAGACAAGAGATGGTAGAAATTAACAAAGCGGTTCACTACTCCAAAGTACTATAGCTTCGTATATGTACCTCCACCCACATTCTTACCCGGAACATACCGCATACACCAGTACCGCACGCCGCCTGTCAGCCTTAAAAAAAACGCAGGGCCACCTGCACCCGCGCCTTGCTAGGTATAGAAACGTGGTTCTAACGTGGTTCTCGCGCCTTTCAGCCCCATCGTCGGTAGAAAGAAACGTGCGTAACGGCGAGACGGTCATGCCAAACCCTCCGACCCGGATTCCTCGGGCGTCGTGCGCATATCTGCGAAGTGTCTGTGATTGGTTGGAGGAAGTGGTGGTGGGTGGTTGATGAAGTTTACAATGCCATGTCTGGTTAGTCGCATGCAGGAACCTGGCCGTTCTTCGGTAGTTTGATGACTAACTTCCTTTGGGGGAGGGATGCGAGGGGCTTGGCGGGGACGACAGGACACTTCTCTCAACGAGAGTAATGAACAGAATGCGCCTTTAACTCAGACTGCGGTCTGGTCCTGCTTCGGGCTGGTCATTATCTCTCAACGAGAGTGGACGTGGTGCGTTCGCTTCATTGTCCTTGCGCATAGACGCTATGCTACTTTCCGTGTCTGATTGCGACTTCTTTGTTGTGACGATTGAATACACTATCCATAGGGGCTCACCCTATTTAAGGGAAAAGTTAGACGGATGCCCTACAGTCTACATTGCCTTAACAATATACAAACTTGAAATATAATGGCAATGTAACCTTCTTAGCTTTTTTTAAATAGTTGTACTTCACGGAGATAGATGTCTAGTCTTTCCCTTGAACGGGGTGGGCTCACGTTTGCCGACCTTGCGAATGCGTCTGGCATGCGCTCAAGTAGTTATGTGTAAGTTCAGTATCTCTTTAAATACACTTGCACTGTCCTAGAATACGACCCGCATCTATCTAACGACCCGGGTTCTCAAGGCTGCGTGAATGTCTTGGCTTGATTGCTTGAATGACCCCAATTCTTCTCGGACGACCATTCTGAGCGAGATCAATACTCTCCTGCTCAACCGTCCATGCTCTCATTTCCATTGGTGTCATCGACCTTGTCAATACCTGCCTCATCCTGTTCGAAATATCCGGCAGTACTCGTGAAGATGAAGACTTCTTCCTTACCGCAAGCCATGGTCCTCTCTCTTAAACGGAGGCGAAGATCTTTCCTGATATCCTTGGGAACTTCTTCATATTCGCTTGACGTGTGTCTATTCACGAGAAGACACAAGTCGATGAAGCATTTCCGAAGAGCGCAGGGACCGTTGGTGTTCTCGTATACACGAACAAGGAGATTGTAACGAGACGCATTCGATATTTTCAGGCCGCACTTGACACTCTCCTCGCGTACGTCTTGTATGAAGCTGCTGTCTTGTATGAAGTAGCCCACGACATGCGCGTCGATCAGCCGGATGCAACGAAGTTCATCGTCTCCTTTATCCGCGTCGGAGGTTGCGAAATTAGCTCCGTAGAGCCACTGGCGGTAGACGTCGAACCCTTTGCATCCACGGCGCTTCTGCGGACATCAGGCTGCCAGTCTTCACAGATGTGGTAATCGTCTTCGGCCAGTTTTCGCCGGCAGCTAGAATTCTGCTACACACTGCCGCGACAGAAGCTCCTTTGCCCACGAGAGCGAGTTCTAGGCGCATTAGTCTTGAGGTCATTACAATGCGAAAAGGTCAAAGTAGACACCATCATGACTGTATTTACATAGCAATACGAGCATGACATGCTGACGGCCGCGTGTGCTTGGCGCCACCACAAAGTGAGGCGCATGCATGTTCCCGCATCTGAAGACATGTACGTACCCCACCATTCGCTCGCAAGAAAAGCTGTATTCATACTGGCTTAGCGCGTGGGCTGATGACGACTGCTATCTCATAGTGAACTCGGTGTCGCAGTGGCAAACATCATGGTGAAGTATTGAAGCTGAGTTGATACCGCTAACGGCGACCAAGAGCGGCGATCGCAAGTTGCGCACGTCTCACAGCGGGGCGTAGCAGTGAAATACCTGCCGTGATAGCCGCCTCGTGTGCGTGATGTAATTGCGGACGGTTCCTGGAGATCGCGATCAAGGGTCTGATCGGCGACTGCAGGGTGCCCTCATCCATCGACTGCGATGTCGACGCAGCGAGTCGCAGGAGAACGAAACATGGGATGCCTCGTAGAGGTGCGTATTTGCGTATAGTAGAACCGCTAATAGACGTTCGACTCGGGGTGGGCACGGACTGCTCCACCTCCCGTTAGTGTGAGGGTCTTTAGCACAGCCCGCTGGTATGGCTGCAGGTGCCGGGCAGCCGTGCTCCAAGTGACGCGGGCCTCAGTACAACCACTTTCTCACGTCGCTCAATTTACCATCAGGCCATGTTGAGTGCTGCTTGTCGCGAATACTTCTTCCCCTCCCCGTTGTAAAGCGCAATTACGAAGAATGCGGCGGTCATGGACAGGAAGGCCCTCTTCTTCCCGTGGTAAGCACAAACCTAGGCTACCAGCAGCACACCAGCTGACAAGACAATAGCGGCCTCGTCCTAGCATCCGGTTACCTGAGCACTGCAACCCCCGTCGACTACTCCTTCGCCTTCGACAAGCCGCTGCACACCGTCGCCATCGTCCTGCTGCTGACTGGCCTCGCCGTTGTCGCAATTGAAGCCTGGTCGTCGCGCAATGCACAACCGCAACCGCCGACAAGATACATCGCCATAGCCCTGAACCAGGTGCAGAGCAGACCTGCAGCCGAAGAGATATGGACAGAGGCAGGCCAGCCAGGAAGGCGGAGAGGATGGAGCGTCAGGGCTGTCGGCGCGCTGCTGGCCGTCCTGCTCTTCGCGATATGCGGGCGTATAGCCATCTTCTATCGCGTCACCAAGGACGTTGAGTGCAGCGGCCCCTCTGCATTGGTGCGCAAACCCCTCCCATTGCGCCAACAGCACTGATTGATATAGGCATTCCTTCCCCTCGTCGCTGCCCTCTACCACAGCATTCGGCACCCCAGTCAGCGACAATACCCCGCCTGGAGTACTGACATGCGCCCACGTACTCAGCTCGACCGCGTCTACAGCTTCATCTTCGACGGCTCCACGCGATACATCATTCCCTCGTTCCTGCTCTCTGTCAGCAGCTTCCTTGTCATCATCAAGTCCAGCTCGCTGCCCTCCAACTACATCTGTCCCATCGCAGACTCGACTGCAACCGCCATTCCTTTCCTTCAGTTCCTCGGCTTCTTGCTGGACTGCGTCATCGTTCAGATCGCATACCGTCTGATCGACGATGGCATCTCTGAGACGGACGACTGGACAATCCATCTTCCAGATGGCACCTCGAATCACCTCCTTATAGGCTTGACTCTTACTGTACGTCAGTCGCCTTCTTAAACCATTACACATCTGACCCTAAACAGGCATCTTCTTTGGTTCTTCTCGTCGCCGGCATCATCATATACCCCGCAATGCCTGAGCATCGCGAGTGGATGCTTTCGTTTCCGTCTGAATATCTCCTTGGTCTTTTGCGTTTATCGTTGATGATACCCTTTATGACGTTATGTTTCCTCAAATCGGTATGTTACTATATCCCGTCTGGTAGCCTGTCGCTGACCCCATAGGCTCGATTGTATGGCGTTATGAGCGCTTTGCTCTTGGGTGCATTTTCCTCCGCATACATTGGCGTTCTCCGAGCCCTGGGCACCGGCGTTTCCTATTCGTTTCCACCAAAATCCACCGTTGGACTTGTTCTGTGTTTGACTCTGCTCACCATTGCGCTCATCCTCTACCTCGTTACAGATACCAGCATCGAAACCCGCATACGATCAAAAGTACCCATCCGCCTGGGCAGGAACCAGTCGGCCGGATTCATTGTGCTTCTCATCGCCTTCTCCATTGGTGTTGTCATATATCGTCGGCAAGGTCCTGTTCTGGAACATCCCATCACTACCTTGATCGACATCGCGACAGTCCAGCACGACCGGTGGGCATCCCAGGCTTACCGGAGCAAATCTCTATCTGAGGCCGTTGTGCACTATCGGAAACGTTACAACCGTGATCCTCCGCCAAATTTCGACAAGTGGTACCACTTCGCCATTAGCCGGAACTCCATTATAATTGATGACTACGACAACATTGAACAAGACTTGGCACCTTTCTCGTCCTTCAACGCCGATGATCTTCGCTTACGTACCGCCACTGTCTTGGCTACGCATGAGGGGGTTGGTGGGCTACGCATAAGAAGCGGGAAGGTGGAGGTCTTCAATAATGTACCTGGTACGCATCGTTGGATGATGGATGGCGCGGCGGCCATGATTCAGCAGTTCTCCGAGTCGCTTCCGGATATGGATCTTGCTCTGAACCTAAATGATGAGAGTCGCGTGGCTGCACCGTACGAACGGTTGCGAGATGTGCTCGACAAGCCACAGCAGTACCCTTCCCCTGATTCGTCTCGCCCAGGAAAAGACTTCAGCGCAGACCGCGCAGAGAAATGGCTGGACGTGGACCGCGTACGAACGGACCCGCATTTTTTCGTCGACGCTCGCATCAAGCATTCGTATGAGACTTTCGGTTCTGTCGCATGCCCACCTGACTCACGCGCACGAAAAGAGCGGCATTGGCAGACGAGATCCTTCTGTCACACTTGCACCCAAGGCCATTCCATGGGCGCATTCGTGGCTAATTGGAGCTTATCATCAGAGCCATGCCATCAGCCAGATATCGCCAATCTACATGGCATGCATCTCAGTCCTGCTAGTCTCATGGGTACTCATGACATGGTCCCAATTTTCAGCCAGAGTCGTGCTCCCGGTTTCGTCGATATCAGATACCCATCACCGTGGAATTACTTGGACAAGAGCAAGTATGGATTTGATGAGAAGTTTCCTGATCCTCACTTCCAGGACAAAGCGGATGTCCTCTTCTGGCGCGGGACGACCACGGAAGGTGTGACCACACATGGGACTTGGAAAGGCATGCTCCGTCAACGAATCGTGCATCTCCTGAATAACGAAACCTCCCGCCAACCTATCCTTCTTCCGAAACCCGATCACAGTGGCCACCTGGAGTACATGCTGAAGCGCACGAACGACATCAAGAGACTTCTCGAGACGAAGACTGATGTGCGCCTTGTGGGTCCGATCGCGCGCTGTGCAGGCCAGGACTGCATCGACCAGACGCGTGAGTTCGGTTTCGGCGATCCGATCGACTTCAAACAGCACTGGCGCTACCGCTACCTTTTCGACGCAGATGGTGCTGGCTTTTCTGGTCGCTTTCTCCCTTTTTTACAGTCCAATTCTGTAGTCTTCAAAGCTGCTCTCTTTCGCGAATGGTACGAAGGCCGCCTGACTGCCTGGAAACACTTCGTTCCTGTTGATCTTCGCTTACACGATCTCTTCTCTTCGCTCGCTTACTTCGGTGGCTATGGCGTCGAGGCGAGGAACAAGCGCATGATGGAGGGTCATATCAAGGCTGCAGAGAAGATTGCACGAGATGGCAAGGTGTGGACGGAGAAGGTCTTGAGGAAGGAGGACATGGAAGTCTACATGTTCAGGCTGTTGCTTGAGTGGGGAAGACTGACGGATGATGCGAGGACGGAGGTGGGCTTCCGCATGGAGAAAGGGAAGTCAAGGGCTCGTGAGAGGACGAGTAGTGTTGAGCGAGAGGTGGAGGAGCTGTGATGTTGCATTGGTGCAAGGCGTTTAGACCGTGGCGTTTTGGGTCGGATAGCATTGCATGGCGCATACTCCAATCGGAGGACAATTATCGTTATCCTGTGTCATTTGCGTATTGGATGTGCATCCATCTCAACGTGCTGGTGGTGGGTGCTGATGATCATCATCATCATTGCAATACCTCTGCTGAACAGACCCAGGTATGCGTCCCAACAATTGTGCTGGAGTGATCTATATAATGGCTCTTCTCAGTGCCTACCTCCTTTCCTTCCTAACACTCACTCCCTTCTCGAAATTACCCAAAAACAAACTTGACACTCTAGATGTGTTGAACGTTCTCCAAAACTCCGAACTCACGGAGCCCATGTGCGGCGGAGCGTGCGACACTGACTTCGCAAAAAAAACAAAAAAAAACCTCAACGTCTTCCCATGATGGCCTGTTCGGGGCTTGATGCCTCAATGTATTAAAAAGGAGTCCAGAACATAGGATGTCTGCGAGGCGGGGTCTTTCTTTTTCAGAGGAATTTGGAGTAGTGGAACTTCACAACGACCTTGCAACAGTTGAGTGGTAGTATACAAGATTGCAGTACAGACCGCGATGTCTCTCCTGTTCTCCGCACAGCTTTTGCGCAAACCATCAAAAATCAACAAAACAGCGAGTGATGGTGCAAGTAGAAGCGACCCTTCCCAGAACAAAAGAACGTCTCTACGATTACATGTGTTCTGCTCCTCGCTCGCGCTTTTCTGAAGACACAACTTACATCTGCAATGTGATGCTCCGCCTTCTTCTTCCTTATTCTTCTCTACGAAGCAAACGATCTCTCCAAAACAGACCACTAACTATTCCATGTCAGTGGTAGCTTCTGGCGCCATTGATGTGCACTATTCAGGCTTAGCATATCTTAGCTTGAGGGTATACATAAATACTCTACTGGATTTTGAGATACACTTCTACAATCTATACTTCAGAAAGATTGTTTCAAAAGTTATAGCACGAAAAGTGATGTTTTGCTGCGGCGTCTTCTGACTTTTCCAAAATGGCCATCGATATATTCGATGCGTGCTGTTTCTCCTCTTCTCTTCAGAAATCAGAAACCGCTTCGAACATGTTCTGTGCGTTCAAGACCAGTTCACTAGGCGAAGGATCTATAAACTACTGCTCGTTCCTGTTATGCTTCGCGCATCAGAATCGCTACCACTCTATGTCGCTAAAACGGTAAATGATATGTCGAATCGCTCTCTCCGCCGTTCCTTTTAAACCCCAATCTGGTTCCCATGTGTGCTTCTGCTTGGACTTGTGAAAACATCAGTTCATCGTGAGCGCTGCATATACCCGAAGAACCGCCTTCTAAAACTCAAAAGGCGTCATGCACGTGGACATGGAGAAGCGAAGAGCTTTGGCATATACTATCTAAACCTTGCCATGGAGCGCAGCATGACAGAGACGTCTCCGAGATCAGTGGAGTACAGTCGTATGCTTTGTGTTGCCTATAAAGAAACCTATCCTTCCTGAAACTCAAGTTCTCCAAAATACCTGGGCTCTTTGTGAGCTGATCAAAAGCTTAGAGAACAATCTAATGTGTTTTTTTCCCTCTGAATCAAAATCAATACTGGTTCCAGCCATCGAACGTCTGCCTTACGCCCTCGACTCTGATTTACTTCTCGATCCAAGAACTGCGTCCAAATCCTCTGTGATGTTAGAAAACGATACAGGATGCTGGGATCGTTAAGCCGCTTCCTCCAAACCAACGTTGACATCAACGCCATGTTTTTCGAGCAGCAGTAGCATAGTCTCCAGTCCATCCTTTTTCGCTCGCCGCATACACTCCTCTGCTGTTCCTGGAGAATGAAGATCCGCTCCTCGTTCAAGAAGAAACTCAAAGAGTGATGTATGTTCTGCGGCGATGGCTCCGGCGAGAGGGCTATCCTTGCCAATGCTTTCGTTTACGTCTACGCCGGCGTCAAGAAGGAGCCGCACTACGTCGAGATAAGGCCCTCTTTCTACATTCGCCAGAAGCTTAGCGTGTGCTGTACAGTATCTTCCTGCATCGACAAGTGCCTCGCTGGGGTTGACTCCGCGGTCCAGCAGTATTTGCACGAGCTTCCCGTGACCGCGGCGCGCTGCACCTTCGAGAGTGATGTTTGGATTCGCACCATTGTCTAAAAGAAGCTGTACAATAGCTACATGGCCGCGTTCGCTAGCGTACTTGACGGCTATATGGAGGATGCTAGTTCGATCTCCATTGGCATACTCACCGATTCGTACGAGGTGCGACACGATGTCTAGGTAGCCGATTTTTGCGCAGTTGTAGAGTTTGATGTCAACGGTATCATATGATGCCGGTGGTAATCCTTTGGCAATGCGCATAGTCTCGACGAAATCCCAGACCTTAGGATTATGACCGCCGTCGAGAATGTTTTCTAGTGGTCTTCTGTTCCCATCCGCATCACACTCAAAATCCCATGGCCATTCTGCGCTTCGAAAGTTGTACAGGAAGCGAACGATATTCATCCGGCCGGCTCTCGTCGCGAACCCGAAAAACCTGGATCGCATCTTCGGGACGATATCCGGAGTTCCGCTCGTCATCAAATACTCCAGTAGTTCTTCGTTGCCATACCTTCCAGCGAGCTCATTGTATTCTCCAAAAAGACAACTTGTGGTGGGGCCGGGAAGGTCGAAAAGCATTGTGTCTCTCAAAGTAGCAGACCGCCGGATGTATGAGAGCCTATTGGTACACAGAGCGGCACCAAAGCATTGTTTGTTGTACTCCTCCGGATCCCAATTGCAAGCAGAGTTGAATCCCGTCTTCCAGTGGTGTCCAAGGGGTTTTGAGCGCCGTTTCGTTGCGCATAGAATATGGATCACATGTTCGATGGTGCCTCCATCAGTTTCGCTAATGGCGCTCAAAGATAACATCTGGATTGCCACCTTTCGGACGTCGTTCAAGAATCGATTACCATATGAAGGTTCGTGCAGTACCCTATACTCAGCATATGATTGGAAGAAGTATATCTCCTCCCAAGTGCGGATAGCAGGTTCGTTGAACACCAATTCGTCAAGGAGGTGAAAGGTATAGAGTACACGTATGATTTCTCGCGCGAAGTGATCTGGCAGCTGTCAGCGGGAGTTAACAAGGAATGATATGGTATTACGTACGATTTATCAGCCGCAAGCGCAAACCTCGTTTCAGTCCACGGGCATTAATGGCAAAATGTAGGATTGTGTCGAAGAGCTCTCCCGGCAGCTCTAAAAATTTCATGGCGCTGTACAACTCCGTTCTTTTTTTCCAAACTGTAAGACACTCACTAAGAACTGAACCTGGACCAGAAGCCGGCAGATTGTAGAACGAGTTTCATGCGCTGATATGCTTAGATAGGCGCCTGGAAACTTCGCCAATGTGGCACGGAGACCGTGTGGCACAGACACCAACATACCGGGTGCTGACCTTCCGAACGATGAGCCAATAGCAACTAGGCGTGTTTCGCGATCGCAGAGACAATCAATGCGATGGGGCGATGTAGAAGTGGCAAGGTAATCTGGCAGAGCGCTAGCCCCTCAATCGCCCAGTCAGGTTAGCTCAAGCTCAGAGCGCTCAAGCCTGCCAGCAAATGGGTTGCAGCTGATGGAATCAGAACCCGCTTCATCCACTCTCTATGTTCGATGTCTTACAACGAGCTCGCGACTGTTCTTTCAACCATTGGAAGACCCCTTTTCATGGCCTAGTATTGTGTCAAGAGGAACCACTCACTGGCGGGCGCAAACAATCAGGCACCTGCCTTAGTCAACGTGTTGAACAGAATATCGACGTCGGCTAGTCTGCATACCAGCAACGATACAGTATATGTTGAAGGCTGTCGTACAACTATAGAGTCTAAAGATTTTCACTACTATGGAAACAGAACGAGTGCGTAAAAAGAAACCAAAAGAACCTGACACAAAAACGAGCGACAAGAGCAAAGAGGCATGATATCAGACGAATCCGATCTGCCATTCGATCCAAAACCGAGTCTTTCAATTAGTCGAAAAGACCGAGCGCAAAAGCCATCATCAGTTCTGGATTGAACCATACATCCACACCGTATTAGTTTGCCTTCGGTATATCAACCTCGGGCTGCTTCTCCCATGTCTCACCGGGTCTCTCCAGGCGGTCATACTCGTTTGCTGGAAAACCAATCGGCTCGTCTCCTCGTGTCCAAATCTGCGTCTCAGGACCATAGTGAATATACTTCGTCGGGTCGGCGTCGTTGTTATCCTTGTCTTTAACGAAAGGGACGACTCTGACACTGTCGACATTGGGATTGCGAGTGAGCTCTGGAAGCTCATATGTCCACCAGTTCGAGCCTTTGTCGGGGTAGGGTTGGTTCACGCCTCGGCCTCCAGGGACCGCAACGTAAACATGTCCTTGAACTGCTTGACCTAAAGCCTTCGAGTTTACAGCCCAGTAATAGTGCTCAGCACCACTTGCCTGCTCGTCATTGTATTTCTTCCACTCATCATGTTTGCTAGGTTCATCCCATATACTTTTGTCGTCCATGGGCAAAACATCGTTCATAGATCGCATGCTGCCTTGCGCCCCGACATGGCTTTGAAGGGATGTCTTGTATTCTCCATTGAATTTCATGTCATCCAGACCACTGTAGAAGAACCATGGCTGGTTGTTGAGGTTGTGGGTGGTTATTATCGTCTGGAAGCTGTTCCTGCGATCTGTAACAGCGATGGCTTTAATGTTGCCCGGGAGAATGATTGGAGGACCGTTGCTTGTTGCCGGTTGATTGTGGTTGTTCCTTACTGAGGGTTGGTACTGAACAGCATTTGGCTGACCTGGATTGTTAGCCGCAGGTACATTCGGGGCTGGGTTAGGATTTGGAGCCACATTAGGGTTCGGGGCTGGATTTGGATTTGGAGCCGGGTTGGAGTTCGGGGCTGGATTCGGGTTTGCTGGTTGAGCGTTCGGGTCCGGGACCGCTGGTTGCGAACTAGAGCCTGGATTGCCCGTATCATCCCCGTTGTTGTTGTTGAACCCTCCTTCGGTTTCCTGCGAATGGGAGGAGCCACCAGAGGTCTCTTGCTCGTTGCTGAACCCCCCAGACTCGCCCTGCTGGTCTCCGGCGTCAGAAGGACTGTTCTGATCATGAGGGTTCGCCTGAGGTGCGTTGGGACTGTTCTCATCGGGCCTGTTCGGGCGTCCTCCGCCACTAGCTCTGCGGTCGAGTGCGGGTGGAAGAGCATCAGTACGGGCAAGATGAGGCCAATTCGTGTTCTCGTGTGGGTCTTTACAATCTACCTCGCTTTGGCATGGAGCGATCGGTATAATAGGCTTGCCGCTACTGTGTAGAATGTATGCAGACAAAAGTCCGAGAGCGAGCGTCTTCGAAAGTGAGTGACGCATGGTGATAGTGTTGTCGAGTGGCTATGGTGTTTTGATACAAAGACGTAATGTGTAAAATGATTTCAAGAGAAGATTTTAAGTGAAGATAGGACTTGAATACTGTCGTGCTGGACGTCGGGTCAGGAGTCGTGGCTTTTATCTCCTTCTTCCATCTTTTCTCTGCATATCCCGTCCTGCAGAGCTTCCCCGTGTTCATATTCGAACCGGAGAACAAACTCGCACATCCAGCCTCATGCCAGATTTCTGTTCTCAAAGCTACGTCACAACCCTTCGTTATCATAGGCAGTGCTTGGATTCTGTGTCCATCTGCTGCGGAAAGCCCGTGGCGAAGTGCGGCAGTGACACCATGTGGAACATATTCGGCATGTTGGATGTCACGTATGCTCTTCGGAGAGATGTAACGATCTCTAGATGAAACCTAACAGTATACTGAGCCGCCTCCGGGTCTTGTGGGGGCAGCTTGTGAGTGACGATGGTCGCCACGCCGCAAGTCCGGACGCCGCATGTTGAAGCGGCGCAGAGCCCTTACCACACCAAGGTGATGACATACTGCTCCATATCTGATTGCTCTCTGTCACAGAAGGGGGCCATGATTGCTTTCGCTGCATCGTGATGGGATTGGTGCTACAGTAAGAACAGGAGATCAGGTCGGGCTTCGGGGCCAATGTAATTGCCGACAGCACACATGCAGCGAGATGGCGTGAAATTGATGACACGTAAGAGTTAACTGAGGGTATAGCAATGGTGCACTGCATGAAGCTTACGAAAGTCGAACGATCATGACGCAGTGAGAGGTGCAATGAAGGCGCCAACGTCGCTCTGGGAATGGGATCCAGAGGGTCTTGCATCATAACACGAAAGGCCAGAGAGACACATTGCAATATCTTTGTTGGAGAATGCATCTTATGTGCCTTGTTACAATCATATAAAGAGTGAGCAAAGCGGCAGTCGACGAAAACATGAACACCAGTTATCGCCACAGCCTTCAGCTACTATCAAGTTATTACATACCACTCTTTCGAACTCGTACTTTAGAAGCTACGTCTTGTCCCATCGAATTTACTCCTATCCAAAGTTCCATACTCCTACATCTTACCAGATCTCGCCATGTCAGGTTTCTTCGCCGAGCTCGGTCTCAGTGTGGCCTTCACCATGATCAGTCTCGCTCCCATGGTCCCCGAATGGCTCCACGGTAACCCTAAGCCACAGACCAAGGTCAACGTACTGGTTGGTCTACCACCATTGGACGCCGATGAACAGAATAAGAAAGACGAGATCTACAAGAAGCTAAGCTACGGCGGATGCGCTCCGGAAGTGTCACTCTTCAACGCCAACGGAGACCGGGTTGGCTACAGCAAAAACAAGAAATGCAAGCAGGTCATTAGTCAGAACAGTCCCACCGACATCTGGGCCGACTACATCAAGCCAGGCGAAACGGAGAAAGCCGAGTACATCACCGTATCCGCATCTGGCCCCGATGCCATCTGCATCTCAGCTATAGCAGTCACATACCCCACTAGTAGCGATACCTACGCTTTCCTCCCCGGTGAGGTAGCTGCCATATGCAATACCCACAACCCAGATTACAAGTACTCCTGGTCCCCATCCGCCACATCAATCCAGTTCAAGTCCGAATCCGGGCAGACGCAGGACGGGCGACCGAAATGCCTATGGATCGACAAGCCCGACGACGACGGAGAGTCAGCGACACACTACGAAGGATTTCAGGTACACCTTCCGGACTTCAAGCTCGACAACAGTACCTTCCATGGATGGCAAGACGACCCCTCACACATGTGCGACTCGCTGGCGCGATTTGGCCCATACGACAGGCTCGATCCAATGCTCTGCCCGGAGATATTCAGTCCAGCGCCACCTAAGGGCGCAGATCTCCCCTTAGATACCGTCTCCGCGTGTACACCGGCTGCAAAAGACAGCGTTACAGACCCTAACATCTGCGAAGATGATCGCTTCACATACCAGCAAAGATACGATCTTATTAGGATGTACGACCAGATGTGTCTTAACGGCGATTGGTGGTATTACAAGTGTGAAGAAAGACCTTCATGCCCGCCCGGGCCGTCAAAGCGTCGGTCGCTTCTAAGATCGCGATCTTCTTCATCCTACTGGCCATTTCCCCATACCCCCAAATCGAAGTATCGGCGCACTTCACCCGACCATCCGCTCCAGAGGCAGTTCGACGGTGTGTTAGTCAAGAGTCAAGACGTCACGCAAAGTGCAGTGGAGGTCTGCCAAAGCGCCGGCAGTGTTGGACCTGACTTTTATTCTGAGCCCGAACAGATGTTCTGTGATATGAAGACGCGTGAGTTATATCCAGCATGTAATGGTACTGTTCAGATGACTTGTTTTGACCCGGTTCAAAACGAGACACGAACTGAGACTGGCAACGCAGAAGTGGATAAGCGTGGCGAGCAGAGGACGTATTTGGAGGTGAAGGAATGGCCTTGAACGCGACAAGATGACGCATGGTCGCGCAGGGCTGGTTCTAGTATTGGCATGCCATATACAATTGTACTTCCTCGTATCTAATACCTCATACTCCTCACCCCCTTCTTGTGGCTAGGACTATCCATCCAACTCTCCTTGAATCTATCCTCTCCATCATCATCCTGATCCACATCTCCGAGATCAATACCAGTAACTCCATCCACGTCTCCATCATCGCTTCCAAACTCTTCCTGGCCACCAACGCCGCCCTCAGGACTCCAAACCGGACTTGTGGCAATCTTCGGTCTTGACTTGAACACTCTGTCGTAGTCCACTTCATCGCTGAATAACTGCTCTGTGGGTGTCCGCTCGATACTTTCAAGCTTTGCCTGTTCTAAAAGTTCGAAGGATTTGCGGTTCCGGGGTGTGTCGAATTGGTTGACGGGAAACAAGGATTGCCGGCTGGATTTACGATGTTCCTTCTTTGCTGTGTTGGAGACGGAGGGGCGGGGATTGGATTGCATGGCTTCCATGGTCAGCCGGGTTCGTTCGAGCAGCGTTGCGCGTCGGTCGCCGTCTTCGTCTCCAGTGATGGAAGGGATCGGTGGTGGTCCCATAGATGGCAGCGGTAGATCAGGTGACTCTGGAACAGGTTCGAAAGAGTTTGCCCGTGCCATTGTCATGCGTGTACGTTCAATGAGTGAAAGGGACATGCGTGGTTGAGGCTTTTTGACCGGAGATGGGGTCGCATTACCGATGGAGTTGATGATTTGGTCGGCAAGTGCTTCTTCAGCATTGAGTTCTGGGGGGTCGAAAGTTGGAATTGGTGGTTCAGAGGGGTATTCTGGTGATGGTTCAAGCAGCTTTTCAGGAGACAGATCCGTTTTTTGCTCGGAGTAATTAGTAAGTGTCTTGGTAGCTTCAGACGATGAGGTATCGGCGACCGGTTCGGAAACAGCAGATCTAGTCTCCGGTACTGGTGTACGCTCGTTGTCAGTCTCCGTCGGCGATCCGTCGCGCCGGGTCGTGGCTCTACTTAACGTAGATGATTGACCGATTAGTGTGGCATCTGAATCGGTTGGTGTCGCCACTGTCGGAACGTGCCGAGATGGTCGGGGTAGGACCGGGACATTTTCTAAAGAGTTCGGTCTTGACGGCGACTGTAGTTTGACAGGCTTGGCTGGGATCACTGGTGCTTTTCGTATCGCCTCCGTTTGAGTAGATTTCCTAGTAAGAAGGGGTGGGCGAGCAGCCTTTGCCGTTGAGGTACTTCTATGATGTATGATCGTAGATGCAGTACTAGCTCTGACTTTGGCAGCGCGCGCCAGCTCACTGTCCATATCCGACAGGATGTCTTGAAACTCTATTCGCATAGTCGGCCGCTTTACACTGGCAGATTCCGCTGTGTGCTTCGCTGACGGTAATTGATGTTTCGAGTGATCATCGAAGCGGAACTCCTTTACTGGCGCAGCAGTCTGTCCGCTTCCTGATAATTCCTTCCCTGACTCGTCGCTTTGTAGCTCAGCATGGAAAGCCTTCCACTTTTGTAACCTCTCCTGCTGCTCTTGCACCCTTGCTTGCAGATTCTCCAGTAGTCCAGTCTCGGGCGCAACGTCTTCCAGTTTTCCGCCTTTTTCCACCATGTGCAAGACTTTGTCGAAACGGCTGTTTAGGAACGCATCGTCCGCCTGCATGTTCTCGCCGCGTAGCATTACGTCGAGCCACTGTTGGTTGCCAACCCAGTTGTCCTTGAGCTGTTTCTTGATAGCATTGGCTTCTTTTTGTGGTATCGCTGGCTTTTGCGCCCGAGGAGTGTCTTTGCATTTGCGTATGCGACCCCGGATATCTGCTGCCTTCTTGTCCAGAAGACCATGAAATTCCATGTACTTGAGCCTCTTCTCTTCTTTTTGTTTCAGTACGTTGACGAGCGCTGCCTTGTGTGCGATCGCTAGGGGCAGTAATGACCGTTGTTGCTCAACTGAGAGCGTTGACGCTGTCGCCAGTTTTCTTGCGACAACGGCATCTCTGTCACCTCCTTCTTGCGCTGCAAGAACCTTTTTGAGTACGGCATTCGAAAATATGGCCAATATCTCATAGAACTTCTCGCCCTTGCACTCGTCAAGCATTGTCTTCCTAAGAACCGACTCTCTTCCCAAAACGCCGTTCTTCTTCAGTTCGTTCAGACATCGGTATAGTGCAGCGCGGAGGTTTAACGATTGGAGTGGTTCGAGTGGCGGGAAGAAGGGTTGGAGTTTCTGTAGCTGAGTCAGACATAAAATCAGCGCGAGGTTCCATCCCAGCATACCTGTGCTGTCTCATTGGGATCCCATATTTCGAATAACCGAAATAGTGCCCATTCAGCCCCGCCAATTCTCTGTCGCTGGTCTGCGTTCTTTGCCGAGAAGGTTTGTGTTGTGATTTCAGGCCAATCCGGTCGCAAATCGAAGTCTAACAATCGCAAGTTGGTCACAAATAGTCGAATATCGGGCGCTTGTATTGGGTTCACTGCTTGAGGTTTGGGAATTGTTTTGACTGACGCGGTGCGCGCATGGCCACTCATGGTAGTCGCGGTGGCCGTAGAGGCGGTTGAGGGAGGGCGAGACATGCTTGCGACCGCAGAGCATACATTCGCGCGGTGACCCTGGTCAAAGTCCCTGAGACTTGAGGTGCATGCGTGGTGTTGCGGTGTGACGGGACCCTTGCGTTGTTTGCCAAGGCGGGTGTTATCGATAGGTCCGTTCGCGCCCTCTGTTCCTTGTCCGACTTTCGTCACTTGTCCCGCCATTCTTCACTCACCAAACAGTCACTGTTTACAAGACAATCACACACCCCGCTGGACTACTATAAACCTCCGACCCCAAGCGGTATTCGACACACCAAGCAACCATGACAGTCGACGAAGCAATCCAGGTCAACGGCGTGCCAGACCCCAACGCTGGTGTACTTGACGCGAAGAAAGCAGAAGAGAAGAAGTGGACAGTCGAGAGTGGTATGTCATGAACAAGCAATAGCTCGTCCGTATGCGACACCTCTCTTACCCCTCATACCACGCATCTAACATCTCGCTAACACGCACTGCAGTCCTTTCAGAGAACGCACTCCAGTACGCCGAAAACACCGACTCACCCGTCCCCTTCTTCCACCTCCTCGAGCGCCTAAAGACGACCAAACGTGCGGGATGGCAGCGTTTCGAAATTGGCGATGGCGAATCTATATCCGACCACATGTACCGCATGAGCATCCTCACCATGATGGCTCCTGCATCAATAAGCTCCAAGCTCGACATCGCGCGATGCTGTCGCATGGCTGTTGTACACGACATGGCTGAGGCGCTTGTCGGCGACATCACACCCGTAGACGGAGTCTCCAAGGAGGAAAAGAGCAGGAGAGAGACCGAGACCATGGACTACATCTGCACAAACCTGCTTGGAAAGTTCAACGGTGGACTCAACGGCCAGGACATTAGGGCGTTATGGCAGGAATACGAGGACAGCGAGACGGCTGAGTCGCACTTTGTGCACGACATCGACAAGATCGAGCTTCTAGTCCAAATGGTCGAATACGAGCGCACGTCCAAGTGCGAGCGAGATCTAGGAGAGTTCCAGTGGGTCGCAAATGTCATCAAGAGCGAAGAGGTGAAGGCGTGGGCGCAACAGATCTTCAGTGAGAGGGATCAGATGTGGAAAGATGCCGGCAAGACACCAAAGCCTCTTAGTGCGTACAAGAAGTCTTGAGAGACAATGGAGCATGGTGCCCAGCACACTTGCATGACCATAGACGGGCTCCTTCACTGGCGCATTTCACGAAGTATGACGGTTTAGTAGACGGTAATTGCATCTTTAGAATTTATCTTCTTTTGCATGTAAAGTTGATGTCTCTCAGTCGTGATCTCTAATCCTCTCCGACTCACTCAAGGAGCCTTTCAACTTTACATCGACGACAACAAGTCTATCGCTTAAGAATTCGACAAGCTAATCAATCTCCTCTTCTTCACCTCCCTGCTCGGCGTCCCAGCCAGCCTAGGTATGCCCCCAGCCACTCCCGGATCCCCAAAACCATACTCATCCCTGCTGTACCCACTACTTCCACTTGCACTGTTCCAAGCCCCCTTTGTCCCCGGCCTCGCATACTCCCCCTTTCTTATCTCGTTACCGGATCTGCGTCCATGCCAGTAACACAAGTCGGCGCTTGGCCCCCTGTACTTCGGGTGCAGAGGGCACAAAGGACTGCTAGGAAGGTGTTCAGGGACGAGCCATTCAAACTTGCGGCGTTCTTCTTCTTCTTGGCGGGCAAGTGCTGCGAGTGTGCGTTCGTCAGGTGTGTCGGGGTAGTGTGACTGGTGGATGCGGTACCAGCCGTCGTGGCCTAGCATTGGGGATGTGGCAGCCAAGGAAGGACTGGCTGGTGGTTTTACGCCCAGGTAACCTGCTGCATTACCAACCTCGTTACTTGTACGTGCTGTAAGCCCGCCGAGGCTGCTCGGTCCAAAGTCAACGGGTGGGTTGATGAATTCGCTGGGTGGGCCTTCGGGGCCCTCATTCTCCCCCTCATCCTCGGGGTTATCAATGTCGTTCGTCAGGCTCATGAGTAGGGCGTCAGAATCCCAGTAGCCGCCTGGACTGGATTTGGGCTTGTTGCGAGCGTTGATAGCACCACCGCCGTGGATATCGAAGAAGAAGTCTGCCAGCTTGCCTTTAACTTCGCCGTTCGAGTCGAACATTGGTGGTGTTGGCACACGTTGGAGGCCAGGAGGAATGAAGGCCGGCGGAGCATGCATTTGTGCGAGAGACTTTACTGGATGTACCTGTTTGCCCCGAGCAGGGAAGAATGAAAATGGGGTTTGTTGTTTGGTAACCTCTGCGGTATTTTGGTCTGAGATGCGGTTTGAGCGTCGGAAGAGATTAAAGGAGAAGCGGCGACTTAGAGACTGCGCAGGCCCGGGAGAGGGAGGAGCATCTTCACTTGATGTCTTATTCAGCCATAACCAGCGCCGCGAGCGTGTGGCCTTCGATTCGCTGGCTATTTGCTGCAACTCTGCCTTTGTTCGAGCTTGCTGTTCTCTATATGTCTTCTCTTCCGCTAGGGTCCAATTCCCATCTGGTGTCTGGGCTAACGTCGAATCGCTCGCACTCGTACCACTCTTTCCACTCCTGCCACTTCTCGCTCTCTTCGATCTCGGACGATCGATGTAACACCGATCTCGTACTTTAGGTGGCGGTCGTTCGAACTTCAGGGATTGCGACGAGAAGATTGCATCGGTGTCGGGTAGGAGACCTAGGGCACCTTTGTTATCGTTACTCAGCGCTGAATTGTTGTCGCGAATGTAGTCTTCTTCGAGAATGGGCGTAGTCTTGGCCATCGGCACTGGCTCCCACTTTGGCTGCTCTTTGCGGATCCATGGTGTTTTTGGACTTCGCGCGCGGGGGGCACCGAGGTTGGCCATGATATCGACGGGTGAGCGGCCGCGAGCAGGTAAGTCTGGGATCACAGTTGGCATCGAAAGATCGAGATTGACCTTTCGGCGGTCTCGTAGCCCGCCTTTTCCCATTGGAGATTGTGGACTCGATGGCATCTTTGCATTATTCGTCGGTGTTGTTGGCTCTTCGATAAAAACAGATGGCTTTGATCCTTGCTCGTAGGACTCCTTTGCTTTAACAATAGGAGGTGGTGCAAATGACAACATGCGGTCCTTCTTGTGCAGTTTCATGGGCATTGCTTCCTGAGAATCTCGCCGGTCTTGATCGTCTTTGCTTTCGGGCAGGTGCAACATTCTGAATTCTGGTACATGTCGGGCGATGCCCTTGGCAAAAGCTGCAATAGATGGCCTTCTGTGATCGCGGACGTAAGAATCATTGGTTTCTGTGGAGAAGGAACCTGTTCGGCCTGTATTCTCGGATGCGTGCGACTCCATGCTGTCGATATGCTGTAGTTTACTGTTTTGAATGTGGTCCGCATCGTCGATGGTCGTTCTTCGAATTATCTCTTCTAGTGGTGGAGGTGTTTTTGGGCGTTCTTGCTCCATTGCCATCGGGTTGCGACTGTGCCTGCTCTCATTCCCAAGGCTTGATCGTTGATCCCAGCTAAAGCCTTCCCGTCTGTCAACATGTCGCCTTGGGGTGAGTCCTTCATCTTGTCCTGATGACTCTGTGCTAACAAGCTGGTCGGCATGATCCTGGAGTGAGGTATAGTGTCTGGTGAGGGAAGTTGGCGAGCTTGGGTCTAGGAAGCTACCGAGATCGTGTGTAGAGGGTGCGATCAGCCCTGGTACGCCCGAAGGCGTGATAGAGACATATGCGGGGGTATCAGTTGCATGGGCCCTGGCCAGTAGTGCCGACAACATGTGCGGGCCGGCGATGGAAGCTGCTTGTGCAGATTTGACGTGTTTGCGCCCAGTCAATCACGCATCTAGCGTACAGTATGTTGATCAGTGAAGCGTTCGTGAGGTCAAAAGATTTATCGTAGGTGTGTGTGCAGGAAGAATAGGTAGCGCGCAATTGTAGGGAGCGTGATGTTGCTCTGATCTGGGGTGTAGAGGCAGCTTGTATCTTCGGTTTCCGCATCAGGAAGGAGATATGGACGACAAGACATCTTAACGAGGAAGTGGCCGTTTGGGCCGCGGATGTGCATACCAACTTCCCAACTGGGACATTAGTGTCATAAACAAGACTCCACCAACACCATCCTATGCTGAACTACACGGATATCTTTCCACTCCGCAAACCAAGCCATGCATACCGGGTATCCAAACCATGCCTCATAACACATTACGCAAACATCAATGCTTATCCTGATCCCGATGTAGCTTGCACCACACTAGTGCCATCGACAAACCGTGTGCGGAATATGCGGTTTGCGTTTTGGAACATGCCGTCCTTCAAACTAACGACGATGAACTGCGATCCCTTGAAACGGGTCTTGAACAAGCGACCGATGTTTTGTGTGTGCGACAAGTCAAGCGCGGCATCAACTTCGTCCAGAATGTACATTGGTGCAGGCTTGAACTGAAGGAGGGCCATGATGAGGGATAGGGCGATAAGTGATCTGGAGAATGTTAGCGCATGTGATTCGGGCGAGTCCGGGTGAGTGCATACCGTTGACCACCACTCAGCTCTGTCAGTGACTGCTTCCACACCTTGCCCAGCATGACCTTGACTTCCAGACCATCAGAAATTGTCTTGCCCTCAGGAGGGTCTAGTTTCGCGAAACTACCTGGCAGCAGCTCGTTGAAAATTTGACCGAAATCGCGATTGACAATTGTCCAGGTCTTGTGTAGCGCCTCTTTCTTGTACTCATCGAGCTTGACGATAGTCTCTTCGATCTTCGATTTGTCTCGAATGACTGTCGACATGTTCCGTTTGAGGCTGGCTTCTTTCTTCTCAACATTGTCGATCATGGCCATGACCTTGGGGTTGATCTTGTTCTTCTTCTGCTGAAAGTGCTCCTCCAACGACTTCCGCCTGGTTTTCGCGTCTGCCATGTTCACACCCTTGAAGTCATAGACTGTTCCGGCACGCCCAAAGAGCTCGGAATCACTCGCAATGAACTCGTACTCTTTTTCGAGCGCCTTGACATGGCTAGCCGCGCCTTCCTGTTCTTTATGGAATCTTTCGATTTCATGGCCGAGCTTCTGTTGTTCCAGACCGCCTTCAGTGATGGACGAGTTCTTCGATCTGATCGCATCTTCAAGTGAGCGAAGTTCTTCGTCGAAGCCGGTGAGTTTAGCTTGTTCATCTCTCAAGTGGGCTGCAGCCAAGTCGTGCGCGTCCTGGCAAAGTTAATATCGACAAGTGACATTGGTCTAGAGATCTTACCTGTACACGAGATTGCTCGGCTAGCAACTCGTCCACTTCTGCTTGCTGCGACTGCAAATTGGTCTGAACCTCTTCAAATTGCTCTTGTGCTGCTGCCAGGTCGCTCCCGCATTGCTCAGACTCGACCATAGCTTCGCGCATCTCGGTCTGCAGGGGCTTGATCGAAGCGCTATTCTTGTTCAAAGCCTTCTTGAGCTTGTCTAGTGATGACTGTAGTTCAGCAAGCTTGCTGTCCTTGTTGTTGCTGAACTCGCTCATGTCGCGTTCGATACGTTTGACGTCCTTGTTGGCCTCGTCTTGGCGAGTCTTCGCCGCTTTTATGTCTTCCTTGAGCTGAGCAATGGTCTGCTTCATCTCTTCGACAGCTTGGATGATCTAATCTGTAGTTAGCAAAGGTCCAGATTTCCAATTCCAGTCCAGGAGTCATCACGTACTGATGAGGAAGAGTTACTGCCAATCTGCTCCTCGGTGAGCTTGATCTCGTGCCTCTTGAGGTCGAGCTCCTGTTTTGATTTACGAGCAGCATCCATCTTCTTCTTCTCTTTGGCCATGGTGGCCTGCAGCGACTGTAGCTGGGCTTCTTGTGAACTCAGCTCTGTCGTAATCTCGTTGAGCTTTTGCAACGTGATGAGAACTCCACTAGACTGAGGCGCACTACCACCAGACAGAACACCAGCAGGATCATATGTGTCGCCCTGTAGAGTGACGCTCTTCATGCGCACTGCTGGATCGAAGGTCACGCGCTTAGCAGTCTCGGCATCCTCACAGACGAGTGTGGACCCGAAGACGTACTCCATGGCGGCGTTGACCTCATGCTCGTATCCGATCAACGACAAAGCCAAATCGACTTTTCCTGGCGCAATTCTCTGAGCAGCCCCAATCTTCTCTGCTGACGCCTTGAAAGCCGCAATCTTGTTGAGTGGGATAATTGTCACTCGCTTCTTCAGCTTGCCATTCTCGAGAAGTTGTTTGCCGGTAGCAGCTGAGTCGACGACAACGTTGTACAGCCGACCACCGGCGCAGATCTCCAGAGCGGTACCTGCTCGGGTATGTTCCTTTTCTAGGGTGAAGAGCTGAGCGACAAGGCCTTTCACTTTAGACCGATCGAAGTTCGGGGAGGGGTCGTTGTAACTGAAGTCGATGTTCGCAACCTGCCGCCTCATGCCGTCTGCTTGTTGTCGGAGTTCGCGTATGCGTGCCTGGAGATGCGACTCTTGCTGGTACATGTCGGCCTCCTGGCCTTCGTTGTAACCAAGCTTCGCAAGATCCGCTTCCAGCTTCTGGGCTTGAGACTTCAAAGCCTCGAGGTCTTTGAGAAGCCCGGAGTTCTGTTCTTTTGCCTTTTTTGCTTTCGGCTCGTCTTCCTTGATCTGCTTCTCAAGATGTGATATCCTAAGCTTGCTCTGCTCCTGCTCCGTCGCGGCTGCGCTCGCTCGATTCCTGGCGTCTTGCAGTTGGCCCTGGTAACCGCCTTCCTGGCCTTCTTTGGAAGCCACACCAGTTTGTAGGGTCTGTAGAAGCTCTTCCTTCTTCTCCACCTCCTCTGTCTGTTTCGCTAGCTCGGCGTGGGCGGTCTGGTACTTTTCTTGCAACTTCTCGTACGTCTGCTTCTTCTCTTGCAGTAGCTTCTCCAACTCCTTGACACTCTTCTCGACGCCCTCCTTCCGTTCCACTTCCTCGGCCATGCTGGTCGTTTTCAGGTCCAGCACTGTTGTCAGGCGGACAATCTCGTGCGAATGTGTCTTCACCTCCTCTTCCAGAGCTTGGAACCTTCCGCCTTTGCGCAGCTCCTTCTCTCGTGTCGCCTTTGTCTGTTTGATGTCCTCCTGGAGGTTCTCAATCTCTTTCTTCATACGCACAGCAGACTCGTCGAGGTCTTTCGCCCTTTGCTTCTTGGCTTCAAGGTCTTCGGCTGACTGTTGTAATCGCTCATTGTATCGTATGTAGTCGTAGGCGACGACTAGCTTCGTGAGGCGCTCAAGCTCGCTTTGTGTCTGTTGGAAGTCCAGGAAGGCACGCTTCTCCATTCGCAGCTTCTCGAGCTTCGGGTCGATTTCGTCTCGTAATAGCTCCGTGATCTCCTGCACCTTCATTTCCTTCTTAGCCATAGTCTTGTACGCCTTGTCTCGCCTGTCCTCAAACATGCGTGTTCCAGCAGCCTCTTCCAGCATGGCCAAAATCTCTTTTGCCTTCATGTTCAGCACCTGCATGACCTTTCCTTGTGCGATCATAAAGTTCGGGTTGTTGATGTTCAGCTGTACAGACTGGAACAGGTTCTGTATGCTTTGTTGTTGCGCGCGGTGTCCGTTGATAAGGTACTTGCTCGCTCCTCCGAGCACGATCTGCCTTGTCACCGATATTTGCGCATGTTCCTCAAAGCCGACGGGGCTCTTCGATTTATCGCGATTATCGAACACGATGGTAACGCTTGCTTTGGTGACGCCCGCTTGGCCGCGCTTGTAGATGAGGTCCTGCAGTACAGTCAGCGCTCCCGTATCGCGTACTCTTTGCCTGCACACTCACCTGCAAGTTCTGCGCCCGCACCACGCTCAAGTTGTTGATTCCGAGTACGAAACATATCGAATCGAGAATGTTCGACTTTCCAGATCCGTTCAGGCCCGTGATTGAGTTGAAGCTCTCGTCCCTGGTCGGCTGTCAGTCGTGTCTCTGAATGAGGGGAGCGTAAACAAGCCCTACCAGCCAGAGATGACGGTTCGAACAGCGTATGACTTGTAGCCCTATGCGCGTGTTAGAAAGCGACGAGTGAATAGCCGAGCTACACTTACATCGATTACGAGTTCTATAATCCTCATGGTGGCTGCATGTGCTGTCTTGCTTAATGGCGTCGCTGCTAATGTTTGTTGTTCCGTCTCACATGGGCAAGGGTCTCGGTACCGCCCACCTAATCGCGCTAGGCCTTCACGTGGCAGCGCGACCACGCGTGTACCGCCACCTTCCACTCCCAGTCCGGTCAACGCGAGGGAACAATCATGCGCACAGATCTCAATTGGCCGTAGACGTCATCGATTACTACTATGTGCTAAAGGAGTGTGAATATCTTCACCAGGTATCAAACGCTATCATCGCTCATCAACGCAGACTCAAAGCACAATCACCGAGCTTGCCCCAGGCAATGCTCGGGCTCGGCCTCTACGGGCTCACTAGCCTCTGTGCATGCGGTTTTGGAGCAGCTCTTTTTCCTCCCTAATCCTCTCGCAACAAACTCCTTAGATTCGAAGCTTCCCATCGCTTTCAATCCATATTCGCATTCGTCCTTGACGGGTGGAAGCGGGGCAGTCCTAGGGGCGCCTCCCAGTTCCTGGATGGTAATCTCGTCCTCTTGGTTGTTGGCTAGCCCGAAGTTGAAGTTCCCAAAAACCTTGGTGCTCGGTCGCATTGTGCCCGTGGTACGGTCTTCGTAGTAAGAGGTGTTCCGGCCGGTGCCATATTGTGGGAACAAGGTTCGGAAGAGGCATTTGGTTGCTGGCGCACATGCTGTCATGATATGTACAGCTGGTTCGGCGATGCTGATTCCGATGCCGATGTCCCATGTCCGATCCTTGTTGGTAGGAGCAAATCGGTAGTAGTATACGATGAATCTGCCTATCGAAACACCTGTCGCGATCCAACCCAGGCTCATGACGATAACGACGAGAAGCTTTGTGCGTCGGTGCATTTGAAGGCCCCATACCATGATAGAAGGAATCGGGATAATGATGAGGTCCATGAAGATGGACAAGCCACACGACACAAGTACAAAGGTACGCGCATCAATACAAGTGCCGCCTGGTACAACATTTCCATTGGCATCGACGCTATCCATGGCAGGTCTGGACCAAGCGTAGGCACGAGGCGTGCACTGTACGACATTGACGATAGTCGACCCGACGGAGTATATGATGTTGAGCCAGAAAGTCAGGTGTAACGGGTATCGTACGCGACGCCGACTATCCTTCATGCGGAAGAGGAACATGATGATGGAAGCTCGAATCAATCCCATGACTAGAAGCAGACGCCACATGTCAGCAAAGTCCAGAACGTCACACGTATGCGATATACGTACGAGGGTGATACATCATCTGTACGGCGAAGTTCCATCTTATCGCAACGAGCTGATCTGTAACAGACTTCTTGGGTAGATCATAGACATGATAGCCGGTGCCACTCAGGACAATGTACATCCATGTTGCCAGAGTATCTAGTATGAGGAGGACAAAGGCTATCAAGATAAGGTGATCGTCCCAGCAGAAGTTGCGTCCGAGGTACCGCGACCATACCCTGAGGAAGACTGTTAAAGAGGCGACGACTGTAAAGGTACCAATGATGGCCAGAACCTCGGGTTGTCGGCTTTCCACCATAGTCCTGCTGGAGTTCGTCGCCGTAGTCGTGCGACCTTGGAGCGCTCAGTCCGTAGGTGCGCAGTAGGCGTTGAAGCCCACGGCGTGGAGTTCAATGTCGGCCTGTTCAGTAGATCGTGAACCGGATGAGCCAGAGGGCTTATGAAGATCGTGGGTCCACGACGGATGATCGTACCGAGAAGCGAACGTGGAGTAACGACGCAAACAGTGAGGATCTGAGGTGTGACGGATATTGTAGGTGTTACTGGCCCACCCAAAGAAAAGTCGAATGTACCCGCACTGGACGCCTTCGAGTTTTCCTCGCTATGTGACTAGTATATGTCGCGCGTCCACGCGGGAAGTCGCACGTACACTCCCTTGGTGTCAGGATTGGATGTTTGGTGGCCAAGAAGGATGCGGTCACTGCACGGCGAGGTGAAAGGTTGCCTCGGACCAGCCGCTGCTCTAGCCTCTTGACGTCTCAAGGATAAAAACCTGCCAGGAACCAGAGGCGTCGTTCAAAGCGAGGTGGTCCATTATGCACACCACAGCCGCGGCATCAGTAGTCGACTCCCGCTCGTGTCTTCCCCTCTCGCTTGACCAGAAAGAGGACTAGAGCGTCTCACGAAGTCCAAATCAGTTTCTTACGGTCCGAATTTGGGCTGACATGTCAAGGGCAACCCTAGACACGGGCGCAATCTTCCGCCTGGGGGCCTCTCCGCCCTGTTGTTGGCTGGTCGATGGTCTGGACGGAACCATGGACAATTGAGCCACTGCCACTAGGCATTGTGAGTGCGGTTGCAGACTGTGTGAATCGATTTTGTGAGGCACTTGCGATTAGGGGAGGTAAGTATGCCGATCTTGAGGATTATGGCGTTGTTGGCGTCGAAGGCTTGGAGGTCGGCGGCCATGTGGCTAACGGAGGCGATCCCGCGGGACTAGTTTATTGTCCGACCCGTCTGACGCGGCTCCTACGAGACGCGTAGCCACCCTCGCTGCACTCGATTGCAATTGAAGACCGAAAGGCAACGGACACCATCCAAAACCGTTATCATGAACGCGTGTTTCGAAAGGCCTCTGAGCTGCACTTCTGCAGGTCCGTTGTCAGGCAATCGCGGCAGCCTCGCGCTTGCGTGCGTACATGACTCTCAAACTTTGCACTACCGGCAGCTACGCCGGCACCAACCAGGCAGACCCCGGGCGGCAAGCCTCACGACTCGAGTAACGATGTGCCTGAGACTAGTCCCAACGACATGTTCGAGCGCACGTGGGCGCGGTCGATATTCAAGGGACTGCCGCACGAGTGCAGAACTCGCATCATCATTGCCGATCGCTTCTTACGATAGGTCCAATATATAGAATATGCATGTGGGACACGCCGTACGACCCAACATCTGCATGTACATTACCCTCATGAACTGCCTGGATAGGTCGCGATGCCGTGATTACTTGAACACCATGTAGTCGACCCCGGCTATCTCAGCTGTCAACAATCTTTCCAGATAAGATCAGCGGTCACACTCTGGGCAAAGAACATTAGCCTTCATCCTGCCAAGCACAGGTCATTGGACGACGCCTCCTATATCGAGTCAGTCAGTAAGATGACCATAATGACTATCGCTTTGTTTCTCGTCCCAGTGCGCAACGGTCCGTCATCCGCCCAGCAGCCGCAAGCCCCAGGGGAAAGGTACAGTGAGTAACGGCCGTCAATGGCAAAAAGAAACTTTCTGACAGACATGTAGATCTGCAGCCGTTCGACGGGAGACGATCAATTGCCAAAGACTGGTACACTCGGTGAAACACTGAGTCGTCGTTTTACACCGACGAACTATTCAAAATGGCTTCCATTGCACTGTGGCTCACGGTTTTGGCTGCGACGTCAACCACGGCATCACCCGTTCTATCGGCCAAGGCTGGAACCAACACCCTCAGCGTAGATGTAGACCTCCAAGGCGTCAGTTCAGCAGTCAGGTCCCTCTTTCTCCCCGGCTCGCTCGACGCTACAACACCAACGAACTCTTCGAGATGCAAAGTCTACCCCGACGACCCCCAGTGGCCTTCAGATGAGGCTTGGTCCCAGCTTAGCAAACTCACTGGTGACCGCGTCATCAGTGCACCCACTCCATTGGCAGCAGTGTGCTACCCCGGCGAGGACTACAACGCCGCAAAATGCTCCGAGTATACTGTGGCAGCATGGCAGAAGTCATATATCCATATGATCGACCCCATCGAGATGATGTCGCCAGTCGCTCAAGGCCTGACGTGTGCCCCACCGGTTCTCTACGACTCGCATGGCTGCACTCGCGGAGGCTTCCCCATGTATGTCGTCAACGCGACTGAGCCCAAGCACGTCCAGCTTGCCGTCAACTTCGCTCGTAATTCGGGTGTCAGACTGGCGATCAAGAACACTGGCCATGATTTCCTCGGCAAGAGTGGTGGCAAGGATGCTCTGAGCATCTGGACGCACAACATGAAGGACATCGAGTACATCGAAGAGTACGTCGATGAGAAACTCAACTACACGGGCCCTGCGTTCAAGAGCGGTGTTGGTGTGCAGGCTTTCGAGATCTACAAGGCTGCCGCCGAGAAGGGCAGAATCGTCGTTGGTGGCGAAGGCGAGACAGTCGGAGTCATGGGAGGATACATCCAAGGAGGTGGTCACTCTCCTTTGACCGGATTGTACGGCACTGGAGCTGACAGTGTGCTCTCCATGGAGGTCGTCAGAGCTGATGGCGAGTTCGTCGTCGCAAACTCTACCTCCAACACCGATCTTTTCTGGGCTCTGCGTGGTGGCGGTGGCAGCACCTTTGGCGTCGTCACCTCCGTGACCGTCAAGGCCCACCCTGATCTCGAGGTGACGGCCTCCCGCTTTGGCTTCAACTCCAAGGACACCGGCAACGAGACATTCTGGGCTGCCATCCGCTCATACGTCGACCTGTGGATCGACAACGCCGATGCCGGTACATACACATACTGGACTCTGATCCCCTCCAACGGCACCTTTGCGTTCGCCTTCTCGCCGTTCTTCGCACCTGGCAAGAATGTAGAGGAAGCTACCGCACTCCTACAGCCCTGGTTCAACAAGCTCAACGACTTGGGCGTCAAGTACGACCCCAACATCACTCATTTCGACAACTACTACGACGCATGGCGTTCGTCCTTCCCTCTCGAGGCCGTGCAGAAGCCCAACGTAGCGACCGCATCGCGCCTCTTCCCTCGCGCCAACTTTGAGACTGCTGAGAAGCGTCAGGAGGTATACGAAAACATCCGCCGATCGAGCGAGAAGAACCGCGTGCAAGTCCACTTCAACATGCAGGCTAAGGACCCATATAATACTGACAACGCTGTAAACACTCATTGGCGTCCGCTAGTCTCCTTCAGCATGCAATCCGTACGCTGGCCCATCAACAGTACCGCCGAGGAGATCCTGAAGATCCGCAAGGAATTCCAAGCAGGCGATATGCAGTCCTGGAGAGATATTAGCCCTGGTGCTGGATCCTACCTCGCTGAGGCTGACCGTCTCGAGCCAGACTTTGGTAATGCGTTCTTCGGTGACAACTACCCTAAGTTGTTGGAGTTGAAGAAGAAGCTTGACCCTCAAGATGTTTTCTTTGCGACTACCGGTGTTGGTAGCGAGAGGTGGAAGGTAGAGAGCGTCGACGGCCTACCGAATGAGAACGGCAAGCTGTGCCGTGTGTAACTGCGGGTCTTTCTTTTCTCTGTACATCCTTCATCATCTCCAAATTGGTTGCACTCATTCGTATCGTCGCTAGACGGACGTTGATACACGAATAAATTATCAAGTTTCTACCGAATACTGTTCCCCTCATCCGCAGACCATTCATTATCTTGTGCGAATCTCAACGAAGTCTAGGGACGATGATGTGCCATGTGGCTTCTAAAGGATCAAGCACTGATCGTCCTATCTTATACATCTCGCCTAGCACCATCCAGCGTAGGTCGTCCTTCAATCGTATCCAACACCGGCCCAACGAACTGCCGTTTCCCTTTGACGAACCACCAGACAGCACTTAGCACCAGAACACCTCCCAGTACGACCGGCGCATAATTCATGTTCTGTGCCGTGACAGGTTGATATGGCGGGAAAAGAAGGAAGATAGATACATAGACAGTGTAAATGATAGAAACAAGATTAACACCAACACCCAGCTTCCCGAGCCTGAAGGGGCCGTATGGTAATGATGCCGGACGAGCGATCCGCCGGTAAAATATAAGCAATATTGGCATCAAGTAGGAGATGTATAATCCGACGGTACCAAGAGATATGATGGCGTTGAAAGCGGTAGTGGATCCGATGTTCAGAAGGCTGATCAGTATGAGGAAGACGCTGGTGACCGCTATCGCTGGTAAAGGCACATGGCGTTTGCCGTCAACACGGGAGAGCGTTTTCGAGAAAGGTAGTCCGGCGTCCTGAGCGAAAGACCACAGCATTCGAGATGCGGTCAGCAGAAGAGGTACTGTTGCCAAAGCTGCTATGACTATAAGGGCGCAGGTCATGGCTGATGCCGTCGCCTTACTGCGACTTATCTGGTAGAAGATTTCGATGATGGGGTATCCTGTTGTCGTTTCCATCGCTTCGGTGATGTCGCCCATGCAGAACAGGACAACGAGCAGGAAGCCGAATCCTAGTGTACCGTTGATGATGATAGATGCTAGCATGGCTCGCGGAACGTTATGTTCGGGGTCTTTGATCTCTTCGGTAAGATGGGTCGCGCTATCGTATCCTGGTAGTATTGTCAGTTACGCACAATTGGTAGAAATAGGGCTGACCAACCAGCAAGCACATATGTGCTGCTCAACAAACCTATGCTGAAGGCTACCCCGTCACTACTCCATCCTGATTCGTTGACATAAGTAGTGAAGACGAATTCCGCAGAATTCTTGGTGGGTGATATAACACAAATGACAATGATCAGCACGATCCAGAGTCCGACATGTAGCGTGAATGTCGCATGTAAGATCAGAGGCATGATTCTGATAGCAAAGACATTGACCAGTGCTGCAAGCCCAAGGAAGGCACAATAGATCATCGTCCCATGCCACCTCTCATATGAATAATTCGGGTAGTTGAGTACGACGAGACCTTGGATCATCGTTGCACCAAGAAACGGGGCTGCCGCAGTAAAGGTCTGCCAGGCGAATATGCAAATCCATCCCGAGGCGTATCCCCATGCTGCTCGGAATTTTCTGGGTGCAAGTTGGACGACGAAGTAGTACTGGCCTCCAGCGGATGGGTACCTAGCGCAGAAGAGGTGGTTAGACGACGCCATCATTAAGGGTGCAATGGCTCACATAGAAGCCAGCTCTGACAGAGATAACGCTGTTGCCAAAGTTCCTATAATTGCGACTATGGTTTCTGTATCAGTGGCCAATTTGAGTTAGAAGGCTTGCAAGACGAACGTAGGTATCCATACACCAGAGACACTGGGCCTCCGGATATGAGGCCAGTGGCCATTGTAGATCCAAGTGCTTCCCATGTTGCGATCAGAGACGTAGCCGTAGAGATGAGGGAGAAGACGTTGAAGTTTTGCTACTACTTGGTAAGTAAGGAAGTAGTAATTATGCTGTCGTGACTTACTTCGAGTTTCTGGTTAGAGATCTGCGTTTGCTCATGCTTCCCGGACATGGTTCTTTGCAGGGCCAGAGCCATCGCTCCATTCTCTTTGCCGTCGGCGTCCTTTTGAGAGTTCATGTTGTGTGCAACAGGGTAGACTCTTCGTCCGACAAGGAGAAGAGGGAAAGCTTCTGTCGCATGCTCAATATGATCACGGTTGTTGATGTGCGGAACCACTCCGAACAACCTGGACCGACGAAGCAACTGTAACCAATTCAGGAAACACTGACAGCCCTGTCAAGATATGCTTATCTTTGGGCCGCATATTTCTATTAGCGCAGAGGCTCCATGCTGGACGTGTGTCATTGACTCCAGTGCCTTCCTTCCACGTCTTACCTGTTATAACTTACCTCCCCCAATCATTGAGGTGATTTATGAGAGTTGGAGAAGCCGGTTCTGCGGGGAGCGGCAAAATACGAGGGTTCTGCAGTCGTCTCGACGTCAGTCGTAGATGTAGACGGAATTACGCCGCGATTGTGTACCTGACTTCCAGGTGGGTCATATGTAACTGGTACTCTACGAATCACGGTGCCGATGGCACATGCCCAGGTGGTGCGAGACGAGTGATCGATGAGCCGATGTACTGCGCCGAAATCACTTCAAGCTTGCCACGCTCGATTGGGATGCATGATCATAAGCTTTCAAGTCGAATATATACGGTAGACTTTGTATGTTACGTGTCGAAAGCGGCGCCTTAGCGCCGTGTAACGCTGGGGAAGCTGGCGAGAGATGCTTGACACATCTTATCAGTATTGCGGGCAATGCGGACGAAATTCCGCGATAACGCTAGCGCGGTGCATGTGCGCGTCGAATGACAACCACGTAGACTCGTTCGGCGATATTTTGTGAACTTTATAGTGGAAGTAATCTCCATTTTCGCCGTAGTGGCCAGCAATTACTGCTATCTTACTTTGATGAATTCGCGTGCGGGCATAGTCTAAGGAATTACCACCACTCCAACCCCCTCCCACCAAAAGCCCCATCGCCCAGCATTTGCTCAACAAGCCAATCATCAATAATGACCGCCGCAACCCTCCTCAGCTCTTTTATATGTCTTTTACACAGATACCCACCGCGGTTTTCCACATCTGGTCTCCATCTGATAGTGTTACGACAATCGCGGACGGCACAAGGTTTCTGCAGGTAGCAGCAGAAGGTTAGGGAGGAGGAAATGGATGACAAGAATGGGCGTGGGATCTTGGGCATGATTTTTGTTTTGTGGCAGCAAGGAGGGTACAATGGTGGCGTTGCTAAGTGTGCGAGATGTAATGATGGGAGCTGGTGTAATTCAGGTATACTCAAGAGCTCAGATGAATAGGAGGTAGTTCAGCTGTACGACTACTTTACCTCTGCTAACAATGCGTTGGCTTATGATGCGATGTCGTCTTTGACAAACCCTCATCTGGGCCCAAAGTCAGGACGACCCGTATCCACCCACCCACCAGCAGCAAATACGTGATACCTGAACCATTCCGCCCACGTTGCATTCCATCCAGAAAAAGGGGTGGCATCTTTCTAAACGGCTCCTCATGCATAGATGTCTACATCCTCGTTTGACCAGCCTTGACGCCCAACGTGGTCTCCTGCGCGAAAGATGCCACTCTTTTGCCATATTCCATGTGTGGTCCAGACATCTTGCGAAACGCACACATTCCCGCACTTCTACTGCGAGATGCCCAACTCCTTGTAAAAAGCTTCGGTTTGGGGCTTGCGACCGAGAAATTCTTCAAGAATGTCCATCTCCTCCTTGGAACCGCCACGCTCGAGAACCGTATGCCGGTAGCGACGGCCTTCGGTGGGGTTCATGGGATCTTTCTTGAAGACAGTGTAAAACATGTCTGTGGAGTAGACTTGAGAAGAGAGGTAGCCGTAGTAGCTGTGATGGTTAGCATGTGATGTTTAGTAGGGTGATCGAACGTGGCTTACCCAGCGTCATAACCACCGATCAAGTGGCCAAACGTAGCCTGTCCGTTACCCCAGTGCCAGTCACCCTTCTTGTCACCTTCCAACGACTCAGGTCCCTTCAGCTGACTGATCTCGTGCCTCAAAGAGTTGTACTTCTCAGTAATGTCCATCTTCTCAAGCTCTTCATGGCTGGCAGGCTCGTGAACGGCCATGTCAAAGGTGCCGAAATGCAACTGTCTCAAGTTGAATAGGGCGTCATTGACATGCTTGGTTGAGATTAACTTGGCAACGAGTGACTGGGGGATCTGTTCCGCTGGCTTCTTGTCGGCGCCCGAAGATTCTAGATATGCCTTCTCGTAGTCGGCCGAGATGTGAGAGTAGTGGTGTGATAGAGAACGTAGTTGCGACGGTGTCCAGCACCAGTTCTCCAACATCTGAGATGGCGCCTCAACAAAGTCACGAACGGTGTTAGTGCCGTGGAAGCGAGAGTAGGTTGTCCGCGATACCAAGTCGTGAATGCCGTGTCCAAGCTCGTGGAAGAGGGTGACGACTTCATCGTGCTTCAATAGCGAGGGCTTCTTCTTTGTTGGCTTGGAGAAGTTGCAGACTAGAGCCGTTGCGGGGTATCGTCGCTTGCCGTTCTCGTCTATGTAGCCAGGCTGGAGGTTAAAGTTGGCGGCGTGTCTACCAGCCAGTCAGTATACATTTCAAATGCAGATTGAACAGCGGCTTTACTTACCCGTACTTGCCGTCCCGGGGGAAGAGATCGAGGTAGAGATAACCGACGAAGCCTTCGCCCTCGCCCTTGTCGTCCCAGACGCTGAAGATCTGCACTTCCTCATGCCAGACAATATCGGAACCCTTACCGCCGTCGGCAAGGGCAGCCCTGTCTTCCTCGCCAACAATCTCAACGAAAACCAGACCGAAAAGCTCCTCAAAGATCTTCAACATGCCTTGGATAGTCGTCTGCAGAGGGAAGTATTCAGCAATGACTTGGTGGTCCAACTGATAATCTTTCTCCAGTAACAGACGGTCGTAGTACCGGTTATCCCAGAGGTAGTAGTCTTTGGTCAGCGGTCCGGTAAGTCCATTTTCCTTCACATCTTGCTCCTTCAATGCCATCAACTTCTCGATCTCTTTCTTGCCACCTGGTGCAAGCCTGGTGCGGAGGTCACCGAGGAAATCATCGACTGTCTTCGTAGTCTTTGCCATCTTATCTTCTATCCGGAACTGCGCGTGGTTGTCGTAGCCGAGAAGGCGGGCGGCTTCATCACGAAGGAGAATGGCCTCCCTGAACAGAGGTACGTTGTCGTTGCACTTGTTCTCGTTCTCAACGAAGACTTTCATGCGCGTCTCCGGGTTCGTCGCGTACTTAAGCGTCGGGAAGAGATCGGGGTACTTGAAGGTCAGGAACAGTTTGCCATCGGATTTACCCTCGCCCTTCTTGAGTGTTGAGAGGACATCTTCTGGCACGCCGTGCAGCTCCTCCGGTGTAAACCACAACCCTCCGTTCTCTTCGTTGAGGTTCTTCTGGAACGCGATGCTGATTTGACTCAGACGCTGCTTGATCTCCTTGAAACGATCCCTCTTGGGGCCCGCAGGAAGGTTCAGGCCATTCCGAATGAACGACTTGTGGTCCTTCTCGAGCAGCCGCCGGGACTCCGGGTCGAGGTCCTCGCCCTTCTTCAGCACCGCATCGATGAGGTTGAAGACATCCTCACGCATGGACGACTCAATGCCGAAGTCGTCGAGCATCTGCTCCACCTCGCTGGACGCATCGCGCAGCTCCTTGCTTGTGGACACGGCATTGTAGAAGCCGAGGATGTGCGATTCGATGGCCATCTTGTTGTCATCATGGGCGATTGGAAGGAGTACGTTTGCGAAGTTGGCGCTCTCCGGCTTCACGTCGCGGACAATGGTATCTTGGACACCTCGTGACCTGTCGATCTGGGGCAAGCGTCAGCATTTGGTCGAAGTACCCCTCCCGTGGGGTCTGCAGGAACAATTGCAGGCGGAAGCTTGGGAATTGCAGAGTTGCACGTACCAGTCGCTTCGCGTCATTCACCAAGCTTTCCTTGGTAGCCGTGAACTTGGGCGGCAGCTGGGGCGGTGTCTTGTATTGCGAGGGAGCCATGGTGGAGTTGGTGAGCGGCCTAAACGGTTGTGTGTAGAGAGGGTGCCGTAGAGGCGAGGGCTTCACGTATTGCAATATAGATGGTACACGGCCGCCGAGTCGGATTGAAGCCAGGATGGCGGATGTTGCGATGAAGAGAGCGACAGCGGCGAGGAATAGCTTGGTAAGGCGTGAGGAAGCCACGGTGCAGGTGGGTAAACAAGGGCCTGCTACTAAAGGCGAGATGTGGGGGAGATCCACAGGTGCGATTGGTGTGCTGCGATAAACAACGGCCTGGTAGCTGCGAGCCCGACGGTGAAAGCGGTCGAGTATAACGCAGGCGTCTACGTGACCTCTCCATCGCTCTCTGGACAGCCGCATGAGATCGACGCTGACGCTCAGATGGATAGCTCCGTCCGGTGTTAGCTACAAATGGTAAGGTGTCATCGTTAAACCCATGTCATGCTGCACCCCTCATGCAACACCCGATGTTAGACATGCCGCAATCGGCCGTGACAGATGTATTCCTGCAGCTGCCGGTGCGCATACAGAACGCGACATTTGTGTTCTTGAGACCAGCGTAATAGATGTAGTTCATCAGCAAGCCAGCTATTGGTACGAATTGCCTACAAGATTGGGGAGAAAAAGAATATGAACTTCATTAAAGGCAGATTATCATTATCGTTACAAATACAAGAAGGCATCCATGAGCTTCTCAGACCGTCATGTGCGGGTGCTGTTGTGGCTCTAGCAATGTCTCGCCCCTACTAGCTGAGCTCAGGCTTTCCGGTATGGTGATGAAGGGCCCCCAAGCAGACCCTCTAGTACGCACTGTCTCTTCATGTATTGTGATGAAGCAGTTGTCCTGTTCGCTGCCTCGCTTGACATCCTGCAGTGGCCATTCACCCATGTCGAGCGCTTTGTGCTGGCTAAAGGCATCGATCTGGATAGGTCTCGATGGCACCCTGTTGACCTTTACTGGCGTCGCACTTCGCTCTTCCTTTTGATTGCTGCGGAACAAGAGACGTAGGAATGGTATGGATGCAGAGATTATGCCGCTGTTGGTCTCAACTTGACCCCACACGAGTAGGTCGTTTCCAAAGCGGGCAGAGTTAGAGGGCGACTCAGCCCATAGCATCATGACCCACATGCGTACGGACGATGCGGTTATAGCCATGATGCCAACTGAGAAGATACCGATAAGTGCTAGACGTTTAGTCATCGCTATGCGAAGACTGAGAAGAGTCGGAAGGGGAAGCATGAGGATGATAATATCGGTTATCAGGTTGGATGCCGAGGAGAACACCCATAGTTTGATGGGGTCGAAGCACTTGACTGGTTTTCGGTGGGCGTTCGGATTGCGATCGAACTGAGCGAAGTAGTTGGTTGTCGACCAAGCGTCTGATGGGTTCTCGCATTGGAAGGTGGATGCCATGCTCGCAGCAAACGTGTACATGCAGACGAAAGCGATCGTCGCATACACGAGCTTGCGGAACGTGCGGTTTGCGGCAATGGCGCGGTAAAAGAAGAGGATACTGAGCTTTACGAAGCCCAGGCCAATGGTGTAGGTCAAGCGGTAGACCCACCATGATATGAGATTGCCACGCACTTGCGGCTCGATTAGGGGTCGCTTCTCCTGGATGGATGTCAGATGTTGTTGTTTGCTGAAACTTGGTCTCTCTCACTGGATTGAATAAGTAGCTTGGACGAGTATGGGCGCTGGTCTCATCTTGGTAGAAATTCACCACGAAGTTGCCCCATGTAACTACCTGAGTCTCATTAGCTTTGTCATCGGGGAAATGAGGTTCAGACTTACAAGAGCCACAAACATGAGGTGATCGCTAGCGCTGACAGTTCCCATCAGAAACCATCTGCAATAGTATCTGTCCGAGTACGTTAGCTTGGTACCATATCACGTCAACTCCAATCAGTCTTACCGCAATGCTACGATGACGGTCGACATCGTCGTGAGTATCGCTCCGACAATCACCACCACATATCCCGGTCGGAAGTACATGTTGGATGACTGTACGTCAAGCACAACAAGGAGAGTATCTAGGCTCGGTTGAACGATTCGACGTGTGCAACAATGCGCCCGGACAGCAAGAGAAGAAAACGGATGTATGAACAAACATGAACATGAACAAAGTGAGTCGGGCCTGAGCGTTCGGTTATGAGGACGAATACAAAATGCAAACCTGAGGATTCCCCAGATTCTGCACAAGCGGGAGGGAGTGTCCCATAGGCCGTGTGGCGCTCCTTACGCGTGTGAACAAGCATTACTATCCCAGCTGTGGCGATCATGCGAGAGGAGCGACCGGATGGCTCGACGCGAAGTGAGCCATAGTACATGTCTGGAGCATGTAATTGGTCTGTAGCATCGAGAAAGTTCGCAGCTAGCGAATGATGCAAGGCTTAGAAACCATTGTATAACATCGGGCAGCCATATGATCGGCCCGTAGCCTTGAAGAATCCACAAGAATCCACAATGGCATGGTATGAAGGAACAAAATGGGGCTGCGTCGTGATCTTGGCGCATGTGGTACAACCAGGACAGAGACGCTATCTCTATGCTGGGCTACGAAAGTCATGCGCGCTAAGTTCAAAACAGGTACTAGCTGTGAAAGGAAAAGAGACAACGGCCATGTGGCTGGATCCGGGTAGCAAAAGGCTTGCATGATGTGATGGGTTCGGCAGCAGAGCTTCCATCAGACCCACTTTTAGCCGGGTGGGCGTTGTGACGTGAGTGTCAGAGACCCTGAGGCTGAAACGCTTGTTGCACGCGTTACTCAACAACGAGGGCCTGAGGCGATAGACGAACGACGATATCGCATTCGGATGCTGTTACGTAGTCCGGGAATTGGAACGCTCAGGGCATCGTGCTGTTTAGGAGACACTCGATGGGATCGTGCATATTGAGCCTACACCACCCTCAAAAGATTGCCGATCAAATACTGTGACGACGCACCCCGGATTGTGGGTACTTGAATTGGAGATAGGAAACATGGAGTCGCGACGAAGTCGGCAGTCTCCTGGTATGCCGGGATGAGGATGGAGGCGATGTCGCAAGGCAGGATGGAATGCTGTATCTGATTGAGGCGGTACAGAAGGCCGGCCTCGAAACAAGGAATCGTGGGAAATGTCAAACCCCGGTAGAAGAGCTGTAGAGCCCTCCGCTGCAACACAATTAGTAGCACTTTCCTGTGGTCACAGTCTGATGTTCGTCAGAATTGCAGTGGTAGGTTTTCTCAAACATCTGCGGGGTGACGACTGCCGAACGCTACACGAAGAACGGCCTCTGAAGGCCGCTTACACCGATGCGCAAGTTGTTGAATTCGGAGGTGGCTGGCGACGCCAATGGGTCGTTATCGAAGAAGAAAGGGGCCGTACGACAAGCCAAGAATTCGGACACATCCTGAGTGAGAATGACTCACCGTTGCGCTCTCTGATTGGGCTATCGGGTAGCTTTAAGTGGGGTTGTGAACATCATCCGGGACCACACTTTTGACTAAGGCACCGCAGCTGCAAGCCTCAGGCTCGCGTTCAGCGAAAAGGGCGTACGGTCTTTTGGCGACGGGATGTCCGGGTAGACTTCCAAAGCGAGTATGATCTGGCAGATAATGTTGTTGTCGATGTAGGATATCGTCGAGGGTGTAGCTCACTTTGACTCATTGTGAGGTTGAATGATGTCTTCAAGGGCTCGAGTTGTGTAGATACAGGATCTTGCTCATAATGAGCAAGAGTGGTTGTCGCGGAAGATAGATGCAGATATCAGTATAAACTGAGGACAGTGCAACGTAGAGTCGTATGTAGAACAGATATTGAATTCATCATTTGACCAGATTGACAGTGAGTGTACACCACCAGAACCCTTTAACCTCTGAGATTAAACCCTATTTTGCCGATCTGAATATCGTCCTGAACAGGCGTACCATGATCCGACCCATTGTCCGACATCGTCTGAAAGGAGGCCTCTCTAGATGATGAAACAGAAAAGATCAGGCCATCACATGCTGACAGACCGATACAGGGCTACTTCTGAGAACGGAGCAGGGCACGAAGCGTCTCGACCTCTCCCTCCAACCTGGCGTTGCGGACTTTAAGGTCGTCTCGCTCGGCTTTGACTTCCTTTAATTCGGTCTCGAGGGTACTCATTTGATCGACGCGCTTTTGGCGGTAGCGACGAGCAGCAAGGGTGTTCGCCTTTCGCTTCTCAACTCGGCAGGAGGGTTCTGGATCCTTGGGGCTGTTCTTTGTGGATGACAATTTGGATGACGAGATTTGCTCAGGAGATGATGAGCTCTGATCCTTGTGGCTTGTCGAGGAAGAACCAGACTGAGAGTAATCTACGTAGGTTAGATGCTGAAGAATGAGAAGCGTGGCGTATTCGTTACCTCTAGTCATTGGCGCAGATGTGTTCATAGTGTTGATATTGCCCATGCCAGGTGGCATGGCAAGCATGTTCATGTTGTCTTCCGCAATCGAAAGTGAAGTAGGCACGCCAGGAAGCAGCTGCGTGCCATCGCCAAGATATTGTGAGTCGGAATGGGGGAAGAGGTCCCAGTCCGGAGTGTTATGGAAAGAAGGGTCCGGTGCAAGTAGGCCACCTGTCAAGGCGGCGGAGGAAGAAGTAGAAGAAAGAAGTGTAGTGGTATCGAACGGAGCACTGTTGTTATCGGCGGTCGAGTAGGAGAGTGCGAACTCCCAATTAATAGACTGACTTCCAGGGTGGTTTGGCGACGAGACGGAGTTGCTGTGGCTGCCAGTAAAGGCGGGCGAGTTCGCTTGGAACGAATCGCATGGAGAAGATTGAATACTGCATTTCGGGATGTTAAAGGGCGGGTCCTGGTACCCGCTGGTGAAATCGAAGAAATCGTCAAGTGAAATTGGAAACTATCTGAAGGCGCCCAGCACTGGGTGATGAGCGCGGAGTTTGGTGACGAGAGGAAGAGGAGCGCGGGGTGGCTTCTCTTTATACGGGAGGGCGGTGCCTAGGTGGGTTTGGATTAGGGCTGATGGCTGATGGCTGATGGCATGCGCTAGCGGCCTACCCCGGTCGCAGTTTCCTGCAACTTTGAATGTAGCCCGGCTGCGCCCTCAGCATCGGCAAGCACAGCCCATACCGACGACATGGCTACGATACACTCCTCACGATTACTACGGCCCAATCTGGCACTGGTGCAGCAAGACACGGTCCTGTCTTTCCTGGTGCCGTCTGTCCAGTGCGCGCGCTTCTCTACATCACCCGCCCGATGGAAAAGAGACAACAACAAGAACCGAGGCAATTCCGCGGTCAGAGCTACCGGTCTGCGTCCTAGACAAACATTGTCGGTCAAGGAGAAAGATTTTGCAAAGCAGCGATTGCCGAAGCCCGTCAAGATTGAGCAGGAAGTGACTGGCACACCTGACCATGGCCTCTGGGATTTCTTCAAGGACCAGAAGCTCTTGCAGACACCGGTAGAGGAGCAGAGACATGGTAGGCTGCCATTGGGTCCATGGCAGGATGCGGCTGGCTGACAGAGACACAGGAAGGTCATGGACCGTTGGCGAGCTGCGCAGTCGAGACTGGGAAACCCTGCACCAGCTGTGGTGGGTATGCGTGAAGGAGCGGAATCGTCTTGCGACGGAGAAGCTTGAGCGGAAGCGTCTAGAAGCGGGCTACGGCGACTACGAGAACGAGGAGCGAGACAAGACTGTGCAGGAGACGATGAAGGCGATCCTGGACACATTGGCCGAGCGACACCAGGCATACCAGGAAGCCTACGTGCTGGCGCAGCGCGATCCAGATATCGACTTGTCGAGAACAGACGGTCCACAGTACACTCAAACACCATACGTACGTACAGCTTCTTAGGATGGCTATCCACACGCTGACCCATTTGTAGGAACCCATAGAGGCAGACGAGACGCCGTACGAAACTCCGGTCGAGCAAACCATCGAAGAGCCCTCGAAAGACAAGGTACTTCCAGAACCCGAAGTGCAACCGAAGGAGAAGGTGAATCACGCATCATGAGGATCATGAGTGCAGGTGACATATGCGCCCAGGTAGCTACCCGGCGAGGAATATACCTGTTGAAACTTTTGCAACGGTGCGGACATGGTACAAATGTGACTCTACGATCATAGACGCATCGCACATGGTATGGCAAATCAGGAGCACTGCTAGTGCAGTGGAGATGCTGTATAGTCAGGGTGGCCAAGGTGGCCTCTGTAGCATATCGCGTGTATCACAATCAGTCATGAAATCAATGAATTGCACTAGCCTGAGCGTATGCTAAACGCGAGGAGTTATGAAAGTAATGCCAGCATAAACAGGTCGACCAGATTGGCGAGGCGCTTCCCAAAGAGCTACAACCCCACATCCATCACACCGCCTAGGGCTAACACCGTCTGTCCACGCGCCTTCTTAGCGGACCACCTCTACCGCAATCCTCAACTTTCTTATTCTGCACCCGACATCTGACAGCCATGGACGAGATTGCCCCCGAATACGACGTAGTGGTCCTGGGAACAGGTGGGTTGCCGTTACCCCCACCTACGTAACGCTGCCGCCGCGGAAGCTAACTATCTCCAGGTCTCACGGAATGTGTACTTTCAGGGTAACACACGGACGCGAGCCAACTTCCGAGTCCATACTGACATGCTTGCAGAGTCCTTAGTGTCAAGGGCAAGAAGGTGCTCCACATCGACCGCAACGACCACTATGGCGGGTATGTTCTCTTGACAGGTACTCCGGGGGCGAGAGCTAACAGGAAGCAGTGAGGCAGCATCACTGAACATTGAAGCAGTAAGTCTACACCACGTCTAACAGTTGAACACATGCTTATCCGTTGTCCAGCTCTTCAAGCGATACGGCCAGACTGAGGGTGAGCCATGGAAGAAGTACGGCCGCGTCAACGACTGGAACATCGACCTCGTCCCCAAGCTGCTCATGTCCAACGGTGAACTCACCAACATCCTCGTTTCCACCGACGTCACCAAATACCTCGAGTTCAAGCAGATCGCCGGCAGCTACGTACAACAGGGCAACGGCGCCAAGGCAACCGTCGCAAAGGTTCCCTCAGATGCCGGCGAGGCGCTGCGATCGCCTCTCATGGGTCTCTTCGAGAAGCGTCGGGCGAGGAACTTCCTCGAGTGGGTTGGCGCTTACAATGCGGATGACCCAGCGTCATACAAGGGTATGCACGATCAAGTGGAAAGGACTAAAGAATGGTGACTGACATCTGACGCAGGCATCGACATCCAGAACTGCACCATGAAGGACGTGTACGACAAGTTCGGTCTTGAAGCTACCACTCGCGATTTCATCGGACACTCCATGGCCTTGTACCCCACCGACGACTACATCACACAGAAGGGGCAAGCAAATGAGGCCGTCCAGCGCATCAGGCTCTACGTCAACTCCATGGCACGATACGGAAAGTCGCCATACATCTACCCACTCTACGGTTTGGGCGAGCTTCCTCAGGGTTTCGCTCGTCTGTCCGCTATCTACGGTGGTACCTACATGCTGAACACCGACGTCGACGAGTTCCTCTACGACGGCGACAAGGTTGTTGGTATCAAGGCCACCATGAAGGAGAAGGATGATGCTGGCGAGGGCATGAAGTTCGAGACCAAGGCGGGAAAGATTCTTGCCGACCCCTCATACTTCCCCGGCAAGGCGCGCGTTACTGGACACTTGCTGAAGGCCATTTGCATTCTCAACCACCCAATCCCCAACACAGCCGACGCCGACTCTCTGCAACTGATCATTCCTCAGTCTCAGGTCGGACGCAAGCACGGTGCGTATACATTCGTCTGATCATAGAAACTCCGCTGACAATTCCCACTAGACATCTACATCGCGGTCGTCTCGTCTGCACACAATGTTTGCCCCAAGGGCTACTACATCGCCATTGTCTCCACCATTGCCGAGGGCGACAGCAACCACCACCTTGAGCTCCAGCCCGGTCTTGACCGTCTCGGAAAGATTGAGGAGAAGTTCATGGGCCCAGCTATCCCACTCTACGAGCCCATCGAGAGCGGCGCCAAGGACAACATCTTCATGTCGAAGAGCTACGACGCCACTAGCCACTTTGAGACAACAACTGGTAAGTTCCAGATGTCTGAAATGGTGCACGAAATACTAACATATGACAGATGACATCAAGGACATCTACCAGCGGGCCGAGGGCCACGAACTGGTTGTCGAGGGTCTGAGAGAGGGTGCGAACTTCAATGTTGAGGAATAGACAGGGTACGGGTACACGAGGCAACGGATGATACAAGCATCAACGGTCTTTTAGGTATATCGTTTGGTAATCGGTGAAGACTTGGCTTCTACAACAATGACTTGCATTCTCAACCAGTGTGAACGCGTGATGCTGCGGAGCTCGAGCTCGGTATTTCCTAATTGGGCGATGGGATCGGTCCCTTCCAATTCGACCACCACGCCTGTCTCTACGAACGTGTCAGTCCAGCCCAGACCAAGATGGATAATCAGTCAAGGCTGCATCCATGTGTAGTGTATTGAGTTGTGATGTTGTACCTGTCCCTATGACGATGGTAGATCTTGGCAGGGATACCTCCATGGCTCCGCAACCATCTGAGTACTGCAACGCGTCCACAAAACGTGTCCTCGAAGCGCATTGCTCTTCCCACACTCATTTGCCATGGCGCAATTCGGTCGTTATAGGTTCCTGCTGGTAGCAGTAGTGTTCCATCTGGTGTACATCTATACTATATTCAGCATACATTTCACAAGTCCAATTGTCCATGGCATGCGCGAGCACCGCGTGGAGACCCAGGAAGCTCCCGCCAAACGTTTGGTGCTTTTTGTCGGTGAGTCGCCTCAATTGTGCCTCTATCAAACACTGACAATATCACAGGCGACGGACTCCGTGCAGACAAGGCCTTTCAATCGTTTCCCAACCCTGATCCCAATCCTCCGACCCCTCTCGCAGACAATACGAGCGACCCGCGACCTCTCGCCCCGTACCTTCGCTCTCGCGTCCTAGAACATGGCACCTTTGGCGTATCCCATACACGAGTCCCCACCGAATCGCGCCCCGGACACGTTGCGCTCATCGCCGGCTTATACGAGGATGTCTCCGCGGTCACCACTGGGTGGAAGCTGAACCCCGTCAACTTTGACAGCGTCTTTAATCGAAGCCGACATACATGGAGCTGGGGCAGTCCTGACATTTTACCCATGTTCGAGGCCGGTGCAGTCCCTGGAAGAGTAGATGCATACTGCTACGGCGCGGAAGAAGAGGATTCCTCCAAAGACGCCTGGGTGCTGGACGAATGGGTATTTGAGCGCGTCAAGAAGCTTTTTGCGGACGCGAAGACGAATGCGACACTAGACGCAGAGCTGAGGCAGGAAAAGAACGTCTTCTTCCTCCACTTGCTCGGGATTGATACCACAGGCCATGCGCATCGGCCATATTCGTGGCAATACTTGCACAACATTCAGATTGTGGATCGTGGAGTTCAGGAGATCACAGAGCTGATTGAAGAGTTCTACAGCGATGACAAGACGTCCTTTGTGTTCACAGCAGACCACGGCATGAGCGACTGGGGAAGTCATGGAGATGGACATCCAGATAATACGCGCACGCCCTTGATCGCCTGGGGTGCTGGCGTCGCATCTCCCTTGAAGAACATATCAGGCGTTGCCAAAGGCCACACCGAGTTTTCTTCTGACTGGAACTTGGACGAGATCGAGCGACATGACGTTGACCAGGCTGATGTCGCGGCATTAATGGCTTACTTGGTGGGTCTGGACTTTCCCACCAACTCAGTCGGGGTCTTGCCGCTCTCTTATCTTGACAAAGACCCCAAAGCCAAGGCAGAAGCTCTTCTTGCCAACGCTAAGGAGATACTGGAAATGTATCACGTCAAAGAGGACATCAAAAAGTCGACACAACTCCACTACAAGCCTTTCTCTGGCCTTGGTGATGAGGCACACTCTGTTGAGCATCGCATTGCGGGCATACAAGCTTTCATCGACAAGGGCGACGATGTAGAAGCTATCCGTGAGACTTACGAGCTCATCGATCTTGGTCTTGAAGGATTGCGCTACTTGCAGACGTACGATTGGCTCTTCCTCCGAACGCTGGTGACTGCTGGCTACGTTGGCTGGATCGTGTTCGCCATCACGACAGTCATTGACCTGCACGTGCTCACCGAACATGTGCCAGCACAAAGAACGGCGGTCAGTATGGTGGTGTTCTCTTCTGTGTTTGTTGCACTTTGTGGGGTGTTCTTCAAACAGGAATCGCCAATCGTCTACTACGCCTACGCCGTATTCCCTGTCTTGTTTTGGGAGGAAATCTTTGCTCAAAGGTTGTCGCTTGTCAAGGGCAGCAAGGTCCTCTTTGGTCATCTGAACTCAGGCGCCGATGTTGCGAAGCTTGTCTTTGCGACTCTTGGCTTTTTTGGTCTTCTCGAGGCTTTGGTAAGTCGGTCATACGCAGAAAGAGACGATGGTACTGACCCAGACATAGGTACAAAGTTACTTCATAAGGGAGATCTACACAGTCTGCTACCTGGTGGCAACACTATGGCCAGCAGTCTATGGACAGGAGTTTGTGAAACAGAACATGGCGACGGTTGCCACTTGGGTCCTGTCTTGCATAGGCATGAGCGCTTTCACGCTACTACCAGCTAACAAGGCAGAGGACACTCGCCTGATGTAAGTGCGCCGCCTGTCCGGGTCGATCTGTGACTAATGACCTGCAGTCTTCTTGGAGGCGCATTGATGTTTATCATCGGCGCGCTTTACCTGCTCTTTGAGAAGAGTATCCTTAGAGACGGTAAATCCGAAGCTGAGCTCGCCAAGCACGAGCTCAACCACACATCTCGCATTATACTGGGCATCCAGCTTGGCCTTGTAGTGCTGTCCATGATTGTCACGAAGAGCAGCATCGGCTACCTCCAAGCGCGCGTAGGTATACCATTTGGCGTTCTAACGGTGACACGAGCAACGCTGCTGGCCTCACTTGTGATCCCTCAACTGCATGGTCTTTACCCCAACACACACTACGTCCACCGCCTCGTAGTCATCTTCCTGCAGTTCGCGCCGACATTCATCATCCTCTCGATCTCGTACGAAGGGCTATTCTACTTCGCCTTCTGCATGTGTCTGTTCAGCTGGATGCGCCTCGAGCACCAGGTGTACCTGCATAACACGACCAACCCATCGACTGCAACCATTACATCGGATCCGGCCAAGCCTACCATGGACGCTGCATCCGATCGCCTCAATTCGCTCCAAAAAGGAGAGTACAGAACATTGACTCTAGCCGACGCCCGCATAGCCCTGTTCTTCATCTTCTTCATTCAGTCGGCCTTTTTCAGCGCATCAAACATCGCTTCGGTGTCGTCCTTCTCGCTCGATGCCGTCTACCGCCTGGTTCCCATTTTCGATCCCTTCTCTCAAGGCGCACTTCTCATGCTCAAGCTCATGGTGCCATTTGCGGCTCTCTCGGCCAATTTTGGTCTGCTCAACCGCCGTCTGGGTGTGGCACCGTCGGCCCTCTTCATGGTGGTGATGGCGGTTAGTGATGTTATGACACTGAGCTTCTTCTACATGGTCAAGGACGAGGGGAGCTGGCTGGAGATTGGAACGACGATTAGTCACTTTGTTATTGCGAGTTTGTTGGGTGTGTTTGTTAGCGGGCTCGAGATTTACAGCGAGTGGACTATACGCGGCGTGGAGTTTGGCGGTAGCAAGAAGATGCAGGGGAATGGGACCGTCAACGGAAAGGCTAGTGGGAAAGTAGAGTAGTTGACGTATCGAGTAGTTGTAGTGTGCACTTAAGATTAGTTTCGTATGCGAACCTATATGATCACCTCATACAAGGGAGAAACTGAATAGGTGCGCTGAAGTCTACATTACTACAAGAACATAGGTTTGAGAACAGTTAAGGCAATGTAATGTAGCCTTATCAACTTTTTTTTTTTTGGATATGCTCTGTAGGGGCGGCTCTCCAGCTTTCCTTTTGGATGGGGTGTGTTGTTCCAATCCCGTTGAGATAGGGGAAGTAATATTCGAAAAATCTGGTTCACTACGGCAACGGTAGGATTGCTAGATGCGCGCTGTACCAAACACGCAGGAAACGCACGTTGAATGGAGCTAGGAAGATGCATGCTTCCGAGATGAGCTGGGGTTGCTGGGCAACAATGCGCTGTGCAAGTAACTAAATTGGTTGTGATGCTCTGGATGCGACGGCAGCCCGCGTGGGAAAGGCGAGGTCGCTTGAAGAAGAAGAAGCATCACCGTGCTTTCTTGTTATCAGGTGAGATGGGCGGACGGCAGGCTCGAAGCGGACGAGTGCGAGGGATGTGTGATGTGTGGCTGGGGCAAGGGCGGCTGGGCGGCTGGGAAGGCTCGGCTCCACAAACTAGCGGGGCCTGCGGATGCTGCGCTGGGCGGCATGGTACAATGGTCCTGCCCAACGGACGACAAATACAAAGCACACGCTCGTCGACAACACCGTTCGGCGAATTATTACATCCGCTACCGTCTGCGGCGCATTGTTTACGTCCATCGCTCCGCAAGAGATATATACTAAGTCTTGTGCGACGCGCCGTGTTTGCGTGCAACGCATCATCGATAGCCGTGTTATCGTGTCTTGGAACCAGGGGCCCGCCCCAACCACCGCCAACAGCAGCCCGTTCAACCTCGCACTTTTCCTACGAATCGAAAGCCTAAATCCCATACGCCCAACCATTCTTTATTCGCACCTCCAGGCGCAATCTCGCTTCCTCTGCTCCCGCCAGCTTATAACAGCACCGGCCTCTACCCTTCGCTGCAGACTCTTCTTTTCGCATAATGTTCTTCAAACGGTAAGTCGGGACTGCTACGCGCTGCATCTTGTGACGCGCACTAACTTTGCATAGTCGGTCCCGCGCCAATTCTTACGTAGACAACAGTGAGAACCCGCGCTCGCAGTCATTCGACGATTACACAGATAAGCGCCCCGAGTCGAGCCGTAAGGAGTCCCACCACAGCCAGCCCTTTTCGCCCACCGAGGAGCCGGACATGTATCCCCGCCAGCAGCAACCCCAAGAGCCGACGTACGCGCAGAGTGCTCCCCCCACCCACAACAACATGCCTATCCGCTCCCAGCAGGTGCCCCCAACCGGCGGCAGCACCCCCATGGGGCTCGGTATGCCCGACCTCATTACCGCTGCCTTCAACCAGGCCGTCCAGCCCTACACGGAGAAGATTGAGCAGCTCGAGAGCCAGCTCGCCGACCTGCAGAACTGGGTCGACCAGCTCGAGCAGCAGCGCGCCGAGGTGCACAACTGGATCGACAAGCGCGGACTGCGACCAGGTAAGCTCACTGCACTGCTCGCTGCACCACTTTGTACTGACTTCGCCAGATGTTCCTGCCTCAATCGCCAAGATCATGGACACCACCACCGCCGATGCTGCGCCCACCCTCAACGCCCAGCTCGACCGCAAGATCACCATCGTCAACTTTGACCTGCACCGCCTGCAAGACGACCTCAACGACTCCATCTCCTCATCACACTTTGCCTCGGCCATGCTGAAGTTCCTGCCTGACATCCAGCGCCTGACACTGCTCCCGTCCGGCCCGCGCTACGCCTTCGACCTTATCCTGAAGCTCGGCGGCAACCTCAACTCACACGGCGGCATCGACAGCGCCGACGCAGGCGACATTGCCGCACGTCGCGATTTCTATAACAGACTAGACGAGACCATGGTCGATGTCGTGCAGCGACGCTTCGGCGAGGGCGAGGGCTGGGACGTCAAGCGCGAGATCAAGCGCATCGAGAAGACGGCCAGCTACCTCAAGACCTACGGCGTCGAGCCATACTTCCCCTCAACGCTTGATATGATGAAGCGCGAGATGGAGTTCCAACCGCACCAAAACGGCGGTGTTCCCAATGGCGGAACAGGAACCCCACCGCGGTACCATTAGATCTCTTGAGGAGTGTGTGGGCTGGAGGCGTGCTGACAGTCTGTAGTCCGAGAGAGTCGACCGAGCAGCTGAGACAGACGAGGCTGGCGAAACTGGGAGAACTCCAGCGAGTCCTTGGGCAGTGTCGAAGTGAGCGCGACAGCCTGGGGCGATTGCATCAGTTCGTCAACAGGCAAGGCGGCCGCTCTTCGGGGCCTCCCCCGCCCCTTCCTGCATGCCCTCCGCCTCAGCCGCCTACGAGTCCTGCGCCACCTCCACCCGGATCTATCTCGGATCTCTATCTGAGTGGTAATGGCGCTGCTGCTCCCGAGAAAGCCCCGGCTGCTTTATGACAACTTGTACTTAATACTCTTGATTGAACGAATTTCCTTGATGTGTTGCATGATGGTGGAAAGGAAGGAATTAGGGGTAAATTGGGGTGTGGTTCTTCTTCTGCATCATACCCGAGCATTCTTGGTAAAGGTGGCGTTTGGGGCATCCTCCTGCATGTAGCTTGCGGCGTACATTTAGTATAGTTGTCGCTTCTTTTTCAGTAGTAATCGAGAACATGACTGAAAATATGCTCTGCTGATTACGTTGGTCTACAAGCTAAGGTTTTACAACATTTCAAGGTGATGTAGACTTCTAGGGGATACGTGGTCAGTCGTATTGTTGAATAAGGTGGCAGAGGTATCGAGCTTCTAGAGTGCTTGACTGGATCGCATGAATGCGCCCCAGAAATTACCATTAGCTAGAGACATGGTGATGCGCTGACAGTGCACATCATCTAGCCTGTATTATAGAAGAAACGAACCCGAGGTGGACGTATACATGCTCAGCTTCTTTGTGGGGGTGTGGGGGTGTGTGTGTTTAAAAGATCTACTGCTGCTGCTCTTTCTCTTCTCCTTCATAATCTCGGTCATGGTCTCGATAGTCCAAAATATCAATTCCGGTATTCACATGTTCTGTCTGCTCCTCCTTCCTCTCTTCCTCTTTCTCTAAACAATACCTCAAAATACACAACCGATACGGAACATGATTCCTAAAAGAGATGAGCGCCTTTATCATGTCGCGATCTTCGAGATTGGCGGAAACCAAAAATATACCAACTGGCTTGCTATGCCTTGTCAAGTGTCCAAACGCAGGCACAGAATCATGCATGTGGGCGCTGGTGGAACTCTGGCTTTGAAACATTTCAAAAAGTCCGGAGCCAAGGTCGCATGAGCTGTTCGGTAATTTCTACGCTTTACTGCTCTTTCGGCGCAGCGCTGTTATGAGAGACAAGCATAGAATCTACACTCTCGTGCCTTCCGACGATTCTTCCTATACCACACATTCTTTTCAGAAAACCGAAAATCGTAGAGACCGCACCTATGCGCTGTCTCTCCAAACAAAAAACAAACCTGACCGGACATGTTTGCTCTGCGCTGCCTCCATCTCTTGTCATGACGACGTTCAGCTCGAGTTGATCTTCTCAAACAACACACGTTTGTTCTGATGACTCTGTTCCTCTCGCCGACAGTTGAACTCGTGTGTGGGAAGTTGATCAAAAGATATCGAGTTTCGCTCATGGATACCGCTGCTGTTGCGCTGGCTGAACTTGGAAGCGTGCTATATACGAAAAACATTTGGAATGGAGCGATGTGTCGAGAGGAAGAGCAAAGGAGTCAATACACTGGACTTCTGGTGCCATACCGTTACATATCCAGCGTACTAGAAGCGATATAAATGTTCTTCCGACCTTCGCTCTTCTTGTCACCTCACTTCCTCTGCGATCTCTTACGATTTGCCAAAACTTTTCATGAGCTCCGACATGTTCTGCCTCTCTTTCTCTCCCAAAAAGCTTCGCGAATGGTTTAAATGTTTGCCACAATAAAACTATTGGGAGACCTTTGCATGTCCTTTTATTGCCTTTGCTTTGTACCATTCCGCTTGACAATATGAGAAAAGATCACCACCGCTCCTTTATGGGAGTGCTTAGAAACATACAAGCTACTCGCATGTGTTGCGGAGACCCAATACTGGCCGACAGCTTTTCTACACCATCACTCAAAAAGACTTTTCAAAACACGCATCCTTTGGGGTGATGATTGCTCAAAAAATTGTACCGTAGAATCCATGGCGAGTCCAAGAACAGCCTTATCGATACCTACAGAAGCGACTGTCGCGGAACGTTATAGAACCTCCACTGATCTCTCTCTTCCTGCTTTATTTAGACATTAGTACTGAGGGTTTCTTCTGAAACGCAGCACGCTGTCAGATATGAACTCTCCCTCTAGAAATCAAAGGATGACACTCTCATGACTTCCGGTCTGGCTTTCCCCTTCTCTCTTCACCGAAGGCAAACATGTACTTACGTATGATTCTTCTGCTCTTCTTTAACTGGAATGCGATGTTTATCTCGTCAAAAGGTACACATGAGAGTCGCATGACCGAGAAGGGGAGGAAAATGGCCTCTAAGAACTTCATGGTTTTCCTGGGCACTGCGGTCTTCAAATAACAAATCGAACGTATGCACTGAACATGTGCGGTTGGGCGCTAAGACCGACACCGATGGCATAACGCATGTTGGTTTGCGATCTACCACGGAAGTTTGGAACATCCTTACAGGCCGTACGAGAATTGACATAAATCTCTGCTTTTCATCGTTGTCGTTTCCATTCGTACAACTCGGGAACGCCTTTGATCTGCTCCTCTCGAAAAAGGGTTAATAGAAAGCGCGATGGTTGCCCTGCTCTCGATATCTTACCTGGATTATGTCTTGTCGCAATGATAGGCAAGCTTCGCAAAACGATTCCTTGAGCTAACTCCGATACCTACAATATACATGCCAGAAGCTGGTGTGGAAAATCGCGTGATGAGGAAGGAGGACATGGCCATCGTCACACGACAGCGGCAGTGATGTGCCTCTATGCCACAAGCATTTCTGGGCCTACGTTCACTTTTCCAGGCATCCAAAGCAATTGTAAAGACTATATTGTCGTCGGAGTGGTGCGGTGTATTGCATCGCTCGTCGCGAGCGACCCGGGAGTTCGTCCAGAGGGCCTGTGGTAACTCTGCAGACGCAGGCAATCTACAGCTTTCGATAACTTGCCTAGTATGGAAATGCGCTAGAGCTACGGGTCAGCCCAGAAAGGCCTAGCGCATCCTCATGTACTCATCCAATGTTCCGACATCCAGCCACCCGACTTTATTATTCAAATCACCAGGTTCAACACAATGGCATCGACAGCCCAGTACGCTTGTGGGATCTGCAGGGAGCGTAAAGTCCGGTGTGATCGCGCGCTTCCAACATGCAAGCGATGCAATCGTCTCAGTCAACCATGTGGCTATCAAGTGCACTCGCGTCGCACACGCGACGATCAGCTCAAACAGCTCCAGGAACGGCTGGCCAAGACGGAGGCCCAGCTTGCTCTTACCGCGCAAGATCTCTCTACAACGACTACACCGCATGCGCAACCAGCTCCTATCTTGGGGCAAACGGCTGCTAGCACGCCGATGGATCTGGATAGTACCAGAGAGATGAATGCAGTCGTTGATGCGCCAACAAATGGCTCATTTGTTCCGGACGTTGATCTTTTTACTTCTTTTGCCCAAGACATGGACTCCAACATTACGTTTGACTGGATGAATCAGCCGCTGACGGCACTCGAACCAATGGATGATTTACTTCTCAATCAGCCTCAGAAAGCGTCCCAAAGCGGCCCAGAAGAGGTCTTATCTCCAACCGATTTGAGTTCGCTGCACGACCACTACTTCGAATCCGTATACTATTCATTTCCTTTCATAAACAAAGATAGGTTCATGGTGGAGTCAACGGGTAGCGGTGGCTCTGCAGTGAATGCTTTGGCTTATGCTGTTGCGCTTGCGGGTTGCTCTCATACCACCCCTGAAGACTCAAAACGACAGTCGAAATGCCACAATCTAGCGCGCGATTATGCTGAGAGATGCGAGCGAGAAGACTGCATGAGTGATCTGAACTTCCTTCAAGCCTTGCTGTTGATAGGCCGTTATGAGGCCATGAGCCGGAAGCTGGAGAGGAGTTGGCTGACGTTGGGACGCGCTGCTTTGCTTTGTAGGCTGTTGAGGTTACATCGAATGGATGAAGCTAGTCAACATCCGAGTGCCCAGAACGAAGAAATTCAGAGTGGCTCTATGTTCAGTTTACCACATACAGAAGATCCGGTGCTACTGGAAGAGCGACGGCGCACATTCTGGGGCTTATACATACTGGAAAGCTACGTGAAAACACGTAGCGGATTGCAGTGTCAGCTGGGAAATGTCAAGGTGCGAAACGCGAAGCCCCATGCCTTTCAGGAACTGACGTAATATCCAGGACTTTCGGATCAATTTACCATCACCAGGGCTGTTGAATTCGAGTTTGGAACCGCTTAAGATGCCTTCTGTTTTAGGCGTGGGTACTGAATCCGGTCTCGAGATATCGTCCTACGCAGGCTGCGTTCTAATGGTCGAGCTGGCCTTACGCTGCTTCGATCATGGGCAACAACGCGACAAACCAGGCTTCTGGGATGACTACTGCGCCCTTGTCAAGAAGACCTCTGACCTCTTCATTCTTCTCAAGCGCCATCTCAATGCTACGTCCATCCGTGAAGATCCCGTAGCCTTCAGCCTCTACATGAACCTGCGCGCAACCGAAATCTTCTCTCATGAATCAGCCATCACAAAGAGCGAGGAACAGAACCTACCGCCGTTGATGATTATCGAAAGTCAACGCCGCGCTACTGCTGCTGCGTTCCAAATATGCAGCGCGGTAAGCCTTAATCTGCCGTCGCCGCAGAAGGCAAACAGCGATATTATCATGTTGCAAGCCGTCTTCATTGCTTGGCCTTTGACTATGGCGCTGACAGCATTGCATCGCGAACTCGCCAATGACGGATCAAAGGAGACTATGACTGGTGTTGTGGCTTCAACGCGTTTACTCTTCGCGGCTCTCGACCATATTGAAGAGTCGGACGGGTACTGGCATCAAAGCGTGACGCATATTGGGGCTAAGCTGCAGGACTGGGTTGAGAAGAATAGCTTGGAGTCCTTGGCTCTGTGATAAAGTCTTGTCTTCTCTTCGGTCCATATGGCGGAAAAGCGGCGATATTGGCATCACGACCGCTCATGACTACCGCAAACACTCTAGTAATTCACAGTTCATCTGACCCAGATTAGGTCTCTTCGATGCAATACTGTCCGTTAGGTATTCTGCTTCTTTTTTCGTTCGTCATCATCTCAACAGACCAGTATCCCCAGGAGGAAGTGGGTTGCTCGGACTCCCTGTCCGTGTCCGTGTCCGCCCCGTCTCGACCACCTCTCCGGTTGTTATAGTGTCGTTGCCACTTGTCGAGCTCATCAACGTTCTCAAATACACTTCAAATCGTACAAAACTATTGCGAGGTCAACCTAAATCGCATTTACGTCTGCGAAAGCCCCGTGCCACTGAGGACTGATTGCATCCTTCAAACATGGACCACACAGGTACACAGCCGAGCCCGCACGATTCAGATTGCGAGAAAACCGCAGCATCAGGAGATTTGAGTGCTCAGATTCCACCTGGGGACGGCATCACTACCACGAACAAGTCCAGCCCTCGAAAAATCCATGGTTGGAAGGTAAGCAAGCCACCCTCAATACATCCATACGAACTATCATTATCGGAACGAATATTAACGCCATACCTTTCTATCTATCCAGTGGGCAACCGCATACTCCGCCATGCTATCCACAACCCTCCTCTTCGCCCTCGACAACACCATCGTCGCCAACATTCAACCCGCCATCATCGCCGATTTCGGGCACCTCGAACTCCTATCATGGATCGGCACCGGCTTCGCCCTCGGCACCATGTTCATTCTGCTGTGGGGAAAGATCTACGGCATCTTCAATATCAAGTGGGTATACATCTTCAACATCCTTTTGTTTGAGGCTGGCAGTGCGCTTTGTGGCGCGGCTCCTAATATTGAGGCGCTTATTATCGGAAGGGTTGTTGCGGGTGTGGGGGGCTCGGGCATGTATTCAGGTACGCTGACGTATGTGTCGGTTCTTACGGATGAGAGGGAGAAGCCGGCGTATCTTGCGGGAAGTACAGTTGTTTGGGGTGTTGGCAGTGTCTTGGGCCCGGTGGTGAGGACAGCCCTACAGCTCCATCGTTACCGGAACTATGCTTACTGTGAATCGTTAGGTCGGCGGCGCGTTCGCGGCAAGTAATGCCACTTGGAGATGGGTAAGTAGTTTCATCTTTACATCATCAAACTATCGCAATGAATGCTAATCATATACTAGGGGTTTTACGTCAATCTTCCCATTGGTGCTCTCTTCGCACCCGTATACGTCTTCCTATTCCCCAGTATCGGCCCCTATCCACCCAAGACGCTCGCTGAGAAGTTGCGCCTTGTCGACTGGGTCAACGCCGTCATCTTCCTCGCTGGCTCCGCCTGCCTAACCGTCGTGCTCACCTTCGGTGGGGTCATCTACCCGTTCAATTCCGGAACTGTAATCGCGCTGTGGACCATCACGGGCGTTCTGCTTGTCACCTTCATTGTCATGCTAAAGTTGCACCCGCTGGTGACCAAAGAGAGTCGACTGTACCCACTACATTTCTTCAAGCAGCCGACGTTGATCAACATGCAACTTCAAGTGTTTCTGTCTTCTGGAATCATCCTGGTAAGCTGTCTGCGGAGTCCATGTACCAGAGAAAGGCTAACCTGTCTTCAAGGCCATGACTTACTACATACCTCTCTATTTCCAATTCGTCAAGGGCGATGGCGCACTCGAGGCCGGCGTTCGTCTGCTACCGTTGATTATGTTCATGGTCGTCGCTTCGATGGTGAATGGCTTTTTGATGCCTAGGTATGGTTTGATACCTGTTTGGTACATTGGAGGAAGCGCAATGGCACTCATTGGCACGGCTCTGATGTGTAAGATTTTCCATCACATCCGCTTTCGAAGCGGCCCAGCTGACGTCTTTCACAGACACCGTCAATGAGAAAACGTCCAATGCCAACATATACGGCTACAGCATCCTCGTAGGAGCGGGTAACGGGTGTTACATCGTTGCAGGTTTTGCCATCGTGCAGTCTTTGGTTCCTGCCCACGGCATAGCCAACGCCGTTGGCGCCATGACAATCTGTTAGTCTCCACCTAGCATATCCCCTTCACTTCACATAATCGAAACCATAGCTGACAAATCTACTCACACCCAGCTCAAGACCTTGGTATGGTTCTCTTCCTCGCCATCAGCGGCAGCCTCTTCCACAACATAGCCGTCGACAGAGTCGGCAAGGCGCTCCCAGAGATCTCCCCCACGGAGATCGGGAACCTCATCGCGGGATCAAGCAGCAAGGCCTTCCAGGCACTGTCCGATGAGGAGAAAGCTTTGGTCATTCCCGAGATAGCCAGCGCCATGACCAGCATCTGGGCTTTCTTCCTTGTTGCGTCTGCATTAAGCCTGGTATGCTCGGTTCCATTGCTGGTGAGTTGTATCCCCAATTTGCTTTCCTTCCGCTGTGTGTGGTTTACTGACGTTCATGACAGAAAGCCAAACTCGGTGATGGGAGGAAAGATACTGCGGTGACTGCGGTGACTGCGGTGACTGCGGCATGATATTTGCCATGACTGAGACTGAGCATATCGGGCGAAGGGAATCTTGATTGATAGAAGCTTCCTTTCCCAGATATACTTTCCTCTATACTGCTAGAATCGGAGTTCGTTGACTCGTCATACTCCACGCTTTGCGATGGGGATATCAACTCAAATGCGTTTTCTCTCTCCAATTCACCATCAGTGAAACCCGCCATCGCACCCTAGTGCACATTGCACGTGTGGGCAGCAAATTCCTAGGCGGAGATTTCGCGATTCCGCAATCCAGATGTGCCCACCCACGATCCGCCCTGGCCGACAGGAGGGGTGGATCCAACAGGCGACCAATAGAGAACGAGCGGCCGTCTGTGTCCGTTCCTACCTACCTTCTCATTCGGGCGTATCGTCGACTATTGAGACCATAGATCTAATCAGAATAGGCTTTGAAAATGATTGCGAAGTCCCAACGAGAGATAAGACTGCTTTTAGTAGAGTCATGTATGACCGCAAGATTATGTAGTTTGTGAAGGCCATCAATGAAGCTACTGATGGTTCCAACGAAGTGGAGCTCGAACTCCGCGCGAGAGCCCCACATTTCCCGGTCGGCAGAACCTTCCGCCGCCCAAAATTTCGAGCCGTCCAGGAAACTTCCCGCGCGACTTCCAGATTTCACCTTCGCATAATTTACTCGACTTGCACCGCTCATTAGGATGTTCGCCGTTCCCGGATGGAACGTTGCCGCGCAGGTGAAGACCCAGGTCGAAGTACCAAAGCCGAAAGATTCCACGAAACCTGGAAAGAAGGCGCAGAAGAGGAAGGAGAAGCGCGAGGAGCAGCAGGTCAATGCAGACAACTTGGCAGAGCAATGGGACAGCATAGCCAATGGAAAAGGCGCGCAGGCGGAGAAGACCGAGAAGGTCAAGAAGCCAGAGGCAGCAAGTGTAGAGGCGACAGACGAGGCAACACAAGACAAGCGCGGGAAAAAGAGGAAGAGGGGAAAGGCCGGAGGTAACAAGGACAAGGACGCAGATGCAGATGTCGCAAAAGAAGTAGGCGAGGATGTAGCGACAGAAGCTGAGCCCTCAAAGGCTAACGCAGATGCTGCGAGGTCTGCTGGGGAGAAACCCACGACCGCCGACAGTGAGGCAAAACGTGAGAAGAAGAAGCGGAGGAAGGAGTCCAAAGCCGATAAACTTCTCGCCGCAAACGCAAACGGCACGAACCCCGCATCTGCGACTCCAGTCCTGGAGAACCTCCTTCCCGAACCCAAGGGCCTCACACCTCTCCAGCGATCGATGCGCAGCAAGCTCGCCAGTGCGCGATTCCGTCACCTGAACGAAGCACTTTACACGAAGCCATCTGCGGACAGCGCGTCTCTCTTCAAGGAAGACCCATCGATGTTCGAAGATTACCACCGCGGCTTCGCACAACAAGTTGAAGTATGGCCATCGAACCCCGTAGACGGATACGTAAACAGCATAGTAGTGCGAGGCAGGCTACGGAACAAGGACATAAGGAAAGACAGGAGAGGGCCGCCAAAGAACGCAGTCCGTAGAGGACCCGGTTTCGAAGAAGAGGAGACCACAGCTATCGCACCACCCCGCGGAGACGCAAAGCCCTTGCCCCGAGACTTTAAAGGCCACTGCACCGTTGCCGATCTAGGCTGCGGAACAGCTTCCCTATCCTACCGCCTCCAACCGCACCTCAAATCGCTCAACCTGACCTTCCACTCCTTCGACCTTTCCAAACCCACCGGTCCCTCAGCCGACCTCGTCACCATCGCCGACATCTCCGCGCTGCCCATCCCCGAAAACAGCGTCGACGTAGCCATCTTCTGCCTCGCCCTCATGGGCACAAACTGGCTCGACTTCATCGACGAAGCATACCGTATCCTGCGCTGGAAAGGCGAACTCTGGGTCTCGGAAATCAAGTCGCGCTTCGGGCGTGTGGACAAGAAGAAAGGTGGCGTGCCTATAAACTCCATTGGTTCTCTCAAGAAGACTATGGACAAGAAACCGCCCAAGGCGAAGAAAGCCAAGGCTGATAAACCACCTGAGGAGGGGCCCGTGGACTCGGAAGACGAGGCTGAACTCGCGGTCAATGTAGATGGCCAGGAGGGTAAAGAGGGGACGGATGTTTCTGCGTTTATTGAAGTGCTGCGGAAGCGTGGGTTCGTTCTTGATGCCTTACCCGAGAGGCCGAGCGATGCGATCGATTTGAGCAATAAGATGTTTGTCAAGATGCAATTTGTCAAGGCGGCGCATCCGAGCAAGGGCAAGAATGCGAGGGACGATCAGAAGGCGGGGGCTGTGGCACAGAGAGGTGGAGGTATGAAGTTTGGACTCAAGGGGAAGAGGTTTGGTGCTGGTGATGGAGATGACGATGGTGACGCGAAGGATGGTGCGGTGTTGAAGCCTTGCTTGTATAAGATTAGGTAGACGTGGGAACGGACTGTCATGAGAAGAAGCAGGTTGAGGGGCCCTTAAAGCCTTTCTTCATTTGATCTATGTTATCTTCGTAAAACTACGTTAATGCATGTGGAGCTTCTTCGCTTCTAATCCTGTTCCCTGGTAATACATGCATGCTAGTCGATGCCATGTCGTGAGTTCGTCAACTCATGTCCTCGTCATTGAGACTCCTTTGAACTGTTCAGATCTTTCCAAATGGCTGAATCTCATTGCGTGACACTACAGCGTGTGTAGGCGAGCGCCATGTGATCCTGATCTTGTGGTGCTGTGATCGTCTCATTAACTAACCACCGAGAAGGAAACTCGCGGCATGTTCGACATTGCCTCCAAACATCTCCAGTGCCTGTATGGCTTCCTGTTCTGAACAGCCAAACATGCCAGTGAGTTGCTGGACGTGTTCCTGGGGAAAGTTACTGGTGGGTGCGGCTGCTACGGGTGCCTTGGAAGCTGTCGGCTGGGCTTGCGGCTGTGCGGGTTGGGACGATGAGGACGAGGCGCCGGCATTTGAAGGGCCAGCTGCAGCACTACCTTTCGGTCGCACAGCACCAGTCTTTGCACCAATCTCCTCTCCGTTGGGGCCCTGGACAGTTGGCTCGTTCATTTCCGCCTCCTCGAAGCTCCTGGGGATTTCCGACTCGTGCAAAAAGGGTACTTCCTGGCCTTCAAAGCACAGGGCGTTCTTCTCGAGATCGATCTTGGCGCGGTAACGCTTGAGCATGTCCAGACCAAACAGTAGGTCGACGTCCTTGCCCTCCATGACTGTGAAGGCGCAGGGCATGACCGCACCTCCAATCTTGATCTCGGCGTGATGTACGCGGCCCAGAATACGGGCTGTGCCGACACCACGTGCCATACCGGCATATCGGACATCCATCAGTCGCATGATACCACATCGCTCTGCGCAGTCGGGGGACATGATGGTCGCCTGGGCGCCAGAGTCGACGAAGGCTTTGACGGGCACGCCGTTGACCTCGGTGTTGACGTAAAGCATGTGTACGCGTGTGAATACTGTGACATGTTAGCCTCCGTTAAACACAACCCCTCACTTGAATCCCCCCATTGATTCATCCGCCGGTCGAAGGTGAAGGTCATACCTTCGGGGTTCTCGTCGTATGCCTTTTGTAGGTTCTCGACTACACGGTCCTGGCGGATGATGTCTTCTATCTTTCGTTGCGCCTCCACGTTGAAGGGGTCTTCGTTGAGCAGGGCGATCTGGTTCTGACGCTCGCGCTCCGACTCCTCGGCCTGTCGTTGCCTCATAGCATATGTTTCTCTCCAGCGGGTGGGGTCGTTGACGGCGGCGGCGAGCTCCGGGTCGCCCTGGCGCAGCTTGTTCATCTGCTGGGGGTCGTTGAGGACAAGCTGTCGCACGCCTTCTGGATCAGGTTGCGCGGGCCTGCCCGGCTGCTGGAGGTTCCTGTTTGGTCGAGGTGCGGCGCGCATCACAACGGCCAGCATCTCGCCATCCCGTATTCCGGCGTCCTCTAGTGTCTGTGTGTCTACGGCTACCGGCTGGCCGTTCAGGTAGAGGCTCTGTGACGCGGCGGGCAGGCTGGTGTCGGCCTCGATGAAGCCCTTGAGGTCCTTGACGGTGCTGCCGGGGGGCAGTTCGAGCGTCAGCAGGTCCGTGTCGGCCTGGGTGCCGGGCGCGGTGATGGATATGGTGACGCGAGGCCTGGTGGGCGTGTGTTAGCAGCGTGCTTGGGGTTGGTGGCACAACCACGGCTCGCGAATCGACTCACATGGTGGTTCGGAGCGGGCCTGGGGCGTATGCGGGCACGTCTGGATGAGGCCAAAGAATGTGACACGGTGGGAGGTGAGGTTGGGTTGGGTCGGGTCGGGGCAACGGTGTCTCGGTGCGCAGGAGCTTATAGGAAGGAGGCACTGGGCCGTGATGGTCTGGTCGCAACCTGGGACTGGAACGGGCCGGAGGGTCCTCGCAGTGAGAGAGGGAGAGGGCACGTCAGTCGCCGCCTGCTGGGCTGGAAGGGAATGGAACGTAGTGGAGCCGCGAACCCAGCGTCGGATGAATCAGCGATCAGAGGGCACAGGCTGCATGTTGTGAGAGTTTCGCCTAGGCCACCAAGGCTGTCACTCATAATATACCAGCAACGTCGGGCTGGGGTGTAGGCGTCGACGCGCAGTCGAAGGAGTAGTACTACTGCATCCAAACCACGACGTTGGCGGTGTAGGCCCAAGCATGGCCACAGTAAGCGGGGCAGCCGACACGCGCGCGGGGGCTAGACGGTACAGACAGTCGAATTGATATGAATACGGTCTCTGCTTGGAGCCACGGCGCATATGCCATGCTACTGCTCTGAGCTGACCATGCGACGAGCCTGGTCGCAATCTCCGCGGGGGATCTGCTCATCCAGGCGCATACCCAGATCATACTCCAACTACCTGGATAGCATAACGTCTGGGATCCTTCAACGTCTGCCCAACGCATGCAGGAGAATCATCTGGCCGCTGCGCCCTACGGCTAGCCCCTGTAAAGGATTCCGCGAGCTGAATCCCCATGCCACCAGGTGTTGCCATTACCCCACCGACATCATCCTACTGCACGTCATGGGAAATCCCATCGCCACACCATCGCTAGTCAGGGCATGGGCGTTACTCCACGAATCCCGCCATCAACAGTTATTGCTTTTTTGGAAAGCAAGCCGAAGGTCTAGAAGTGGTGAATCCCATAGCAACTATAACACACATATCCCCCCCGCCTGCTCCTTTGGGCCAGCTGCCACCCCAGCTAACCCGGAACGATCTGCAACGGCAGGCGCGAAGCGAACCGCTAGTAAAGGCGGGGCTGCGGCCGCAGAGAGTCTCGTGAGTCCTCCAGGAACCACAAACCCAGACTCACCACTGCACTCCGGCTTCCCGTAGTTGTATCAACCGACCCTCCTGCCGTACCATCGTCATAACACCGCTCCATCTGACCTGTCGCAATTTACCGCCAAGATGCCACGAGACTTGCTAGCAGACAAAAAGACGCTCGATGGCATGCCCGAACTATCAAGAGAGCCTGAGACCGTCGCTAGCCCAGAATCCGTGGAGCAGCAATCGAGTCTGGTACCCCATCGCAGTTCCAACATCGCTCAGGAGGGGAGGCTCAAACTGATGGGCGTCCGACCATACGCCTCATTGCTAAACATCGACGATCTGGATGATTGCGATTGGCTCGAGCATGCAGCCTTTGATCCAGTCGAGGCTGCATCGCGCGAGAAGGTGAGAACGATTACTTTCATCGATGTTATCTCGAAAATCATGCTCAATGCCTGCATTTTCTGCTCGGTATCACCATTGGGCTCCGCCAGGCACGAGCCATGCGCTCTTCTCCATGATGATGTTACTCAAACGATCAAGTGCGGACACTGTCTTCTGCCCTGTTTCCTATCCATTGTTTCAAGAAACACCAATATGGCTCTTACTTCGTTCATCGGGTTCAGTTGAGTTTGTTATGCGCTAGTCGTTCGCTCCTTCTCTTTCCTTCACTCGTGTGCTGCGCTCTTTCCTCCCCATATCTCCAGACCCCGCGCTAACCAGACACAGCTCGAATACCGCCTGCGAACCTGTGGTGAACTCTGCAGTGGGCTCTTCTCTTCCGCCTACCCCACCACGTCAGGACCATTAGGCGAGACCATCAAGTTGCACTCTTTTCCATCAATAGACTCAACAGACACAGACCGGAAGCGGGTGATAATTGGTCACGTCATCTCCACCAAAGCAAACTCCCCACTCGTTACCGATGACGCTATGGACTACCCCAAGGACTGGAAAACCAACTACCAGCTCACGCCAAATGTAGGTCACAACGAAGACGGTCAGACGGTTTGTCTGCATTCGTTATGTGTACATCCAAATTTTGCACGCAAAGGGCTTGGCTCGATATTACTGCAAAGCTATGTGCAGAGGATCAAGGATTCAGGTGTGGGGTCTAGAATAGCGCTCATCTGCAGAGACCGGTATATACCTTTCTATGAAAAGGCGGGATTCAAGAAAATAGGTCCCAGCAAGTGCCAGTATGGTGGAGGAAACTGGGTGGATATGGTGCTGGACTTTGAAGACAGTGGGGATGATGGATGGGAGTACTAAGAGTATGTTCAGATGGAAGCGGGCCTTCTACAGGCTGGCATACAATCACGTCCGTAGATGTCTGAGCGATTCAAGAGCGTGTAGAATGGAACAAAAAAGCATGTGCAAGATTTAGATGTTCACGAGCACTGTGTTAGCCAAACATCTGTCGTTGAATAGTTGCCCATTCAGCCTCGCTTATCAAACCAGCATGCTTAGCCCTTTGCCCCCAAGCTTCGCTCAGCCGTAGGCAGCTGCGCTCCAGCCACGTCTCACTTGTCAACCCCAGCGACTTTTCTGGTACTTTCTTTCCTTTCCTTTTCGCCCACTTGTGCGTACCATCCTGCCAGTTCTTTGCGCACACCATTGTCCTCCTTCATGATTGTCCTTACGCACCAGCCTGCGTCATGTCTACCGTGTACAAAGGCACTCCGCTCCACATAGATGACAGCACGAACATCCGACTCCTTAAAATCCTCCCGACGGATGACGAGACGACCCCAATAACCTGCACGATCCGCGTCGTCGCTCTCGAGGGCTCGCCTAAATACACTGCACTTTCTTACGAATGGGGGCCGCCACAACCTACCAAAAAAATCTTGTTGAACGGTGAACCCTTTATCATACGCGAAAATCTATGGAATTTCTTGAATCAAGCACGAAGATACCGGAAGTCTTGGGAATTCTGGATAGACGCTATCTGCATTGACCAGATTAGCGACGCGGAGCGTACTCATCAAGTCTCTATGATGGGTAAAATATACTCGATAGCTGAGCTTGCTGTGGCTTGGCTCGGAACTGCAATCTTGGACACACCCGAGTGGCTGAGCTTATTAGAAGAAATACCGGACATTCATCTCTACAGAGCCTGTTCGGACTCTGTAGACTGGTGCAGAAGGTACAGAGATTGCATTAGTTATTTGTGCTCGTTATCCTACTGGAGCCGGATATGGATTGTGCAAGAATATGTCTTGAGTCAAAAGGTCATCATATGGATCGGTCGACACCATACTACCGGAGAGAATATGGAGCGGCTTCGCGCCATGTGCAAAATGGTTCCGGGTCAATATAGCGCCTTGATCGGGGTGGAGACCCCAGCAATGCAGATTCTACAGCATCGACGCAATAGAACGGACGTTCGGGCTCGTGGAAGAAGCTATTCGCTTATTCTTGAGAACGTAGTATTGGAGTTCGCGGGCTCAAAGTGTGTGGATCCACGGGATCACGTGTACGCGTTGTTATCGCTATGCGATCCGCTAGAGGTTACGGAAGCATCGATTACCCCTGATTACTCGAAGTCAACACTAGAAATATACATCCAGCTCCTTCGAAGGGCAGAGAAAAGTCTAGTCGAAAGCGGCAGAAGCATATATGAAGATGAGGTATCTGAAACCAAGACGTACATGGGAAAACTCCGCTCTTTGCTGGGGGTTGAGTTGGAGGAATTTCAGAATATGGATCCCGAGATCACAAAACTACTTACAAAGAATTCGTACATCTTCAGTAACTACCCAGACTAGCTTCGCATGCCGACAGTTGTCAGCTGGTGAGCAGAAAAGAGTAGCTATAGGCTTACTCAGTCAGAGCACTAAAGTTCATTGAGCGATGAGAAATGCCGAGTAGCAAAGTTCAAAGCAGATCTTATGTTATTCTATTTCTTTTATGGTGGACCAGATATCTACGCGTACACACTTCTATCCACCCAGCCCGGCTGCAGCGCCTTCCCATCAATCTCACCAAACGCAAATCCACTGGCATACCTCGCATACTCAATTAACTTCAGCGTTTCCAACCTAGCCCCAGCCTCAGTCTGTGCCCACATCGCCACACTCAAGACATTCTCGCCCCTCATGTTGAGGATACCGGGAGGGATTGGATAGCGAGTCTGAGGTCCAATATGAGGAACGTATTTTCCGTACTGGTAGCCGTTGACGAAGAGGAGCATACGTGAAATGGTACCTTTTGGCGCATCAAGTTCGATACCAATGGGGACGTCAAGGTCGGAGTCGATGGAGAGGGAAAATGTGGTTGTGAACCAGCGGATACCGGCGCCTTGGACGCCATTGGTGGTGGGACTGGCGTCTTTCCAGGAAGACGTGTCGAAGCCGGGGAGATGCCAGCCGAGACGTTCGCCGTAGAAACCACCTTCATTCATCGGACCGCGTACGGGATCGATATTGCGCTCTCCCCCTGCGTTGCCTTGGATCTTCCACTGGTCGAATGAGAGTTTCGTGTTGTTTCCGCTGAGAAGCTGGGCACCTAGTATACCACGGGGATTTTCAGCGCCAGCGGGGCCTGTGGAGGTTTGGTCATGACCAGTGTAGTCGGTAATCACCGTCAAGACGTTTCCTTCGTCCTTTAATGTAGCATTTTTGAATGCGATCAACGCTGTTGTCGAAGTAAGCGATGCGTTACCGGGATGGTAACCGATTGATTGCCCGTTGAGCCAAGCACCCCATCCAGCTGCTACTCCACCTTGAACTGTGATGTTGAGAAATGATGCAGTTTTGCCGGAGAAGTATCCGCGGTAGATCTTCGCGCCCGTGTAGTACTTGTAGTCACTGCTAAAGAGTACGGGTAGGGTAAGTGGCTTCACGGGGCTGAGCGTTGTGGTTTTGTTTGCGACAACCCAGTTGCTGTCATCGTAGGAAGGTTCGATCTCAGGCGAAGATCCAGCAGCCTTGAAGTTGGAAAGTTCAGGAAGAGTGATCTCCCGGTCTGCTGTTCCATCGATCTTCGCAGTGAGAGAACCGTAGGTAGTCTTTGTTGTAGCGAGCTCCTTTCCATTCCAGGATATCGTTTCTGCATCAGAGCCAGCATATACCTCGATAGTCGTCGCATTCGCATTGTCGCCAACAACGGAAACTGTTCTGTCCGACAAGCTGGTTGAGCGAACTAGATATGGTCCGAGCACGAAGATCTGGTGATCTGGAGTGACATTCGGGTCATCTGTCGTCGATGGCGCGAAGAATGTATACGCAGTTGGAATGTCAAGCAGGTAAGCCAGAACACCGTTGGAGAACTCAACCACTGTAGCACCCTTACTTTGGGTGTACGACAAACTCGAGTAGGTGCCGTTCGTCGGCTTGCTTGTGATATCTGACTCTGCGCCGTACGCCTTGAAGGTTACGTTGCCCTGTGATTTGAATGCGAATTCTCCTGTCTGGCCTTCGCGGGTGTAGAATACGAGGACAAGCCGATCAAACAGGCCGTAGGTAGCAATCTCGGCCGACGAGTAGAGCAGCGTCTTGTCACCTACAGCATAGTCTGTAACTACCCATCGACTCTGACGGCCCGCAAGCTGCATGCTTGGGATCTTGATGTCGCCTTCCGAAGTCTTCACCGTCATCGAGAAGTCGGTGACAGCGCGTGTACGCGTGTTGTTGTTCTCGGCGAGGTAGAATCGACTCTCTCCATCGCGGCTCTTGAGCTGCCAAGTCCAGATCGCGGAGTTGTCAACTGCGTTCGCGGTGCCGTTGTTTTCCATGAACGTGTTGTGAAGGCCCTTACTGACACGGGTGAAGAGGGCGAGAAGTTTGTACTGCTTGAACTTATCGCGGACTTCCCGGGTTTCGCGAAGCGGCGCGACGTAGTCGTAGGAGGTATATACGTTTGGCGCAGCAAGATGGCCCCAGTTAGTGCCGCCGTATGCCATGTACAAGTTCAGTAGGGAAGCTCGTTGTCCGATCAAGCCCTTGTAGAAAACATCTGCAAATTCAGGGCTTTGCTCAGCTAGACACTGGTCAAAGAAGTAGCCGCCCCACGGCTGGAACCATCCACCTTCAAATTCGGGTAGGTACTCGGGCTGAGTAGGAGATACCTCTTGAAACCACTGGTAGTACGTCCTGGGCAGATTGAATCCCGTGTCGAGGTTTGTGCAGCTCATTCCGCCGGGGTAGCTGTCCAGGCCATAGACATTGATCGCGCCACCGACATTGTTGTAATCAGTAGACCAGCTCTTCGATCTGAAGCCCTTCTCATTGTGCGACAGGGGTACGATGATGCCCGCGTCCTTAAAGGCGGTCTTCAGCTGCTCCATGTAGATGACTAATGTGTTGTCGGCTTCGTAACGAGTCTCTTGAAGTTCGTTTTCGACTTGCGCGAGAATGACGGGTCCGCCGTTGGTGATCTGGTTCTTTGCGATGATGTCGCCAACTTCCGCGATCCATTCCGACCACGCTTGTCTATATGTCTCGTCTGACGTTCTGTACTTGCCGCCACTTCCGTCGCTGGTCCATAGAGCAAAGCCGCCACCATTTGTTTCAGCGTTACAGTAGGGTCCTGGTCGTGCGATCACGTAAAGTCCGGCTTCTTTGGCCATGTCAAACAGGCGTTGGATATCTTTCCCCGGTGTTGTGAAGTCGTATACGCCTTTCGATGCCGAATGGTACGACCAGAAGAAGTAAATCGAGACAGCGTTCATGCCGTTCGCCTTGAACTTCTGGAAAACGTCGAGCCATAATTCGGGAACTGGGAGGCGAGCGTAATCTGGTAGGCGCAGAGGCGACAGTCAGCATGTTTCGTTTACAGGCTATTCGATCCATCTCATTAACGTACGGAACTCTCCACTCATAATCATAACGCGCTCGCCGTTGACCATGAGCGACCCATTGTCCCACTCCACGTCCGTTTGCAGGCCATTATCGGTGGCTAGTACACCAAAGAACAGCGAAATCGCGACTGCAAGCAGATGAAAAAACCGCATCTTGACTTCCTCGGTGATGGAAAAAAGCCAATAAGACGCGACGCGACTTTTGCTTCACGACATAGCTCACAAGCTCGCACGCAGCTAGCCCGTGGACTTCAGCCGCGGCCAAAGACCACCATCCGGACCTGCGCTTCACGGAACGATCTCATTGACGGTATAATGTTTCCCATGGAAGAAATGCTCAGCGGGGTAATATGTAAGGTACTAGCGACCCCAGATGTGTGGCGTTTGCGGAGGCGGGTGGAACGTCATTCGCCCGAGACGCCGAGGGCGCGTGAAGGAAGCTTGCGCCAGCGGGAGGTTTACCACAATAGGAAGGGAGTAAGTATGTGCACGTCATGGAAGAACAAGACATGTAATTTGCATCCTTTGCTGGTGTTTAGTAAACGTCCATAGGTGTTGTCAGGAGACATCGTGAGGTGGCTGGGAATAACGCAGATTCCCAATCTATGTCCGGTGGACATACCAGCCGTTTCTGGCACGCTACTTCACACGATGGAAGAGAGCTTTCCCACACCACTGCGCTGAAGTGGGCTGAAGCAGAGTCAAGCCTTTTAGTTTCCGTTCTTTCCGAGGCTTGTCACGCAGCTCTGGCTACGCATTGACATGTTCACGAGGGTACCTTCGAACGACAGGCTTGGAAAAGTGGATATCGGGCGGGTCCCACTCATTGGAGGATTTTCCGAAACAAATCTCCCCTGGCCACACCCACGCACTGAACAAGCGTTGCTTCGAGCGACCGAGTCCCTCTCATTTCTTCTTTCTTCTCTCCACTTAGTGGAGGATTTCGAAACAATCCCTCATCTGTCAGTATGGAGAATCTTGAATCGGGAAATTATGATCCCGCCAAGTGTAGATTCGATGTATGAGTAATTGGATGGTGACTAAGTGTCGTTTATTTGTGTGTGTATCATTCATTAGAATTCGTATATATGTGTGGCGTACCAAGCATGTGGGCCAAGCAACCAAGCACTTCACTCGCTCTTTCAAGCTTTTCTTCATACTAAGCATCTTTCACAATGGTCGCCTTACCTCTTGGTATCTTCTTGACGTCGCTAGCGGCGTCTGCTGTGGCAGCTCCAGCCCCAGCAGTCACACCTGCACCCGAGCCCGAGGTCGTCAAACGTGCCTCCAGCTGCACCTTTTCGGGCTCGAACGGAGCTGCTGAGGCGTCCAAGTCGCAGTCATCATGTGCTACCATGGTTCTCTCAGACGTTGCTGTTCCTTCAGGCACTACTTTGGACCTCTCCAGTCTGGCTGACGATACCACTGTCGTCTTCGAGGGTACCACAACTTGGGGCTACAAGGAGTGGAAAGGGTGCGTTGTTTTCAAGGACGAACTTGTTTGAAACATGTACTGACTTCGTGAACCAATTCTCAGGCCTCTTCTTGACATTCGTGGAACCAGAATCACTGTCAAGGGTGCTGAGGGGTCCGTTCTCGACGGTGACGGCGCTCGTTGGTGGGACGGTGAGGGTGGAAACGGCGGAAAGACAAAGCCCAAGTTCTTCTCCGCACACAAGCTCACCGAATCCTCCATCACCGGCATTACTATCAAGAACCCTCCCGTCCAGGTTGTCAGTATCAACGGATGTGACGGTCTCACCATTACGGATATGACCATCGATGCTTCGGAAGGTGACAAGGACGAGCAAGGTCACAACACTGATGGTTTTGATATTGGCTCCAGCAGCAATGTCATCATTGATGGCGCAAAGGTCTACAACCAGGATGATTGTGTTGCCGTGAACTCCGGTACCGTAAGTATTTACCTGAGGTGAATACAGCAACGATGGCTAACAACATGTGCAGGATATCACCTTCAAGAACGGTCTCTGCTCTGGCGGACACGGTCTCTCCATCGGCTCTGTCGGTGGTCGTGACGATAACACGGTTGATACAGTCACCTTCTCGAACTCCGAGATTACCAAGTCAGTCAACGGCGTCCGCGTCAAGGCTCGCGCTGGTACTACCGGCAAGATCAACAAGGTCACTTACGAGGATATCACCCTGTCTGAGATCTCCAAGTATGGCGTCCTCATTGAACAGAACTACGATGGTGGTGACCTACACGGCGACGCTGATACTGGTGTTCCCATCACCGGCTTGACCCTCGATAACGTCACTGGCGACGTCTCCAGTAGTGGCTACGACGTTGTCGTTACCTGCGGCAAGGGCTCCTGCACTGGCTGGACGTGGACAGATGTCTCCGTGACTGGCGGTAAGACTTACGATAAGTGCTCCAACGTACCCAGCGTTACCAAGTGCTCGTAGATGGTCGGTATAGCCTTTGGTGATGATAGCTTGAGCCTACCTCAGCCATGGTGATGCACACTCCATTCTCGGTTCAGACATGTCGTCAGAGTTTCGCGGTCGTTCCTTTTGCTTCGCTGTAAATATCCTATCCTCTTTTGCATCTTCAGAAGACTGTAATGGACTCTTATCTCAGAATCGTGTATGCAATACATACTTTCCACCAACATGTGCCTTTTTCGGAGTGACGTGGCGACCATGCAGTGTCGGATCTGCGAGAGTTTGGCCACACGAGACCGTGTTCACAGGTTGGTTGGTCAGCGACGGGCTGGGCCTCCTGAAAGTGGGCGGATAAGCGACATGTCACGAGATGGAACCCCAGCCATGATCGAGAGCTTTTTTGCATGTCAACTAGCGCATGTCCGACCGGAATGAAGGGAGTCCCGCTGAAGATTGGAGTTGCATTAGTTGTGATGATACTTGGGTCTAAACATTGTTGTGCTACGTCATGCCTTCCAAGCTTTCAGTTGTGGAGCCGACACTAAAGCGAGTTCGCAGCGTGGCAGCCACCCCAACACTTTTCCATTCCTTGTCACCAACTTGACGCTTTGATGCGACCTCCTCACAGCGTAACTCAACTCCATTATCAGCTTGTGCAAAACGCTAGTTGAATTCCTCATGTTCACAGCACTCCCAAACTTCACCCGGCTAATGCGAGTTCGTGTACCTTGCTTCTTCCAAACCTCTCCTCCCAGAGATCTTCTCGTCGATCCCATAACGATCTAGTGCTTCTCGCGAGCCAAAGTACCTCACCGTCTCTGTTACGAGCTTCGCGACTGCGACGACCTCCTCTTTCGCATCCGGTGTGGCCTCTTGCAATGTTCGGCTCAACCTCTTCAAGTTCTGGAGTTGCAGCTCAATGCCGGCTAAGCTGGAGTGAATGATGAAGCTCAAGGTTTCCATAGGGTCTGGCTCACCGCTGCTATACTCAGTCAGCGCATTTTCGCTCGAAAACTCATGAACACATACCTGTCATCTTCATCTTCGAACAATTTGTCATCGTCAACCTCGGCAAGACTTTTGAACTTCAGGTCCCTCGGCTTGGCCTTGGAGCAAGCGTCGTTCAGTTCCGCTACGAGATACAACAGGCGATCCAGGCTTCGCGACGCGGCGTCCACGACTTCCCTCTTGCGCGAATCCGGCCTTGCGATACCATCGAGGTTCGCAAGATGAGCCCACACTTGCAGGTCGAAAGCAAAAGCTTTGGTGTGCTCTACTATCTTCTCGAACGTGAGATCTTGAGGTTCCGCAGCCTCAACGTCCATGTATGGCGCACATGTGCCACTGATCTGGTCCAGTTTGTTCTGTAGCGTCGCATACTGGTATTGAAGTTCAGGTCGTGCAGTAGGTGATCGAGGGCTAGCACTCGGGCTTCTCTTCACCCTGAAAGCCAGACCGCTAGTGGGCAATGGAGGATTGTCTTGGTGTATTTCCACCTTGATACTGGGTTTCTTCTGGTGCTGTGGCTTCCCTTCATATCTCACAGGTAGTTGACTTGACAGAACTGGCTCGCTGGTCAAATCGTATCCGGAGATTGGTACAGCGCTGGGCCGCACCTCCTGAGTGTTGTACCGTCGTTCCGGCCTTCTGTCCCTTTGGCCAGCTTCTGAACTCGATCGCATCCTCCCAGTAGTTTCGAAGACTGGGACACCGAGTCGATCAGGCGTTGTAGGTGAATTAGAAATTCGTGTAGATGAGGCTGTACCATGCCGACTGTCATGATAGCGTTTCATTTCTTGTTCGCGACTCCTCCGATCCCATCTCGCCTTTTCTTCTATGATATCAACGTAGCCTCCTGAGCGCGACCGAGTATGATTGGGATTCCGATTACGTTCGTCCACATCTAGGAAGTCGGTTGAAACGGTCGCCATCGCGTGAAGTCGCAACGAATGAAGCAATCGAGTTGAGTCAAAGCTTTTCACGTGGTACGAACAAAGGCGAGTATGTTTATAGCGAGGAAACCTGCTGTTGTAGTATGCATGGAACGTTCTGTCTCGTAACGCCCCCCCAGTGTGAAGGGAAATTTGTCAGTGGGGTCGAGAACTCAACAGAAACGAAAAGACAACGGGAAGCCACGCTCATATGAACAGTGCGACCCAATTACCTGATCAGGCAGCTGACTTCAGACGCCTTTGGGGGCCGTTGGGGGCTGAGCACCACGAACGGTAACGTCATCCCTGTGCCGCTTTGCATAGAACCAATTTCGACCAATGTTACCTCAACACCCCACACCAATGCCGGCAAGCTGATGTTCGCATCTGTTCAGCCGCAATAGTTCGTGGGTCATGAGGCCACCCATTTAATGTCTAAATCCTTTAGGCCGCTGTCTCTAAAAGATGGCTCCGCCCCCATCCGACCACGCTGGTATTCTGGACTCACACTACATCTTACACGACATTGCACAGTACAGTTTCTGCGCTCGGCAGCTATCACTGTTACACGACTGAGTGCCCAGCTCAAATTTTCCCCCTACTGTGCCGCGTGCGGGTTTACTGCTCCTTGGCGTCATAGAAGATACATCCCAATCGCATTTTCAACACGACCCAAAACTGCAGCTGAAGAGGGCATGGCTGAGGTTCTTGGCGTTATCTCTGGTCTCTATACAGCAGGACAGGCTCTGCACACTTTTGCGTTGGAGATTAGACAATGGAGACGACTATCTGAACGACTCTTCGATATCAAAGAAGGGCTTGAATTCGCGAAACTCTCTCTGGATAGCTGGCAACACAAATACGACATCCAAGTGCATCGACCCGATCTTCACACCAGGATTCTGTTCGGAAAAGAAGGACATGAGAGGATCACAGCCACGATTGGTACTGTGAAAGTGATCACCGGAAGTATCAAGAGCGACATCAGACGAGTCAGGGGTCTTGCCCTTAATTTCGAGTCTAGTAGGAGATATTACGGAGAACATCAGCACATGAGTAACGAAGATCGGGTTAAGGAATGCCTCCGCAGGATACGCCATAACACCACATGGTCGCGCAAATTCGAACTGAGCGTTCTCGGAAAAGCGAACGATCTTGAAGAACGTCTCAGGCGACTGTACCAAAAGCTCACCATGCTCGAACGTTTTACCGATTTTTACCTCGAGCGAGAACACGCGGAGATCTTCTCGGAAGTTAAGCGACTTCCTGGACGGCGAGTGATAATCAAGGTCGGAGACGGAAGAACGGATACGATACAGAGCAGGGTTCTCGATGCCGTTCGTGCCCAGAAAGATGCTGAGCGATTACATCGATGCAGCGATTCGAGTCAGAACAATCGCCTACACATCGGTTTATCCATTCCTCGAATTCACAAGCGCGACTTCGCGTTCTTACTCAACATGAATGGGACGAGCCATGAGGTCATCGTCCATCCTGTGACCCTCAAAACTATCTACGAGCCATCTTTGGTCCCGAAAAACCTCGCTACCGCTGTGTCAACTCTTATGAACAGGACGCAGGACGACTGCTATATGATACCTCCGTTGTCGACGTCAGCAGGTTTCATCGTCAAGAATCCACCAACAAACTTGCTCTTTGACTTGCAGTACAAGGAGGCCCTCTCGAGTGTGATCCGCGACCAGAATGTGTATCTCGGCTCACAGACACTTTACTCGCAAGACCAGAATGCGATAGCGACAGGTATCGCCCAAGGCTGTTTTCGTTTGATAGGAAGCCAATGGTTGTCATTCCTCGACTGCTCGAACGTACGCTGGCGGAGAACCAAAGATGGGAAGTGGGCTAGTATGCTGACTGCAGCGCCTGGTTCATCGAGGACAACGCGTACCCTGGACCAATGCTACAGAGTCAACCGCCAAAGGAGAGATGGCCGCGATCTCTCCAAACATATCCAGATTTTCCGCATCGGACTCGTTCTCGCAGAGATAGCGCTCAAAGCGCCATTCTCGTACATCGATTTCGACACCGCGACCCACAAGACGAGCCTGTACATCCACGATGGCGAAGAGGTCAGCGCCCACGATGTCGCATCGCAGGTAGAGCTGAGAAGTAATATCCTACTGGGCAATATGGTGTTTTTCTGCCTCAACGTACTGCAGGACAACAACGTAATGGCCGAGAAGAGCATCGAAGGTAGCTATTATCAGGATGTACTAGGGCCGGCGGAAGAGCTGGAAAGATTCTTTGGGGCTGATAGGCGAAGAGGTGGCTTGAGTCCAGGCTCGAGCCCAATGGGAAGTGGAGCGAACACGCCAAGATCAGCTGGGAGTTCATATGTGTATTGACGTTGCGCTCACTTTTGCATCGTCTTCTTTGCTTGAGACCTCCTCTCGATAGTGTTATCCGATGTGCTTTCTGCATCATCATGCACATTTTCAATGTAACAACATCCATTAAATAACTTTCAACAACCTTGAATAGGGTGTGGGTTACGATAAATACGAACAGCTGAAAGTACTAAGCAACAACATTCATGGGATTCAGCTGCCAAGTAGTGCGTACTTCAAGAATCGGCGCTGGTCAGCCGTGGCGCTGTGGTCAACACTAGAGGACCAAAGACACACGTGATGACTGAGTACTGTTCCGAGCGAGGCATGGTGAAGAGGTGATGTAGCATCCTGTTGAGCAATTGGTGGGACGAGTAGAGACAGGTGTGCCAGACTAAAGCACCGCGTTGAATTTGTACCAAGACGCCTTCGCTATGCATTAAATACCACGTAAGACATGAGAAATCCCTTTCGCAGGCGATTCGTCTTAGGCAATGAAGCTCTGCTCATCTTTTCTGGGCCCTAGTCCTCTCTTCACACCATCCTTCAAACTCTCCCAGTTCACACCATCTATCCTGCGTCCGCGTGTGCCCATATCAGACGCGACATCAACCAGCTTGCCAGTGGCAATCCTGCGCATCATGACCAGGTCTTGCGCGCTCTGGAAGGTCCTGCCCCTGCCTTCAGTGAGGAACTTCTCGATAAACTCCTCCTCGTCTTCGTTGAACGGCAAGCCCGCTAGCTCAAGCGCCTTAGCATCTCGCGTGTACACCTCGTGTTCGGGGTCCTGAGACCAAGGTTGGTGATCTAGCGTCTGCTCGATGAGGATCTCAAGCAGGGGCGTCTGCTCGTATTCCGGTCTGCTGTGGATCCACTGGTACATCTCCGTGACATTCCGACCCGCAAGGTATTTTGCAAATTCGTCCCTAGTCTTCTGATCCTCCAACGGCGGCCGTACGCAGTTGTAGTATGCTAGCGCTAGTATATCATCTTTTGGATCCCTTGCCATGCCCATGCTACTCAGTTTATCCTGCCCTGTCAAGAGGGTGTACATGATCTCATCGGGGAAGGTAGGTATTATGCCTGGGTATGTAAGGTGTCCGACAGCGGTCGCGAATTGGAGGTGGTCGAGGAACCAGAGTCCTTCAACGAATGTCCAGAATCGCTTCTCGAGGTGTACGTCTTTCGCGAACGATTCAGCTAGCTCTGTCGCTTCGTGATGTTGCGCCGATAAATCTTTGAGTAGGTAAAACACAAGACAGTGCTTATTGTGTAGTGTTGTGTTGGAGGAGATTACGCGCTGATGGAGCTCCTGGAGTTGTTGTGGGGATTTGGGCGGGTACATTTTGCTTCCTGTTCCCAATTAGCTTTTGAAATATATTGACAGTTGGCGCGACTTACCCTTGATATTCAGCAGTGTCAACAGCCGCTCAAAGAAGGTGCGCCCTCCAAGCGCAGTCCGGTATGATTGGATTTCTTGAACAAGGCCATCGTTGTAGTGAAGATCGCGATATACCGCGTCAAAGTCCTCGATGTCAAGCATGTTTATGGTGGAGCGAGTTTTGCTTGGGCGAAGATAGTCGGGGTCTGTTGCGCTCCAGGTTCTCGATGGGTCATTGGGTCATTGGGTCGCGTCCGTGGATGATTCCGCGCAGTCACGTGGAGCTCTGAGAGTCTTGGCGCCAAGGTCAACACCATGGCACACCGACCGAGGCTGCACTGCGGCCATACGTTCTTGAACGTCGCAAAATTGATGCTCGATATCTTCAGGACGATCATGAGCCATGAAGTTTAGCAAGAGTCATACTGTATCATACTCGGCTGACGCACCCAAAAGGTTCATTCTGCCTGTTGGCACCACGTCCAGCAGACTGCATGACAGTAGCCCTTCAGTATGTGTGCCTAGTTATGCTATCCAGAACGACAATTCTTTGCCTAGGCGTGGGCTCAAACCTTGTGTCAGCATCGATCTGTCGTCTCCAAGCATGTCAGATTGCACGTATGACCCGATTGAACCGACGTAAAACGCGTCAAGACACGGAGTTAGGTATTGGAAGGCCTCCATGTAGACTATCAGCGATGGCACTAGTCGGGTGTACATGATGGAGGGTATAAGCCATACACATCATACCACGAAGGCCATTCTCTCCCAGTCAATAGATCGTATGACCCGAACGTAACATGCATGGTAATGATTCCTCCTCGGCAATAACAAGCAGCGATGTCGGTTTCACACTTTCCGAAAGTCCGGATGTACAGTATGTAAAGATATGTCAGATACTTGGCATTCAATATCAGATGATGAAGAATCATTGTCGAAGAAGGTATAGTTGCGAGGTCCAAGCGAATGAATGTCCGCTGGCCCCACACCTTTCGCATGTTCGCGATTTGCACCTCGTAGGATCGGTGACGAATTTGCATCAAGTGCGCTTATTGAGTACCTCAAGCGCTAGGCAGAAACTTGGAGGTCTGAGTCAAAGCCGGGGTTGCAGAATTCAGTGCTCCCTTCAGCGTCCACACTTGATTGTAAGGTTGTGTCAGGATGGAAGTGAAGCGATCTTGAGGATGCAGATAAACACTCCGAAACAAGTTTTGCGGCTCTGGAACCCTATCTCGTTGCGAAGTAATGTCGAACCTTCAGGTTTGAGGCACCGTGGCATGATGCCTTCTCGTCAAGTTTTTGTCACATTGAGCCACAGGTGTGTCAGCCCGGGACTGGCCGGATGCCAGCAAAACACATGGAAATCGGAGCTTGATCATCTTGCGGTCTGCGCGTGGGATTATATCCGCCTCTAGCGTGCATTGCCAAGAGAAAACAAAGCTTGAGTGGATTAGAGACATGGCGCAGGTGACTATGGTTGATGTAAGCACCAATGATGTCTTTTGCGAGTGTGTAGTTCGGACAAAGCCTGGAGATAGCGGTGATTGAATTTTTGCAAAATCGCGAAGGAAAACTGGGATCTGACAGGCGCGCGGTCTTAGCTTCCGACACTCCCTAGGGCAGGGTGGTGAAGATCGCATGTGAATCTTCGATTTGAGCACAAGTCGAGTGTGGATGGCCGAGACGGATGGTCGTTGTCACCGGAATCCGATGCGGGCGCTTGTATATCCGTCTTGTCGCAGGCATGGCGTGACACTCTGAATCTGCTCTGAAGTTACAGGTAATGACGTTGTTTCAAGTGCTAGACCAAAGTCGTCGTAGGTTTTCAATGTCATGATGAGAGAGATGCAGCGACAAACTGAAGACTAACATGGCGAACTTTGCCGGGTGGATTGCTCGCAAAATCCCATTAGCGGTGGCTGACGGAATGGCCCTCTGTCCGTGCTTGCCCGGACCCACGTCGCGCCTAACAATCACATCCGACGTCACAGCCAACGAAGAATGCCATGCGATCGGACGTGTTTCGCAGCTGACAAACTCCTGTCGCAATGACTTGCTCAAACTTATAGTTCCGAAACTTCCGGAAACAATATAGATGCGAGCTACGCCCATGGCGCTGGCAGCCACATGCATTGAAACATTTGCTGTCTCTCTTGTCTTCCTCATCTTCTTATTGCTCTAAGAGCGCATCCTGAAGTACTGCGACCCTTCTTAAGACTGGTCTGCGTCTTGGTATTTCATTTGTTCGAGCTTTGCGCAGTGCATCCCACCTTAACGATTCTAATCCTTCCCTGAACATCACATACATGCCGGATCGCAGGAGTTTGACGTTAGCTACCGCGGCGCTGCTAGTAGAGCTCGTACCGCTGGTAGCTGCGCATGGCGATAGCAAGGAAATGGACATGAGCGTACATGATATGCCGAAGGCGCAACCGCAAGACAGTGGCTTTGGAGGCTATTGGAGTTTATCGGAGCATGCTTCGCTTATGTACTGGCACATAGGGCTTGAGATCCTCGCATGGATTGTCATCCTGCCAATCGCAGTCATGCTCAGCATTGCTGGCTCAAGATATACTCTTCCCTCGCAAATGACCTTCCTCGCCACCAATGCGTTCGCGCTCGTACTCGGCCTGATATACGACCACAAGACACCGGAAATGTACGCAGGAAATGCGCACAGCAAGATCGGATGGGCCATTACTTGGATCGCTTCGGCATGGGTGTTCATGGCTCTGATCCAGGCCTACGCCGGGAAGTCGGAGTCGCACTCGAAAGAGGACGAATTTACAGAGCCTATAACGACCGCCAACATGCTCAGGTACGAGCGCGTACACGACGAAGAGGTCCCCGCTCCGCCGCGATGGTCAGGCGATTCGGGGCAAGGTACAGAGCGAAACTCGGCTTCTCTGTACGATCCCTCTCAATCACCCAGTGTGGAATCTGAGAACCAGCAATTCCCTCGCCCTCTGCGAAGATCCACACATGATGACGACTCTTTCGGTAACGACGACGACGGCGACGACGAGAAGCGCGGCTTCCTTCGCAACATCTCGGTGGATAATTTCTTCTCTCGCAGTGTGGCTCGCTTCGCAGTTGGACGGACGCTCAAGGCGATTCGCTTCCTCTACGTTGTCATCGAGCGCACAGTTTTAGTCCAAGGTTTCGCAGCGATTGTAAGTGGCACCATCGTCTACGGCGGCATCGGAAGAGGAGGTGCAATTTTCAACGTCCTGGCGCACACAGTAAAAGGAGGGATATTCTTTCTATACGGCTTCCTTACATTGGGTCGATGGATGGGTGCGTTCGCAGACTTCGGATGGGCATGGAACGTGAAGCCCCCGAAGGAAGTGGTCGGTCGTCGGAGAGCGGCACTACCGTCGGCAGAGTTTACCGAATCCTTCGTCATCTGGCTGTATGGCTGCACAAACGTCTTCCTCGAACACCTGGCTGCGTGGGGCGATGCATGGACTGCACAAGATTTGGAACATGTCTCGATCTCGGTGATGTTCTTTGGTGGTGGTTTGGTGAGTAAAACTAGTTCCTTCCCTTTCTGTGTAATACCGCTAACATTCTTCCTAGCTGGGAATGTGCATCGAATCGACCAAGGTACGCGAGCTTCTTAACAGCGGAGTCGTTGCCTCTCAAGCAAGCTCGCTACAAAATGAGTCCTGGCAGCAGCCAAGCCAATACCGCTTCTCGATGAACCCGCTTCCGGCCCTAATCATCATGCTCCTCGGCAAGATGATGAGCTCTCATCATCAGAGCTCAATGGTCTCGACTATGATCCATACCCAATGGGGGAGCATGTTCATGGCCTTTGCTCTTGCCCGCGGCCTTACTTACATTACCCTCTACATCTCACCGCCGACTTCATTCCTGCCATCCCGGCCGCCTACGGAAATCATCACCGCATTTTGCTTGATATCAGGTGGCATCACCTTCATGGTCAGTAATAAGGACACCGTGGCAGCTCTGGAGTCGTACAACCTCGACGCTATGTTCATCTTCACGGTAGTCATGGGCCTTACCGCGCTGCTCATGGCTTGGACGACTGTAGTAATCGCTATCAAGGGATGGGCTCTACGCAAGGAGAGCAGTAGCCAGTACGCAAAGGGCCTTGCTGGAGTACTGGCGTAGATGACATCTTTACGAGATACCCTCGATTGATCGACTGGACACGATTTCTTTACTTTAGGAAGTGGAACTTCCACTTGATACCCTACATTTCCTCTTTACGACTTTGACGCATTTTTTTTTTTGGTTTAATGGGTTTGGTCGCAGTATACCCCTTTCCTAAGGAAGACAACAGTCTGGATAGTTGCACCTAATGCCCTTTTTTGTTCTGCACTGGCGGTAATGAAGGTCATCTTGGATTACAGAGCTTAGTAGGACGAAGGGATTGCGAAGGTAACGGACGGATGACGACTCTGGAAGTTAATACTAGGTTACACCACGTTTAGCAGTGTAGCCATGTAGCCCCTACACGATGTGGGGTAATAGAACATACATAGAACGAGCCTCCTCATTTTCATGAAGACTGTACTCATCGAGAAATCATTTAGTTCAGTGTCATCAACGTGCCGCGCGACCCCGTCCAGCGACTCCTCTTGCTATGCCTGTACCGCCCCTGGTTCCTCTAGGTGCACCGCCGCGTGTAGGTATACCACCCCGTCCACCTGCTCGTGGTATTCCCCCTCTTCCTCTAGGTACGCCACTTGTTCTCGTAGCAGGTGCTGGCGTTTGTGGGTTCTGGAATTTGGAGTGGATTTTGCTACTCGGTGGGTTGTCGACGAATGAAGTATCGGTCGTCAGGAACGTTGCTTCCATATCTTCTGGGCCTTGAGAGCGATTCAGGTTTGCGGCACCTTGGTCAGGTTGGTTTTGTGGGCGCTTGAAAGATTCTGGAACAGGAGCCTAGGGGGCACGAATCAGTGTCATCGCGCGTTTCTCTCGCAACCGCATCTTCTTCTAGATCTCCTATCACTCACCTCGGGGAAGTCTACGCAAAAAGCGTTCATGTTCATTCCATACAGAAACCCCGCAAAACTTTCTGAGAATCGTGCCAGGCTCTCGTGCATAAGTTGCAACTGCAAGAAGTTTTGCTCAAGATCTGCCATGGCGTCGCTCAACTCAGCGAAACCGTCTTGTAAGCCTTCAAGCGCGTTGCCAGATGCCGAAGCAGCGCGACCGCGTTGGGATGAGTCGCGTAACGAAGAGCGGGAAGACGGGCGGAGGGGCGTGGTCGGACGTGATCGTGGTGATTTGCTGCGTGTGCGCCGGTAAGAGGGCGTTGTTGTGGGTGTTGTGGACGCCATGTTGGCACGGTGGTGGATGTATTTCCTTGTGAATCCGGTGGCACGGTCGAGCAATTGCAGTCTCGCCGACCGGTACTGTGACGCCTCTTGGGATCTTGAAACGCGGTCCTAGTTCGGGAGCTTGATGCGAAGTAAACAGTACCCCACACGCAGGGCAATTGCGCTAAGACCAATTGGTCGATGATGCCATGGTTCTTGCTTCCAAAACTACGCCTCGCTGTACATCTTCTGATACTTTGTATCCAGCGAATTATCACAGGACGCACTTGCCCGCAGCTTGTTCTAAGGCGTCCCGCTGCTGCATTCTGTACGTAGATCGCGGCTACATATTCGTCCGACGTATCCGGAAAGCTCTGCCGACGTCACACTAAGCAGACGCGAGCAGTTGCCATAACGAGGCTCAGCTCAGCGACCTGACACTTTTCCATGTTGCTTCGCGCACAGCCCCTACGACGACTTTTACACATCTCTACACCCAAGCGTCAACTATCTGTGTACAACTCAAAGTATCGCACCGCCCCACCTGCCCCCTATAGCTCTACGAATCCGGTCACACGCGCAGACCTACTACATCACAGTCGGCGAAGCACGGCACCGGCACCTTGCAAGACAAGCGGACTCAACCTGTGGACTCTAGGAGTAGTCGCTGGCATTGCAATTGGCGGCGTGCTACTGGTCCCCTTCGTACAGAGCTCTCCAGAACCCAAGACCGCAAGGAAATCCACCCCGACTCATTTCGACACCGCAAACCTCACAGACTCGTACCTCGTCATGGCACCCAACACCCCCGCCGGGCGACCGGGAACCCTCACACCCGAAGAGGACAAAAAGCTGCGTGAGCTATGGGGGATCGTTATGAAGGTTTTTGGTGTGGAAGCGGGGTCGGAAGCTGTGAGCACGGCCGATGAGGTCGCATCACCGACCACAAGTGAGGCGGCAGCAGACGGCAAGAAGGACAAGAAGAAGAGCCGATTGAACGTGTTCAAGAGGAATAAGGGCGAGAAGGGCGCAGACGACAAGGCGTCGACTGCTTCGACAGGCTCGACCCCGTCAGACATTAGCAGGTTGTCGATATCTGCTGATGACGACAAGTTTGGCCAGACCGCAGAGTTCAAGGCAGCGATCGCCAATATTCCGCCGGAAGAGCTGCGAAGGACCTTCTGGATGATGGTCAAACACGACCACCCCGATGCTCTCCTGCTCCGATTCCTCCGCGCGCGGAAATGGGACGTGGAGAAGGCGCTAGTCATGATGATCTCTACCATGCAGTGGAGACTGAACGAGATGCATGTCGACGACGACATCATGAAGAACGGAGAGCTCGCCGCTTCACAGACCACAAGCGACGATGCTAAGACAAAGAAGAACGCGGACGACTTCCTGACACAGCTGCGCATGGGCAAGAGCTATCTACACGGACTGGACATTGAAGGAAGGCCGATGTGTTTTGTTCGCGCGAGGTTACACAAAGCCGGGGAGCAGACGGAGGAAAGTCTGGAAAGATTCACTGTCTACACTATTGAGACCGCACGCATGTTATTGAGGCCTCCGATTGACACAGCCGTAAGTCTATTCTCTTCCCCGGATTGTGTGCAACAATTGACCGAATACAGACTATCGTCTTCGACATGACCGACTTCTCCATGGCCAACATGGACTACACGCCGGTAAAGTTCATGATCAAGTGCTTCGAGGCCAACTACCCCGAATCGCTTGGCACGGTCCTCGTCTACAGAGCGCCCTGGGTCTTCAACGCCGTGTGGAGTATCGTCAAAGGCTGGCTGGACCCCGTCGTCGCCGGCAAGGTGCACTTTGCAAAGACGATCGACGACCTCAGCAACTACATCCCAAAGTCGCAGATTCCAACTGAACTGGGTGGAGACGAAAAGTGGGAGTATAAGTTCCCAGAGCCCGTGTCTGGAGAGAACGACAAGATGGCCGAAGAGAAGCCAAAGCAGGAGCTGCAAAGCGAGAGGCAACAGATCGTCGACAATTACGAGACTTCCGTGCTCGAGTGGGTACACGCCGGTGATGGTGCGCCAGCGGACGAGAAGAGGAAAGAAAGGGACAGCATTGCCGAACAGCTAAGGCAGAACTACTGGAAGCTGGACCCGTATGTTCGAGCCCGCTCACTGTACGACCGTATGGGCGTTCTCCAGAGCGAAGGCAAACTTGACTTCTACGGCCAAACCCCAGAGCCCGCCGCAGCCACAGCACCAAAAGCAACAGAAACCAGCGCCGATGATCTCGACTAGGACTCGAAAGCCCAGCTACTCCGGCGGTATAGCACCTTCAACACTTTGGCCGACGCTTCGAAACAACTATAACCCCTTTCCCCTTCGTGGCACTCACTATGTTGGTTGGTTGGTTGGTAAACGGCCGGTTTAGCATCCCATCGTCCTAATGTGTAGTCCTCTTGAAAACAAACCCTCTGTATAGAACTTCACATCCCCTCCCCTTTGATAGCCCTCGTCCTGTAAAGATACAGTTTACCCCTACCTAATAATATCTCTCATTCCCCTTCTGCCAACCAACTACTGAAACCTCCACACCGCCTGCTTTTGCCTTCCCCCTTCTTCCTTTACCGCCTCACTACGTTTCAATCCTCTCCGGTGAAATGCGCGCCCCATACACGGGACCTTCCCTGCGTGGGCACTGCTCATTCGATGCCGGCCCAAATCCCCGATCGCGGCTCGATGCACTAGCACAAATGATGTCATGTTCCTGCATCGGAACAATGTGGCGCTTGCTTCTTGCTTCGTGCCCTTGGGACATTCGGTATGTGCTTTTTCTCCTTTTTCCGGCTTGGCTCCTAGGCCTGAGCTAGAGGGTTAGTCGGGCGGTTGCATGTTCCGTAGTGCTGCTAGCACGGTTGCGAGTGGCCAGGCTTTATCGCAACGTCGGGGTGTTTTTGGCTGGGTGTGCTGCTGTGGGTGGCTCTGGGGAAAAGAGCTCAGGCTCGTTCCGGATAGGTGCTGTGGAGATCGTGTAGATCTGCGTGTTTAGAATTGGGAATGTTATACGTGATGGCTGTTTGTTTGGGATGGAAACGTTACTGTTGGTGTTTTAAACTGGATGCGCACTTATGAAGTTGGTGTTATGAAGTAGGGCACCGGGATTCGATAGTTTCATGTTTGGTGTGGTATTTGAGCGCAACGAATGAGCACAAATAACGACATCGTAAGCGTGCGCGTAGAAGGAGAGACCTGATCCTATGCATAATATTCGTACTGTAGATTTACATGCTATACAAACGCTCTATGACGTGACTTTGATATCTCTGCCTTCTCTCGTCCGATGACTCTCATGGTTGCTCACCTCGTCCATCTTGGTGGCCATTTCATCCGCGTTCTCCAGCCCCGTATCTACCGTCTCACCCGTTTCGTCAACTTGCTCCCGGGGGACACCCTCACCCATCCGCCCTGTAGATCCGCGTACTGTCTTTCCGACATCTGCGCTCTTGGCATCCACATCTGTGCTAGCCAATGTCAAGCCCTGTGCTGGGCGGTAGGTTATGCGGCCTTCAGCGGCGGCCGCAAGCCGTTGCTTTTGGCCGGTTTCTCCGGCACGACCTAGGACGCCAGCGATGACTTGTATGCAGCGAAGACTGTAATTTGTTAGCCTGAAACAGTAGCTGCTGGTGAGAAACGTCTTACCTGTCGTCGTTGGCAGGGATGGGGTAGGTGACCCAGGTGGGGTCCGCGTTGGTGTCAATGACACCGATGGTAGGAATATTGTTCAGCGCACACTCGTGCAGCAGAACGTAGTTCTCGAGTGGATTCATGCAGACGACGAGGTCGGGCCGGAGGACGGGACGGTCGTAGAGCTGCTCTTCGAAGCCGGGAACTTCCTCGTCGAACTCATTGACGACCTTGGTCTTGCACCTGCCGAGAATTTGCTGGCCGTTGGTAATGCTTCCCGGTATCCAGCGCTCGAAGAGATGGTATCCTTTGGCTAGCTCGGCAGCGCGTGCCACTGCCCTGTCCTGCCCGTCGCGTGTGCCGACGAACAAGATCATGCCTCCCCGCCGCGCAACTTCCTGTACGACCTTGGCGGACCGCCGTAAGTGGGCTGCAGTGACTTCGAGCGAGATGATGTGGACACCCTGCCGTATGCCATGGATGTAGCGTGCGTTTGCGGGATTCCATAGGGAAGTAACATGGCCTTGGTGGGCCTCGGAGGCGAGGAGGAGTTCGAGGGTCACATCGGCGGGCGATGGGGGGTGGTTCAGGAGGGTGTGCGGTTGGTAGTGTGGCTCAATCTGAGTTCCCAGCTTTCCCATCTGCTTGGCTAAGGATTGTCAGCAGGGTGGAGTCAGGATGGGGCGGTGGTCGTACACTGCTGCTTGTACATGTAGTACTGCTCAGCGACATCGTCGGAGGCGGACTCGGAGGTTCCATGGGTCTCCGGGTCGACGGAGGGGATGGGCTGCTGGAGGTGGGTGTTGAGCTGGGCCTCTATCGACTGGATCTGTTTGAGACTGTTGTCGGTAGCGGCCTCGATCGACTCGGTCTCGGTGGAGAGAAATCGCTGCAGCGGGCGGAACGGCTGTCGGGAGTGTCGTGCGAGTACCCGGGGGGCTATTGAGGGTGTCAGTATATGCAGCCATCTCCAATTGAGTATTACCAACCACTGCGCGCTGCTATGCTCCTCAATATCATTTTGCCGTCGCGTGCAGTCGGTCGTGTCTCTCCAAAAACTCTCGAGCCGGGGCACTGCCAAGCACCCGCCAAGCTAACCCCATCGGGCAGCCTTGCAGGCCCTCATCATCCTCCATGTCTGACCGATAAAGCAGCCTCAGGCGATTGCCGTCATTGTCAGATCATGTGTGCCAGTCAGGACCGCAGCGAGGGGGTCTGCGTGCATCGGTCCCACCGGTAGGGCAGAGCATGGCAAAGTGCAAAATACCATAGCTGGTCCCTGCTGCAGCGAGTCGCTCGCCTCTTGCTTATCCCATGCCGCTCCGCCTGTGCTCAGAGTGCTTGTGCCCGGGCTGCCCCCAATAATTGCTCGCGTGAAGCCACTGACATGCTTCCGTCATCTTCTGCAGCTATCCCGCACGCGGCCTTTTGGCTTGGCACCTAGCGCATTCCACTGACGCTACACATGCTCGCTCTTCGCATCCCAACTTCACCCGCCCAATCTGCCCCAGACGAGTCCCCGTCGTCCTGCACTGCACCTGCGGCTGAGGAGCCCTCCCACTGTCGCCGCCC